ATATAGCTATATAAAAGAAAAAAGCCTATATTTAATCTACTTCTTACCTTAACTATACTATTTATACTAAACTCCTAGCCTAAATCTATTATAAGTACCTTAATAATACTATTATAAAGGTTATTAAGCCTTTATATAGGATTACTAAGGTAGGTATATACTAGTAGGCTACCTATAACTATTACTATAAGGAAAATCTTTAGATAGTCTTTACTATATATAACCCCTACCTTCTCCTATTATTTAGTAAAAATCTACACTTTACACTTATTAGTATATAAATAGATAATACTATTAGCCTAATAGACCTTCTATTTTCTAACTAAAAGAATAAGGAACTAACTAAAGTAAAATTTACTATAAAGGATAAGTTATTCCTTACTATTAACTAACTACTTACCTTTAACAGCAGGATTATTATAGTTATATCTACTATAGATACTTCTATTACTGTTACGCCACAAATCACAGGGCCTAGAAGAGCCCACGTGATCGCTGGCCTGCTTAAAAGCGCGCGCCCGCAGCCACGCGTGGCTCCACAGACCTTTCCTTTCTTTATCTTCTATATCTACAGACCCACAATAAAAGAGCTTTTTAGCCAATTAAAGGTCCCAGGAGATCACTAATTTCCCCACCTTCCTTCTTTCCTAACAGATCATAACAAATAGTAGCACAACCTAGTAAGCGGCAGCAATCTGCTAGCCCGCTTATTACCAGGAAATACTATCACACCTGTCAAATCCTAAACGCAGGTACAGTAACAACGCCTTCTTACTTCACCTCGCAACAACAACTACGCCCTAGATCTTAATCAGTGGCAGCCTCTGGTGAATCCGCCTCCGCTAAGGAGAGCTATTTCCTTCGCAAGGAAAATAGTCGCTTTTCTACTACCTTTTCCCTAAAGGAAGAGAGGCCAGCCCTAGCAGCAAGCACGGCTTCTAGGAAAGCCCTACCTTATAAAACGCACGTTAACCTTATTAAATCTAACTGTAGCAGCATGCGCTTAAAAAGGAAGGTTAACGTACGTTTGCAACTACCCAAAAGTCAGCCAGTCAAAAGGGGCCAAAAAGCGGCCCTAAATTTTCCAGTAGTATCAGTCTGGCTTAGCGGCAACCAGGCCCACTTTATGGAAGGCACTGACGCTAGCGGCAGCCACTATAGTAACTACAGCCGTAGCTACGTAGGCAGCTATGAGGGTAGTTATTATAGTGAGGGCAGTCACGGCAGTGGGCCAGATGAGGATAATCCGATTACTAATCGGCCGGCGATTAACAGCCAAAGTGAGGGCCAAAGTGAGGGCCAAAGTGAGGGCCAAAGTGATGGCGGCAATAGTGACTACGGCGATAGTAACTACGGCGATAGTAACTACGGCGATAGTAACTACGGCGATAGTGACTACGGCGATAGTGATGGCAGTTACTGAGGGCAGTAAGGACCTTCTTTTAGGCGGCAATTGTTACGCCACGAATCACAGGGCCTAGAAGAGCCCACGTGATCGCCGGCCCGCTTAAAAGCGCGCGCCCGCGGCCACGCGTGGCTCTACAGACCTTTCCTTTCTTTATCTTCTATATCTACAGACCCACAATAAAAGAGCTTTTTAGCTAATTAAAGGTCCCAGGAGATCACTAATTTCCCCACCTTCCTTCTTTCCTAATAGATTGTAATAATTACACTCTACTAAAAAAGGTAAAAAGTAAAACTATAATTAATTAATATAAAGTTACTTATAGCTTACTAAGATTTTATCTAGTAATAGGCATAAGGAGTATATATTACCTCTATTTACTAGCCTAAAGCGTACTATAATCTTTCTATTATAGCCTAATATAAAGAGCTAAATAATAAGGTAATTAAAGACCTTAACTATTAACTATAATAGTAAATAAGCTTACTTAACTATAGTCTATAATTTATCCCCTTAGATCTTATATTAGCTAAGCTATTTATATTTATAAATAAATTATTTACTAATAATTATAATATAACTTTATAGTTAGGATTTATTATTCTCTTTATAAATAAGGAAGTTAATAATAACTAAGCTAAATTTCTTTTTTATAGTAATATTTTTTATTTCTTATCTATAAAGTCTAAATAAGTTACTTAAAGCGTCCTTATATCTAAAGTATATAAAATAGTTATAGGTATTAATATAGCTTACGCCCTTTTTATAACTATTATAATAATTATAAAGAAGCTTAATATCTTATTAATCCTAACTATTATATATATAGACTTATATTTACTTTATAAATACCTAGTTAAGCTAGGAACTATAAAAAAGAAGCGTTTTATAATTAATATTATATTACTAAGATAGTCTTATAAGTAATATAAGCTTTATAAAGTCTAATAAATTACTAAATCTAATAATCTAGCTAATAGACTTATAAAGGTATTCCTAAATTAAGTACTTAAAGGCCTAGTTATAAATAATAAAGCTAAGATATATATAAAAGGTTAGGTTATATAGGCATAATAAATTATAATAAGTATATAGTAAAAAATAGATTATAAGTTATATAACTAACTAGACTATAATAGTAGTAGTTAAATCTAACTAATATAAAAATATACCTCTAATAGCTATAGCTAAAAAAAATACCTTTAAATAAGTTAGTATAAGCTTATACTATCTATAAGGAAAAATAAATAATATAGGAATATATAGTATATAACTATAAGAAGTGTAATACTTTTAAAGTTTTAATTTTTATTACGTTTTTAAGGCTTTTAAGGGTAATCTAGATAGCTAGAGTACTAGTAACTTTTACTATAAAAAAAAAGTTACTAGTGTTAGTATATAGTAAGTATACTTTAGGGGAAGTAGTTATATAATATTTATATAATACACTACCTCCCTTAGTAGTATCTACCTTACTACTAGTATACTACCTAAAAGTCTAGATTTACTTTATAACTAACTAATATAATAAGTAACTATATTCTGTATTATAATTTATTACGTGATCTATAGGATATCCCTCTTACGTGATTTAACTAACAGTATCATTGGCGTACTTGGTCGCCACGAGTTCGTTAACGCCTTTTCCCCCTTCTACCCAAGAAACCAGCGCAAGCAGAGCATCATGCTGTGGGTCATCGAGACCAGGCACAGGAAACACGTGCTGCCCATTTGCCTCCAAGTTGGACGAGTGCTCGCTGGCTCCAAAATACCACGGGGCGTCGTACATGCTCCCCGAGCAATGCTGCATACCCGGCACAAGGAAAAGACGGTAAAAGTCGTCCAGATCAATGCCTTGTTCTGCCATCGCCATCCACGTCTCGTCGTAAAGGACCCGGCTGACGTCCGTAGGGATAAGACCGTCAGCATACCCGTGGTATTGGACCAGCTTACCGCCGCGTCCATGAAAGGTTGATAGGTTGAAGTTGTTCGCGTTGACATTCCCGGGGTTGCGCTTTGTCGCCTCGACAAAAGTGGAGTAATTGAAATTGACTTTCCAGTCCCAGTCCAGATCGTCGAACAGATAGTTCTTTGCGTAGTCTGTTCCATACAAACTCGGCTCATTGTTGGGACCGAACGAAGACAGCATCTGCACCTCGGATCCAAGGCCGAAGTTGGGGTAAATGTAAGTCAGATTATTGACATCTGCATCCAGCTGGATCAGGGGCAGATATAACTGTTTCAGCGTCGACACTTGCGGCGCTGTGAGACATGCCGATCGATTGACTGGGCTGGATGTGCAGAGAAGCTTCTCGGGTCGAAAGTTGCAATGCTTAGGATCCATAATGACACCGTCGTCAACGCCATCAGAACCGTCGTACTGCCGCAAGACCTCCTGTCCAATCACTTCGAACAAAGCATTGGGGAGGTATCCAGGTCCGTCCACCGGAAGGTTGATGGCGCCGACTTTGAGCTGCCACAACTGCTGGCTCGTAGACATCCCCGCCGGAGCACCAGCGAGAATACCGTCAAAGTCCTCCGGATGATCCTGCGCTGATTTGACACCCTGACGCCCTTTCGTCGAGCAGCCAGAATAGTAGGACTTTCTTGCCGCGTTTCCATAGTACCCCGCCACAATTGCCTTGGCCAGAATAGTCGAACCGTGGAGACTGCGACCAGCCCAGTCAGCTTTTGTCTCTGGGTTATTGAGCGCCCAGCTCATGTCCTGAGATGTTGAGTTGTGGCCAGTTGATGTCGAGATGGTTGCAAAGCCGTACTTGGCGCCTGTGCCCATTGCATACCAGTTGATGTCCCCCGAGAAGCCACCGTTACCAACAGCAAGAAAGCGCTTATTCCACTCATCTGGAAGAAATACTCCAAACGTGTACGATGATGTTGACGAAGATGTGATGTTGATAGTTGCTGCACAGAGCGAGGGCAGATGAGTTGCGTTCTGCGGATATGCCACATTTCCTGCCTCACCGAAACTGCCATTGCTGCTGATTGAATAAGCCACCAAGACCTCTGCCATATCATCTTCCGCAAGGAAACTATTGATGCCTTCGACTGAGCAGCGAGTAGAAAGAGAGAGGCCCTGAACTCCATGGGTTGCCACCCAGAGCACAAGGCCGAGCAGGCTTGGCGCAAACGGCATGTTGACTGACAGAAATGTTAATGAACTTGGGTTGATTTGGTATTGCCACTACGGCGCAGTGCAGCCTTTCCTCCACGTCGTTCTTAAAGTGAGAAGGTTGTAACTCTCTCCGAGTGCTACTCTAGCGTCAACAAGGATCACCCAATCGTGCCTTCGCTTGATTCCTCAACCTCTACATTCTGCTCGAGATCCACAGGGAATGCTGCCAACCCCACATTCACGATGTTCTAACCTACCGCGGATGAACATAGCCGTATTAGCTGACTTGAATGCAAGGTAAAGCTTGATTTTGAGCTGGCCTAGACTGAAACTCAGGATAAACATAACTCCATGCTGACCGACATCGGGCTCTTGGCCAGCGCATGATGTCATCCCATTTCAGTCATAGTTATCAACAAGATCAACCCAATAAGGAATAAACAAAATGGCAGACACTCCTATTAAGTCTTTTTGATGCCACTCTGCAGTTTATTTCTAAGCAAAGAAGAAGTTTCAGCAGTATTTCTTCATACTACAGCCTACATCGGAATGCTAATCGTCTGAGATCACACCGCCCGCTATTTCAAGAGCCAAAGGCAACTTTCCGTTCCACGTATCAACAGCCTCGACTCAAGTAGCAGGGACTTCAAAGCCTTATCTAGAACCAGCGCTCTATGGACTTTTTCCAAGCTTTCTGATTACCTCGTCAAACCCATCGCTGCCTCCGGAGTTGCTGACCTTGTCAGAAGTAGTGCTGGTCCCTCCAATCTTGACGCTTCTGCTGCATATGCAGGGAACACGACGGCAGAGTATGCCACTAATGGGAAGGTGCCCTCTGTAATCGAGTAGCCTAAGCCTGCAACTGTGGACACACCTGCTACTGAGAAGCTCGCGGTTGAGGGGAACACTGCCTCTTCCGGTAAGACTACTCAGCAATGAAGTCAATGTGGGGGCAGCAATTAGGGCCGGTATCTCTTAGGTTGGACAGAACGAGTAGTACTCTCAGTGCTTTAATTCTGGTCCGGGACGAGGCAGGGTGGGAAAAGCCATTGTCTGTGTTAAGAACGAAACCGTTGGTGTTGTCAAATCAGCTTCAAAAACGTGCCTGTGAGCTTTATCCCTGTAGACAGCTATATCAGGTTGTTTGGAGAAGTAGAGAAAGGCCTGCGCCGATGACGCTGGGCGAAGCATCAGCAATTGCTTGTTCCTTGGGTCGTTTGCAGGCTTGCAGAAGCGTTATTTTTTGAGCCAGAACAGCTGGGCTGGTCCTATTCCATTTTGACCCTCTAGCCCAATACATGGTTCCCAGATGTACACGCAGATGTGCCCGTATGCCTGCTGCCTGCAGGTATGACGGACAGATGACATGGGAGAGAAGACAATACGAGAAGGATTCGGCCAAGCCCCACAAAGCGCCAATGATTGTGATCCCTTGCAGCACTCGGTCAGAAGGGTTGCAAGTCGCTCTCTTGTCTAGCACCCATCTAACAATGGCAGAAACCATCGAATACAGGACTGAGATACTACCTAAGTTTTCTGAATTATAATAGCAGCTGCTCGGAAGGACCGGAACGAGTTCGGATATATGCTGTGTCCGTTGAATGGACTTCATAGAGCCAGGGATACAGTTCTTAGTGCTAGGCCGTTAACCAAATCAGCTGACACCTGGACAAGGACCTGAGGTGCAAAGTCATGTCGAAGTACATTAATGGCTTGTTGGTCTCTGTACGGAGTACTTCTACTAGCTCCTATAAACCCTGGCACTTTGACAAGTCAGCGCGCCAACACAGGGCGGTTTGATGGCGCCAGAGCGGCCATCCCTGTTTCTGTAGGCCACGCAACAAATTGAAGGTGAATGATTGGATGGTCTAAATTTCCTAAAAGCTCTCGAGTCTTATTGGTATTAGACGTTCTCGTATACGAGAAGCATGTTGTCACGGAAGACTCCATGCTGACATCACTGGGTGCACGGCATGTTTTAATTAGTACATGGAATACGGGCAAGTGGCATAAGGGTCAGATCTGGACGCCAAAAGAACATTCAATAATCATGCGCCTGAAGAGCTGCAGCGGTATTGATCGGCGTCCTGTGCCCTGCAAAGGATTGCGCTGCGAGGTAGCCCATTACAAGGACATAAAAGCACTTATCTGCAAGTCGGAGTATTTATAAACTGGATGGACTCGTATCATTCGCATTTCGACCAGGCGCCGCTAACCTCCACCATTAACATTTTGTTGAGTTTCAAGAGCCGTCATTCAAAGTCTATTTTCACCCCGAAATGCATTTCTCTAGTATTCTCGCCACCTCCTTCGTGGCCGCTGCCTCAGCCAAGAATACAGTCTACCCACCGATCAATCTGGGTCGGTTCTATTATCCTCACGGAAATCAATTCGTTGCGTGGTCACCATTCACTCCTACGACCACACAAGAATTGGCTGAGGTGTGCGATACCCGCGGTGCGATTAGAGGAACAGCGACTTGGACCGCCGTCAGAGTCTGGAACACCTACGTCTTTGATCCCATCTGCCGCAACCCCTTCAACATCACCGACGATGTTACCAACACCACTTACTACAACTTAGAGCTTGCATGTGTGGATGACGACATCCCTATCACGGCGGAGCCCGAGGTGACCGCCGTCGTGGACACGAACACCAACAAGACCATCGAAACTTGCGTCCCAGTGCCGACAGACAACGGGCTTGGCGGCGGCGTGAGCTGCAGCAGCCCAATTAATGGAGGTGTCGCGTTCCAATTTGCTTGTACTCCTGCTGGTGCCTGAAAGATGTCACGATAGCTTCATACGCTTTCCACCTTATGTAAGAGCACTGTCATGTGCTTTATCACGTGGTGTTTCACCCTCATTCAACTATATATAGGTCTTTATTTTTCTATTCCTTCACTTACATAGAAATAAGCCTTTTAGACCTTAAATATTTTATGCCCTGCTGTGTGCTCTAACTCGTGACAAAAGATCTATGGCGACAGAGATATGGGCGAAGCAACTCATGCTACACACTCGTCGGACCATTTGATGTCTACCCTTGGACGTAGAAAGTGGCTTGACACACTTTCAATAGAATCGAATTTCATAGCATGCATATGGGAATGACATAAAGATGCACTCGAGCCCAATTTATCGCTGTTGACAAGTTTCTATGTACTCACGGCGCAGTTTCTTTTACCGGTGAGCTGAGACCTGCTGTACGCAAATCCAGCAAGCTATGTCACTTCCGCCCGATACCTCTGTGAACCCCACAACAATCACATTTTCATTTGTCTGTTCGGCTGTTGGAAGTTGACAGTCCACTACAGCATTGTGTCGGCAAGCTATCACAAAGCACACAGCACTTCATTCAAAGCAACCAACCCAACTTTGGCCTTGAAGTTAGTTAGTTGACTCAGCTATTCCCATAGTTGGTTGGTTGGTTGAATGCCATTTTTCCACGATAGTTGGTTGAATTGGTTGTTTTCAGTTAAATACCCTAGGGCCCATAAGGCTATTCCCATAGTATAGAAAGGCAGCCCATCGTGGCAGTCCATCGTGGCCCATCGTCAGAATAAAAGGTCTAATCGGGGGGAAAGTAAGTATAAGGGGCTATAACTTGTAGCCAAGTATCCACCATATATCCACATAAACACCAAGAATGACACCACAAGCAAGGATATAGTGTAAGTATTCGGTTTCAAAATGAATATATAGCAGATGTGATGAACCGCAGCGTCTGGTCATTTGAAAGTAACTTAGTTGTCCTATTAAGAATCTACGTATGAACCGGAGAAGCGGTAGAAATATCCTTCTCACATGGTCTGTGCAGGTGGTACGCCATATGCGTGGCGACGTCCACTGGTACTAGCCACACGAAGCTATTCCAGCTTCACGACAGCAGAGGAATACATAGACAATCCAACTCCACACAAGTCAATCAAATAACCCAACTTTAGCCTTAAAGTTAGTTAGTTGAAGTAAAGCTATTCGCAAAGTTAACAGGTTGGTTGATGAAGTTGGTTGGCTGGGTTGCTCTGAGTGAAGCGCTGGAAGCACATGATACGTCAGTCACTGTGCCTATTTAACGGCTTTAATTTTTGCGACATAAGCCTCCTTGTAATTCGAAGGGATCGAAGAAAGAGCCTTGTACTAGATGTATCTCTATGTTTATGCCTTCTCTCCTCACTGCATGAAAATTTTGCTAGTGCTAGTTGTTAATATTTAACTCACAACGCTCCCTAGCCAAATGACTAAACCCATAGGTATTTCAGTCAATGACATCACAAGCTGAGCGAGTGGGGATGCTGGCCAGTTCCGGCTTGTGATTAGCGCCGGCCTCTCCACGTTTCGTCCTCTGGGTCGGGATCGTGAGTGGAGGGCTCTAGTCCCGTTTGGGATGCATTCTGCGCCAGTTGAGAAATAAAGCGATTTACCCACCGTTCAGACTTGTCTGAACGGTGAGGCGTAACCGATCATTGCAGATGAGATGCGATCTCCGTAGAAGAATGTAATGCACTTATCTTATTACAGTCGAGGTATTTTTTTTGTCAAATGGAGCTACTTAGACACACAACTTGACTATTTAACATGCCTATATCCCCGTTACATGGTAAGGACGACAGACTAGATTCTCAACGACATACTCTCTCATATCAGGGATCCCGGTTCCACACATTATTCCAACTTAATCTAAAAGTTTCTCCTGGTCTCTCTCATTTCCATCGGACTATCAAATACAATGCCTGACAACCAAGCTGCCTGGCTCACCGGAAAGAAGGTCAAACCTCTGGAAGTTAGATCCGCAGCTTACACGCCGCCTGGTGAGAATGAGATCGTCATCCACAACCGTGCTGTAGCCATCAACCCTGTCGACTGGATCAAACAAGAAGTCGGCGACTTCATGTACGAATGGGTCAAGTACCCGATGATTCTAGGCAACGATGTTGCAGGCGACGTCGTCGAAGTTGGCTCCGGCATCAGTGCAGCCCGATTCAAGGTCGGAGACCGCGTTCTTGGGCACGCCGTCGGCCTCGATAAGCGAAGCAATAGGACTTCGGAGGGCGCTTTCCAACACTACGTCGTCTTGAGGGCTAATCTCACTTCGACGATCCCCGACTTCATCAGCTTCGAGCAGGCTTGTGTGGTGCCCCTCGGTGCATCGACCGCCGCTTCTGGCCTCTTCGACAAAGACTTTCTCAACTTGCAGCACCCGAGGCTCGACGCAAAGCCAAACGGCGAGACACTCTTGGTCTGGGGCGGCTCGACAAGCGTGGGCTGTAACGCGATCCAGCTCGCCGTTGGTGCAGGGTACGAGGTCATTGCAACGGCGTCGCCAAAGAACTTCGAATACCTCAAGACCCTCGGCGCAAAAGAGGTCTTTGATTACCGCAGCGCCACCGTCGTCCAAGATATCATCGCAGCATTCCGGGGACGAATATCCGCCGGAGCCATCGCCATCGGGGCCAACTCCCTCGTTCCCTGTGTCAACATCATCGCGGCATCAAAGGGGCGGAAGTTTGTTGCACAGGCTAGCGTTGCCGGGGCCGGGAAGCCGCCTACCAGCATGACTGGCCTGGTGTCCATGATGTGGGCGTTGGCTTGTGAAAGTGTTACAGCCTCTGTCAAGGGCAAGCTTTCCGGGGTGCGAAGCAAGTTTATCTGGGGAAGCGACGTGATGGCGACCGATGTTGGCGCGGCCATCTATCAAGACTTCTTACCCTATGCCATGGCTCAGGGCAAGTTCACTCCGGCACCAAAAGCGGAGGTCTTTGGAAATGGGCTCGGCTCAATCCAAGAGGCGTTTGGAGTAAGCTACAAGGGGGTGTCTGCGAAGAAAGTGGTTGTTTCTCTCTAAATACCCACAGCCAATTTCGTGTTTCCATCTATATTGCATTATGCATGTTCTTATCTGGTCGACGACGCATCGTCCCAAGCACATATTTTCAGTTCAGAGGCCACTTCAGTCTTGGCTCAATGAAATAGTAAAATCTATGAATGCTTTGTCCGTTGATCGATCTACTGCTGAAGCCTGTGTTCCTGCAGTTTCTGATTCGGTTGAAACCCAATTCTTTGTAACTTCCATCGACAGCCCCACCGTTACTCTGATCCATGGCGCCGAGCAAAGCCTAGCCAAGGTCCGCCCAATAGGAAGAAAAAGAACGCGTACCAAGCTTTTCTTAGAGATCAGATGCCAATACTGGCAGGTTCGTCGCATATAGGTACACCAACGGGAGCTTCGCTCGGCACTGATCATCTGCCGGCGTTCCTAGTTTACCTAGGTACTACCTAGTACCTGCACCCCAAGGCCGGCCCGAGTGCGGGGTAATGTACGGATATCGTGTCCCGGTATGCTTATGCACGTGGGACTGGTTGGGTTCCAGGATTGAGTCGCAGCGTCCGCGCGACCCCATTGTTGTATCAGACCTTGACTGGGCGACAGCGTTGTACTCCCATGGGTCGTACGCATGGCAAGGCAATGCTTGCAACCTGATGACCAGTGCTTGACGGACAGATCCGCCAATCTCTTGCTTGGTTAGAGAATTAATACTACGGCACGCACAGCCAAAGCCCCTACCGCCTATACTGCTAGCAACAGGGAAGATGCAACTATTGAACAGATACTTCGTGCGGCTCGTGTTCCCCCGAGCTGGGTGTCGCTAGACGTGGGTATTTAATATCTTGGGAAGCCACTCGCACGGCTCGTGTTCACCCGGGCACTGTGGTCTTATTGGGCCGCATCGGGTTGTGTCAAGAATAACGACGCTCGGCACTGGCTTCCGATCCAAACCTTGGTTCTCGTGACTTAGACATGTGTGGCCACGTCGTCGTGAGGTTCTTCTCAAGTGGCACCCTGACATTACTACCTATGTAATATTTCGGTCAGGCTTGCAGTCCCAACCTGGAAGGTGAAGTGGAAATACATCATGTGCATCCTGATTGGAGGCAATATCTGACGGTTCAGTCTCCATCGCATACCGCTGCTCTTGATTCGTGTCTCGGACTTGTCATCTTAATTGCGAGTTCGGATGATAGTACGGATACAAACGAAGGCTCAGATGCCCAGCAGCTTAAAAGCTGACGATGTGCCGGCACTCACTTCCTATCGAGTAGCTTAGACCGCTGCTCACAGGCGTTCTCATCTCTCCTTTGCTGTCGCAACCCCTTTCGCAAGCGATTAGACATCATAATGTCTTCACGATCCAGCCTTGAACGCGCCGGCGTACTCGCCCTTGGCCTTGCTGCTACAGGGTCCCTTGTCGCCGCCGGGCCCTGCGATATCTACTCTTCTGGTGGCACGCCATGCATCGCCGCACATAGCACCACCCGCGCTCTGTACAGCGCCTACAGCGGCTCTCTTTACCAGATTAAGCGCGGCTCCGATGGTGCTACGACTAACATCGCGCCGCTGTCCGCCGGCGGTGTCGCGAATGCTGCCGCCCAAGACACCTTCTGTGCCAATACGACCTGTCTCATCAGCGTCATCTACGACCAGTCCGGCCGCGGCAATCACCTCACCCAGGCACCGGGTGGCGCTCATACCGGCCCGGATGTCGACGGCAACGATAACCTCGCCAGCGCGATCGGCGCACCCGTCACGCTGAACGGCCAGAAGGCATATGGCGTCTTCATCTCGCCCGGCACCGGCTACCGGAACAACGCCGCTCAGGGCACAGCCAGAGGCAACGAGCCGGAGGGCATGTACGCCGTCCTCGACGGCACCCACTACAATGGCGGTTGCTGCTTCGACTATGGCAACGCCGAGGTCAGCAGGACCGACACGGGCAACGGCCATATGGAGGCCATCTACTTTGGTGACAGCACGGGTTGGGGCACCGGCGCCGGCAGCGGCCCTTGGATCATGGCTGATCTCGAGAACGGCCTGTTCTCCGGAGTCAGCCCCGCCAACAACCCTGGCGACCCGTCCATCACAGACCGCTTCGTCACGGCAGTCGTTAAGGGTGCTCCGAACCAGTGGGCGATCCGTGGTGGCAATGCCGCGTCCGGGGCGTTGACGACGTTCTATAACGGTGTGCGCCCGAACAAGTCTGGGTACAACCCGATGAGCTTGGAGGGCTCCATCATTCTTGGCATCGGCGGTGACAACAGCATCAGCGCCCAAGGCACGTTCTATGAGGGCGTCATGACCACTGGCTTTCCATCCGACGCCACCGAGAACGCGGTGCAAGCCGACATTGTCGCAGCCAAGTACGCTACAACCTCCCTGAACAGCGGCACGGCTCTGACCGTCGGCTCCTCGATCTCGCTGAGGGCCACCACCGCCTGCTGCACGGCTCGGTACCTCGCACACACTGGCTCCACGGTCGACACTCAGATCGTCACGTCCTCGAGCAGCACCGCTCTTAAGCAGCAGGCCAGCTGGACAGTCCGCACCGGTCTTGCAAACAGCGACTGCTTCTCGTTCGAGTCCAAGGACACCCCCGGCAGCTTCATCCGGCAGTTCAATTTCCACCTCGCGCTTAACACCAATGACGGCAGCAAACAGTTCAGTGAAGATGCCACGTTCTGCACGCAGGCCGGTCTCAACGGCCAGGGCGACTCGATCCGGTCCTGGAGCCATCCCACACGGTACTTCCGTCACTACGCCAATGTCGCCTACATCGCCAACAATGGCGGCGTTCACATCTTCGATGCCGCCGCTCTCTTCAATGACGACGTGAGCTGGGTCATCAACAGCAGCTTTGCGTGAAATGATTTGAGTTCTATGGGATAGTATTGAGTAATACTGGGGCCGGTTTTATAAATTAAAGTACATAACCATTCTATACTTAGCTTGCTTGTTCGGTATGCATAAATCATAATAACGCTGAATGAAAGTATATTTCGCTCTACATTTCCAGTATATTTGATCCTCCTGACGACTTGAAAAGAGAAGAAAAAAAATAAAAATAGACCAAACCCGCCAGTGGATTATGCTCGTTGATGTCTGGAGACCGAAATGACCATGTTTCACAACGTCTTGTGAAGGAAGCTCTGGTGTGACATGCGCTACGTGAAGAATACAGAACGAGGGCAACCCGGCCGAACGTGCCAGGGCCAGGTCACCGGCAACATCACCCAGCGTCAAGCATGCGAGAACGAGGAGCGAGAGAGCTCAGCGGACGTTTATCGTCGCATATGTCGTAAGTCATCTAATAGTCAATTAATAGCAAACGGTATTAAGTCAGACCTCACTGGGTATACCACCAAGTCACTCTTCGGTAGAGGCCTAGGTTACACCGCATATCATCGGATGAACCCCACGCAAATACCTACAATACTGAATATTAATGGACAACCAACTTGGCCATTTGGGTGGCTCATCCAGCTAAGAAGAGCCTGCAAACCTTCGCGATTCATGCACACCTTCCACATCAGGCTAGAGTGGCCAAGGAGCAACGGCACGCATAGCATGCATGATTCGTTCCCGCGTTTATTCTTGCAACATTCAAGCTTTGGGCGAAGGAACAAGTTGATATCATGTCTTGGCACAGATCAACGCTTATTATCCCTTTAACTGCCAGGTGATCCCATTTCTGCCAAGGGCAGGGTAGAGCCAATGCATTTACAGCATTAAGTCCGATAAGCCAATAGTTTTTAGGTACTTCTGTTTATATACTGTTTTGCCTATACTAAAGGTACTAGTATATATAGAGGTATATTATAGTCTAAGTAGCCCTACTAGGTCTTTTATTACTATACCTACTACTTATAACTAAGTACCTCTAGATATTAATATAAATAGTAGTATAATTAGAGGTTTTCTATTAAAAGATCTTATAGCTTTGATATAATAATAAGATTAAGTTTAGTAGTGCTGCCTGATAGAACAGTATTATAAAATTATGTATTTGTTATGTACTGCTAAATATTTAGGGTAAAAGTGGAGGGGGATCTACCTTGGCAGAAATGGGGTCACCTGGCAATTAAAGGGATACATACTATCCGCACATACAGTAGGCTAAAAGATGGGCATTCGTCAACTTGGGTATGATAGAGGTTTTCCAATGGCTTATCTCGTGAGCGGCACTCAACCCTGCAACCCACTCCAAATCACTGGGTCAGGCTCATTCTATGACATTGATATGGGGTTAATGTACTCCGTACTCTCTGCCCCCATCAAGCGGAGATGTCATGTTATCGCCCGTACCTATTCTCCTAATCCTGACTCGCGATGCCGACGGAAGATAAGCAGACATGATAATGACCGGTACCCAGACACTCTAAAAATTGGAGCAAATCCTCTTACCCAGAATATTTCCCTTGCAAAGTACCTCACGCCATTGATTGATGACGCCGAGACAACTTACAACAGTGGCCATGATGGGACAACCAGGACGGCAAGTTAAGACGAAGATCAAGTACTTTGATGACCCTGGAGTGCCATTGGTGCCCATGGTGATTGGAGGGTGAGACGCTAATGACATGACAAAATATTCCTACGCTGATAGGGGTGGATTATTAGCCCGGAGCCTGGCAAGCCGCAACCTAAAATCGAAATCCCGACGACAATTACAGATATTACCGGCAGAGAAGATGAATTCACGCTCGACGTCCAAGGATTTCACTACGTGAAGCATGAGAGCCAAGTGACGAACTGGGACGATGATGAAGAGATCAAGCGAGTGAACTATCCAGAAATGGAGAAGCTGTGTTGCAAGGTTTTGGCGGAAACCGAGAACATGTGAGCGAACCCCCTTTCACGATAGTTCTATTATTTCGCCAAGTCACAATCTGTTACAGGCCTAAACCCTGCTTAGTGCACATTATGACGCATATAATACGTCGTGGACCTAAGGATGGCGAAGGCCCCCAAGGTCCGGCGCCGTTATACGGTGTTCACGTCGACCAGTCTTTTGCAGCTGCGGAGGGTGTTGCCCAGAGATGGCTGGGAGATAGGGCAGAGGAGCTGCTCAAAAAGCCACGATATCAAATCATCAACGCAAGTGTGCCGCGGCGCCGGTTGTATCTCCAAAAGCTAATCGTATATCTAGATGTGGCGGCCGATTCGCCCCATTACGCGGGATCCCTTCGCCGTTTCCGACGCCAGAACCATCCCGGATTCAGACCTGGTGTTCGTGCCAGTACGATTTCCGGACCATGACACCGAGGCGGTGGAAGTGCGCCCGCCGACGAACTCGTCTCACAAATGGTACTTCAAGGACCAACAGCAGCCAGATGATGTCTTGTTCTTCAAACAGGTGAACTCGAGCACCAAGCCGGGAGTTCCTAGAAGAGTTCCCCACTGTGCTTTCAAGGACACAGATCTGCCCGAGGGAGCCGGAGAGCCGAGGGTCAGTGTCGAGGTCAGAGCATTTGTCTTCTACGATGAGGATTAGATAGATACTTGGGCATGATACAAAGTTCAGACACCTCAAGAACTAAGTCAGTGAGGCAAATTGCTTTCCCATCTGTCGTACGTAGTACACAAGGCGTTAATTGCTGCTTGCGATTAACGGCGTCGTTTTTGCGACACCATCTGAATCAGCATATGTCGTGTCTATGCCGCACTTATAATTGGCAGTGTGCTTGGCAAAGAAAATACGCATCACGGAGGCCACAGAGAGGCTATTTCTCTACATATGCTCGCTCAGTTATGCCAACTTGGTGCCTGATCGGACGTTGTGCATGGCCTAGTTTATTGTGCACCTCAAAACAAGGGCTTCGCCAGTCAGGACATCATAGTATGCTAGCTTGTAACGAAGCTAGCACAAGACAGTTGATATCGAACAAAGCTCTAAACGCATATATCGTCAATGATGTTCCCACACTAAACAGCAGAGAGTCTTTTTAGACTCATAAAGACTTGGATTCAGTTTTACTGGGCGGCTGTTTATTCTTCAACTGACGCGTCTTCTCCATGGTGGCTGTATGATTGTGATCATATCTTGGCCTAATTTCAGAGGCAGAATAATGTAGCCAATGAAAGCCACCCACAATGACTTCCTGTACGCTCTGCTCACATTTTCATCGCGACTCAAGCTGAGGCTAGCTAGAAATATAGTTACGGTAACGATCACTTCATCATATGTAACTAGGTTATTGAACCGAACTATGAGAACTCAAGTCTGAATCAACCTCGGAGTCGGGAAATCTCGGATTAAATCATCTCAAGTGCTGTCCGAAAGCAGTGCGGAAGCTTCTTTGCAAAGTACCCTTCGTGATACGTTCTTTGATAGAACAACTTATCCATGGGGAGCATTCGGCGGTGACGTCCTTGATTCTGTTGATTCTGTGGAGTTTCTAGCAGTATTCTAGTTGGGTCGGCGATTGCCTCATATGAGCCTGTAGCTTTTCAACACGGTTTTCAGTTGGTCAACACCAGCTTCATCCCAACAGCTTGGATCCGAGGCTTCACACCATGAAGGGTCACGCGGGAACCAGCGGCGGGGTATCCAGAGTCTCAGGGAGGCCCTTGCTTCCCCATGCTCACTCGACTTCGAAGGTTGTGAGTAGCCGCAACCTTTTTGGGTACCCAAACCGGCTTTTCGTGCTTCAGTAGCATAAATGATATAGTCCGCTCGAAAGATCACGCCTCGCTGGTCGTAGAGGGACGGTCTCGACTCCTTTTCTTTTCTGTCAGTGTTTCTTTTTTCGTTCTATAATAGTTTATTCTAGGGAATTATGATGATGATAGGAGTGAAGGGATGGTATAGCTGTACAATGAGCTGAGTCTAGGTGGTATCTACAGAGCAAACATGCCAGATGCTCTTCACAAAACAACGCCGTATAATGACAATTCCAGTATGCTGCTGCCTCCAGATTCTATGAATGGACACTCAAAACGCGGCCATCAACTTCCAACCTGTCCGACGAACTCTTGCTGCGAGGATGAACGCTGTACCCGCCAAGCAGAAAACTCCTGAAAAAATCTTGATACCAACCCAGCCACCAGATCCGGACAGGATGGCGCCGTTGATTGGGTTCGTCGTCAGACCGGCAATGGCGTTGGCCAAGAACGCGATGCCCGTCCGGAAGCCAATTTCCTGTATTGGCGAGATCTGCGCGATCAGGGGCGCGATGAGGGACACATACGCGCCGGAGCAGAAGCCGAAGAGCACGGCAAACGCGATGATGGCGCCGTCCGTCTTGGCAGGGATCCAGAGCGCAAGCATCCAAATGGGGGTGAGGAAACCCACCAGGACAAAGATGTTGTACCTCCCAATCTTGTCGCCCAGGATACCCGAGGTAATGCGTCCGAACAAACTTCCCGCGTTGAGCATGGAGACGAGGTATTGAGCCAAGTTGGGGTCCATGCCGGCATCGAGTGCCTGCACCTGGATGTAGTTGATGGGAACAAAGATGCCGTAGGTGAAGAGGAAGAAGCCGATGATAACGCACGCGAACTCGAACTCCTTCAAGGGGGCCAGAAGCTGCCCCCGACTGAGCTTCTGCGGGCGGGGCGGATGGAATGCCTTGATGGTGAGGTTGGCGATGATGAGCAGGGCAAGGATAATGAAGGCACAGATGCGCATCGCCCAAGGGAAGCCGAGGGTTTTGATCACCCGTGTCACCATGATGGGAAAGATGACACCGCCAAGGCTGGACCCTGTGGAAAGCACGCCAAAGGCGGCGCCACGGTTGCGATTAAACCAGCCATGAATAACGCTCAGCCCAGGCGATAGAATTGCCGCAACTCCAATGGCGGAGCAGATTCCCTGGGCAAGAAGGATCTGCCAGTACTTCGTCGCAAGGGATGTCATCATGAGGCCGAAGACGTGTAGGATTGTGCCGCCAAAGAGCAGCCAGCGAGGGCCATAGTGGTCGTATATGTGGCCGACGAGGGGCCCCTGAAGATCGTCAGCAAATTCAACTTAAAAAAGGCGTTCAATAACTTACCAGGCCCATCATGAAAAAGATCTGAAGGGAAGGGATCCATGAAATGGTGCTCGGCGAGTAGTTGGGGAGCAGGTCGTTCTGGTAGTACTCCTGGAAAGCCCCCACACCTAAGTTGTGTTAGCTTCATTGTTGTCAAACAAGCTTCAAGGTCGGATCATACTGTTCACCCAGCCGAAGCTGCAGAACGACGTCGCCCACGCTCCTAGCACGACTAGCCATGCTACCAGACCGCCGTCCGGCGCATCGCTTCCTGGAGGCGGCGGTTGCGTAGCATCGGTTGACAGAGCGGCTCCGGCGCCTTTTTCGGGGTCGAGTTGCTGAGCCGTCGACGGGCGATCAGATGAGTAATCTGTTGTGTCCTGGTCCATTTTGGCTACGGGCCCTTGCGAGTCCGCCAGAGAAGAAGGATAATCCCCCTTGGACATCTGGACCACGAGTATCTCGATAGTATTATCTGGTTGGTCAGTTGTATAGGGACAGGAGTCATAAACTTTGGGGTAATAGTATCGGAGTGTCGGCGATGGGGGGTGAAAGTTGTCGCTTGCTATATTCGTGCAGGGAATAGTGGCGAAGAAAGTCCAAGCTACCGGGATGAGGAAAGACTAAGTACTCGGGATTTCAAGCTGGAATGACAATTCTGGAAGCAATAATGAACTACAAGGGGCGGCATCCCATCATCAGGACGGCTCTTGTCCGGCGCCGACGCCGTACGCTTGGATATGGTATTGCATCGACAAACTGGCGTTGATCCACCTGGCTGCGTGGCAGTGGAATCCGATATGATCGAATGGGTCCGATATGGCCGCCGTAAGCACTAATTTAGAGGACTGTTTCAATATTGACAGACTCTGGGACGCGAGATTGCGCGTATTGGTAATGCTCAGGAGCGTGTATTGATGTCGGGTTCCATTCCTTTCGGCGGATGGCCCTTCTACAAACACCGAGGCCGAGCATCTCACAGCCAATCGGCCGCAAGGGTGGATCCCCACCGACGAGCCTGGAGCGAATAACACAAAGGACCGAAAGGGCGGTCCCCTCCTTGATTTCATTGTCAGAATTTGGCTGTTCTCGAGACTGTGTTGTATGTATGTTGAGGAACCACGGATAGACGTCATCAGAACCCGCATTGGTGGAGTAATATCTTGTTGTTCGAACGTCTCATAACTAATACTATGAATTACCTAGGTAGGTGGTGAGCTTGTATTACCACTTCCGTCTCTCAAGTTGGTATTACCCGGCTAATTGGTATTGTAGAATCACGCTCCCTTGTGACGACACCCCCATCTGAAAGACGCCGGGCTACAGCGATTGCACTATGCCCTTAGCCCAAACCGGGATGGATTATCCCATCAAAAGGAATCAGAGTGCTCGGGCATATCGTATGCCCGAGCGGTAGGAAACACTAGCCGGAGGCCGATTTGGACCCGGTCTATGTCGTGCCACACCAGAGCCGCTTTCCAGTACCTTCTTTCTTACAAGGCTGTCTGTGGTCGTGGCGAAATCGCCGACAACCACTCGAATATGAACAACGTCCGAATAGCTCGGCACATGTCAAACCAAAGGGTATCATCCGGAACAAGGTAACGCCGTCGCTGCCTTCAATCCTACACCATTTCCGTAGCATCGACAGGTTTCGCACCATGTACTGATTTCTGGTAGTCTGGCACCCGATCTGGTAGATATTCGACATGATCAATCGGCTTGTTATTTGACAGAGGCCATTCCGGTTTCGTCGGCCGCGTGTCGGCGTTCGGGGCATCGTGGACGGGCTGCCGCCCTAAACTCTTGCGCCAGGTGGACTTGGGCATCTCCGGCATGCTCTGCAGCGCCGCGGCGCGCTCGAAGACGGTGGGTGACGCCGGCTCATCGAGCGCGGAGAAACGCCTGGCGATATTTGGCGCCACGTGCTTGATAAAGGGCTTGAGGAATGGGAGGCAAGTGCAGATGATGCCCACGTTGGCTTCCACCACGCTGCGGCAGGTCAGTGTCTGTGGGCAAGAGGACGCGGAGCAGGCTGCTTACCACCAAATGATGCTGATGGAGGCGGTCCAGGTAAAGTCGGTATTGCCGAAGCCGAGGGGGATCATGACCATACGCACAATGCTTGGCCCAAGTACACTGGCCGTATTGTCAGTGACAGCTCGGAACTTTGGAAGATGCCGCCGGGAAATGTACTTACAATCCGCCCGCCATGAGGAAGATGGTCATCTCGATCTTTTTGACGAGCCTCAATGACAAGGGCGCCAGAATCCATATAGGAAGCAACAAGATGGCGATGTCAGTGGCGACGTTGCAGACGGATAGCATCAGCCACCACATGGATTCATTGACGCAGGTTCCTGGCACGCTCTCGTCCCAGATCCTCTCCATCGGCGTGCAGAGGTAAGCCCAGCTGAGAGCGCCGGCGCACGAGTATGCCACGGTGGCGACCATGACCGCGTACACCACCATCCTGATCGGCTGCGTCAGGGGGAAGCGCAGGTAGAAGACGAGGATCGAGGCCTTGGTGAAGAGCACGGACAGGCTGTAAGCGGCGAGGTCGACCATGCTCAGCTTGTGGAACGCAATGACAGCGGCCCTGCTGACTTCCCAGATGTGATGGCCCGCGCCGTTGCGGGTCTCGTAGACCTGGATGACTGAGTACGTTGTGGCGAAGACGAGGGCGATGAAGATCAGGCAGTCGTCAAGCTGAGCCCGGCGTATCACGACCTTGGCGGTGTACAGCCGGATGGCGCAGAAGAAGATGGCGATCAGGTTCAACAGGATGGCGACGACGAGGACCTGCGGGACCATTGACTCGGACGGGTCGTCGAAGTTGGCTTCAATGCCTGGCAGCTCCATGGCCATTAGATTGGTTTCGTTGATTGTCGACATCGCATGATGGGGCTGGTGTTCGAAGGCAGATCTGATCGGCACGGATTCGTCTAGTGGTTCTCGGTATGATAGATCAGCAGGAAGGGAAGGGGGAAAGCTCCCCATGGGACTATTTAGCGGCAGCATGAATCACGTCACCCTACCCACGAATCATTCCTAGCCTTCCAGCGCGGAGGGTTCTCCATGATGGAAGGAAACTATGTCGGTAGTTTCTCGGCGCACTGCCCGGTTCGATTGATTACGAGTAATGCACACTAGTCATTGGCATACAAGTACACCATCAGTCCAGTGCTTCATCAGACAAAGCTTGTTTTTTGTATTCGCGAAGACCGGGGGGCGGTTTTCCTCTCCGGTACGCATACCATGCTCTGCACGCACACTGGTCTAGGAGAAGCAGAAGTGTGTCTGTCCTAATAGCCGCCAACCCGAACACCAAGTCAGTCCCGAGGGCCGACTTTGGCCATCCTATCCTGTTCCGGGGTCGTCGTCGAGTGGCCTCGATGTAGCCAAGCTCCAGGTAGGGCCCAAGGTTGTTTCCTGAGCCCGGAAGAAAAGCAACGTTATTCCATCTTACTGGATGCTTCTAAGTCGCCTGTAGTCGGCTAATCGGCTGTGCGGCGGGGAAAGCTTCTTCGGAAAGTCAGTGCCCCTCTGCCGATCTCTCGGAACCAAGCAAAGGCACTCGATAGGGCCCTCGCGCGGGTTGACGACCACTACCAATGACCAACCGGACCGCCGATAGTGCTGCTACGGTAGGTCGGAGATCCCTGCGCCGGGACGAGCAAGCGGGATCAACACGCTTCCAGACTTGGCTGTCGGGAGACTGTGGAAACTTTGTCCGCCTCCAGGGCTCACAGGGGTATGGGCTGCGAGTCTTCGGACACGGAGCCTGGGCCGATTATTCTTCTTGGCTGGGCTAAAGCGAATCTTACCCCCTCCAAGCTGGCCAAGCTCGACTCGTAAAATCGTGGCGATACAGTTTCCCGAGCCAACTCCCGAGCTAACATCCTGGATCTGACGCACGGCGTGAGAAAATCTTAACCTAACGCTGGGCCGCGATGGTCGCGGCCAACACGCGTACTTATCATCTGCACATAACAAGGTATGACCTTACTTCTTATGTCGATCAACCGCCCCAATGTACAAGTAATACCTGTATTATTGTGCTTCTCCAACTCGACCGTAGGCACTGTATTGCCTGGGGTTGGCAGAGTTGAGGTGAGCTGGTGCCGCGCCCGCGTCAGTCTCTTGTAAGCGATGCTTTCGCGTTCTTGCCACTGCAGCGAGATAAGTCAGAATGGTCGAGTCGGCCAACATTCAACCGTGTCAAGGCTCGAAGTAGGTGGGAAAGCTACTCCGTGCATGTAGGTTCGAGCTGGCCACAGTTTGGGGAAACGAGCCGGTTCTATTGCGTATCCCCGGAAAACGCTGCCGAACCTTCATGATGTATTTTTCGAGCTCGCTGTCGGCGGGAAGTCTGTTATGGCTTGTCACAATGTGACGTCAAGTGAAGCATCACCAGCAGGTGCCGTTCCTCATTTGTCGACTCTCAGGGTCAAAGCTTCACGTCCGTGTTACAAGTTGCGGAAGGGGGGGGGAGAGCAATAAAGTGTGAACCCAAACGCTTCGGCTAAGCCACGCGGTAGATCAGACACCGATGACACCCGACTTCTTGTCTTTTCATCAAGACAAAGCGTCATTCCGTAATTCTTTGGCTGATATCTGTATCTTTAGGACATTCGAGATCCGATGTTTGGCCCTCGCTCGGGTTCTGACTGCAAGTCTTAACAAAGCAGAGATGAGTTTCTCTCATTTTACCTATTCTAACATCAGTACAGACTTGGTTTGCCATTTAAGCATGTCCGCGTCACCATGTCTGTGCGAATCAACTGGATGAAATATTCCATTTCCCCCAAAGTAAGCGTATCGATGGGACGACGTCAGAGACAGCAGAATACTATAATCGTAGCTTCCTTCGCTCATGATTCCTAATGGAGTCCTAGCATCTTTCCCAGTTCTTGTAGGGCATCTTACCATAGCAGGCCATATCTGAAGTTTCATGGAATCTCGGCATGCCAGTGTGCACGAAGCTCCTGTTCCTGCAGGCCGTAGGAGCAAAGGAGAAGGTGATAAGAGAGCCAAGCTGCCTTTGTACAGTGGCAAGGTCATGATCGGGAGCAGTAACGGTGAGTCCCTCAGCGTGCCGCGTCTCGGTCCGGCCGCCGGCCTGCACAAGGACGTCGGTATCATGTTCCAGTACCTGACCGGCTCCACGCGTATGGTGTACAGCATCGGCCCAAATGTAATCGTGAATAGAAGCAAAAGCTTTGCGCTGGGTATTAGGTATCAAACTCGCGACTCGGAGGTGCCGGCTTAGTGGTGGCCCAACAGTCCACCTGTCTGGTATAGATGGCTACAAATTACTGACACCCCGCAAAATGGTGCTTCCCCTGGTATCCTGAACCTCGTCAAATCCAAGGCAAATCAAACCTTCTCCGACACGTTCCGGCTGAGAGGCTGAACTCTCTCGGCCACGAACATGTCCTCCGAGGTGAGCTCGTACTTGCTTGACTTGCGAGCCGAGACGCCCTTCTGGAACATGACATCCATTTCGCCAAAGGTGCGGCCCTTGGTCTCGAACAAGCGGAAGAAGCCCCAAATCAAAGTAACGGTGGCGAGGACGGCCCAAAAGAATGCCTGGCAGCCAGTTAGCCTTCATAGAACATCGAGAGATGAAAGGGTTTAGGATCACTCACAGTCTTTCCCTTCAAGTTCCAGTCGCCAGGTGCCAGCATCTTGGGCTGGATGAGACCGCCACATATGATGTTGCCTACATAATATGTGCTGCGACCCAGCACGACCGTCTGGGTCCGAAGACGGGTCGAGCCGACTTCGGACACAAGCGTGTACACGATGGGGCCAACAGTCATGGAATAAAATCCGAGCCAGACCACGCACAGAATCGACTGTCCCCAGATGACACCCTGTGTTTGGTTCGGGGCGACTGAGAGGAAACCGATGATCCACAAGCAAGCCACGAGCAAAGTGAAGCCGCTTAGCCAGATGGCCCGGCGGCCAAATTTGTAGATGTAGAGCCAGGAAATGCAGGTGCCGACGAAGGCAATGGCAGTGCCTCCCAAGCTTATCGCATACGAGGTAGAAGCATCAATACCGGTCTGCTGGAAGAAGAAGGAGCCAGAATAGCAGAGGGCACCGCCATTGGTGATCTGAGACATGAAAGCCATGCAGGCGATCTCGGTACGGCGGAGATTCGTGCCCTTGAAGCAGTCGAAAAAGGTGGCGCCCGCTTGCTCTTCAATCTCAAGCTTGTTGGTGTGCACCATCATGGCCACCGTGGCATCGTGGTCTACGTTGTGTTCGGGCTCCGAGAGCCGTTCAAGTGACTTCTTTGCGGCGTCGAGATCGCCGTTGCGGACGTGGTGCCAGGGAGACTCAGGGGCCATCCAAGCCGCAATGATGAGCGGAATGGGCCAGACCCACTGGATAGCAAAAGGAATCTTGTAACTCCATTGGCCCTCGACATCGACAAGCCCCTTGAGGACACCGGCCGAGATGAATTGGCCGATGCACCAGCAAAGGTTGACGTAGGAGGTCAAGTAGCCACGGATAGCCAAGGGGGTGACCTCAGCCGCGTAGGAGGGGCCAGTCGTGGCGAACACCCCCCAGGGTACATTGCAGAGTATTTGACCAGCCAATTGCATCTCAATGTTGTGGGCGAAGAATACGATGAAGACGAAGGCGGCCAGCCAGACGAGTGAGATGATGAGGACCATGCGGTGGCCATATTTAGGGGTGAAGTATCCGTTCATGAGGGCGCCGACAATGTTGGCCACGGCGCCAATGGCGTTGAACTTTTGTTGCCAGGAGGATGAGATCTGGTAACCGTTCTCCTCATCAAGCCATTCGCCATACTTCTCACGGAACGCAGGGTAGCCATAGAAGGAACCGATGAGGGTCACGTCATAACCCTCCATGATGACTGTGGTCGAGATGACTGTTTTGAATCGACGTTAGTGCCAGCTCAGTGACGACGGCCCTGGCCATGGGAGATGAGACTCACGGATCGACCAGAAAGCGGCGCGCTTGTAGGTCTTCAGACCCTGCCAGAGACCAAAGCTGTGCTCGATGTTGGTGCCCTCGTGGGCCTCGGAATTGAGGCCCTTGTCGTCGAGGGCGACATGGCTGAACTGGTGGATGTGAGAAGGGCCCTTCTCGACGTGGATGTTGTCATGCGGCTGCGACGCCGTCTTATCAGCGATGTCGTTGGACATGGCTACGAGTGTTCTTGGGTTGCTCGAAGCTGCTGGTGGTTGGCAAGCTACTATAGCAGAGTCGTATCGAAAAGAGGCAGAAGAACCAGGCACATGGAGCTGGGAGGGAGCGGCAACCGGGGTATTTTAAAGTCGCGTCGAGATGAGATTAACGTCGTACCAGACCGCCGGCTTCTCGTATCATACGTCGATATTTGCAGGATGCATAGATATGCATTGGCACTGTATGCATAGGCAAACCGCGTGGCAACATAGTTTGTTTCCCCAGACCTAACCCTCGGGGTAGCAATTCTCCAATAACACCGGTTGAAGATGCTTCCTCATTCATGTCGTTTGTGGCTCACGTCAGGCCGTCCTCGTGGGACTGGCCTCTGATCCTACCAGCCTACCAGGGAAAGAGAGGCCAGGTGCAAGCTGGAACCCTTGTTGCAGTGTAAAGTCCATCTATGCTTGCTCGAAAGGTAGCGGCGGGATTGACGGCCTTGGAACATCTTGACTGGACGAGGGCGGGGAATCTGTCAAGCGAAGCGAGGGGTTGACAAGCTCTGATAGGTCAAACTGGAAAGAAGCCGGCCGGGGAGACTAAAGGGAGCCAGCCTAGGAGCGGGATGAGATGGCAGATGAGAGAGGGTCGATGGTGTCTAAACCACCAGGGGTGCTCGAGTCGAGTCCTGGTGTTGGAGGCGGGGAGAGACTTGGGCGCGGCGTGGTAGGAATGTCGGACCGTGGATCGACTCTGGCGCTGTGGTGCAAGAATGGTCAAATCTTGATAAAATGGAAGAGAACCGGGTGTGAGTAGCAACTTGGCTTGAACGAGCTAGAGAAATATCCGTGATCTGAGGCAAACATTGGTGGAACTTTTCCCGAGAGGAGGTTGGCCGGTCGGATGATGGAGGGAGAGAACAGCCTGGGGACCGGAAGAGACTCGGCGCCTAGCGCGGCTCAAACCGGTCTAGCGTTGCTGATTAAGCAGCTACATATCAGGACTAGTGCTGTTTAAGCGAGCCAGAAGCTACCGTAGCTGAGCATCGATGATGTGGGGTAAGTCCGGGGATTTACCGTAGTGGCCGCAGTGGGTCGCACACAGGCGCTGGAGGGCTTCGTTCGGTGGAGGGAGGCGCTAGAGCTTCCCTCATACAGGCCACACTCGTCCTGGGTTTCCCCAACCTTCAATATACCTGTAGTTCTCTAGTGTAGTGTACACGCCTCTGTAGAAGCGAAAGCATTGACAGGTGCAGATTCATACATTCCCCTAAATTATTATTTTCTTCTTCTCTCGTTATCGTTCTGCTTGAAGTGGGAAGCATATGTAACCAACATCTCGTCACAAAGGTTCTGTTAGCTCGAGGTGCGCAGGTTTCCCTGTGGAGCTTAGGTAAGGGTGGGGGTACGTATCTCAGACAGTCTCACCAGACCGCGCTGTCAAGTTGAACAAGACAAGCATCAAACAAACAAGCAAACAATCGTCTCACTCCAAACCTCTTCGTTTTTCCGCTTCGAATTTATCTTCTGCTTTTTCTAAAGCCGTGCTGTGTCCAATTCGCTGCTTCAGAAGCCGCAGAAGAACCCAGTCTTCCCTCGGTTGACCCACATGGTCCTGACGGCGCCTCCTCCTCCTCCTTCACGAGATCATAGACCAACGATGACACTTCAAGCCTCGATAACGACCACGATGCGACTTTCGGCCCCAGACCATCCTTCTGCCGGTTCCCCCAGTCAGCAAACCCCGTGTGCGTCTCGTGCACCTTGGAGTAGCTGCTGTCGAGTTCCGCGCGAATCACCCCCCTGTCTTCCCCAACTGCAGACCTTCGTCTCGGCCAGCTTCGGCCGAGCCAGGCTGGCCGGATCTCCTTCCTTGCGTCTTCTCCTTGGAGAAGTCAAACCCTTGGTAGGGGGGGCGTATGGTTCTGTGTACTAGTAAGCAGGCCATGTCTGCGATACAAGGGTCAAGCTTTGAGGTCTCTAAATACCGTCATCGGTGTTGCTATGCTCCTCACGGGCGAGACCCTATGTGGTCACAAGCTTGCACGGGTTTCCTTCACGACCCACGGGCTCGGGTCCTGTGTTGCAATTGAGGGTGTTGCCGGTACGCCAGCACGACGGTTGTAGCTACTGTTGCATGCAGCATCTATCACCTCTAGCTACATTGTTGGCCGCGCCTCCGAGCCGGGACCCCATCCGCCGGCCTATCATGTCTCGGTGGCAACTCCACGAGCCATCTTTGTCCCTTCTGAGGCGTCAGTCGGAGTGGTGCTGGGTTGGCGTATTCATACATAGCATGTGAGCTGATCACGCGCTTCTCTTGTGTTCAAGAACCCCTCGCCGTCTGGGGACTAAGGAGGCAGGTCCCGACGCCACTGGAGATGAAACAGCGGTCTGAATGTCCCTCGAAATCCATTCTCGATTCCTCTAGACCAAGTGATTCGTTTGTAGGTTATCTCGTCCAAGCACTTGCCAATAGCACTAGGCTGCATAGCCCCCTTCGTAGACTAACCAAGGGAACTCCACTCCCCCAACATCCGCCCCAGACTTCACCCCCAAACCAGCTGGGTACGAATGTAGCTATCTTGAGCTCATCGAGTGGATTTTGCTCGCTTCTTGCCTCTGTCCGCTACTTGATCAAGTTTCTGGCCACTGGCGTGTTTGGTCTGCTGCTGGGTCGTCTCCGTATGATAAACTTGGCTCTGAACCATCTTCCTGTATCCAAGCGGCGCATCAGTTCCACAATTAGCCACTAGGAGTTCCCACTCCAAGTCTGATAGAACGGCCCAGACAATGGCGGACGCATCGGCGGTCTTCTTTGGGCAGTAACCCGGTAGCACGATTCTTTGAAAGCATCCCATGAACGGGGCGAGCAACCCATATTATGCCCCCATGAGCAGGTAACTTCTTCATGATGCATTGGCATAAGACATAAGCCCCAGCTTGTTGGAGCGGAGACTTCTCCTTCTCACGACACGTTCTGTGGGAGCACAAGAGCAACGAAGTGAGGCAAATAGTGATATTTCCGATCTGTAGTGGTGTGTGGTGGTGAGGAGGAAAATCCTCCTCTCGAGGCTATGGGCAGAGGCTGGATGAAGGTGAGGGGCCCGGGAGGTCACGTGACCTCCTAGCACACGGGCCCCCTCACAACACGTTCTCCCATTCACAAACATTGGCAATCACGCAAGCATCACCCGTAAATGTGAGTACTCAGGCTTTGTAGTATTTAAACATTAAGTCGCCGGTTACGTTACAAAAGTCTCATTTTCGCGCAGTTCTCCTCGATGGTAGACAGCGTCCGGACGGTGGTCAAGACAGTGTCATTCTCGCCGTAGCTGCGGACCAGGCGGCTATCCGCCGTGTAAGCGGGCCAGCCGATGGCTCCCAGACCCGCTGCCGGGTCCTTGATGAAGGCGGTGTATGCGTCCATCATTGTGCGGCTCAGCTCGTACTCGAAGGGAGTCGAGTTGCCGCGGAAATCGGCGTGGGTGCCGAAGATCAGGGGAAGCTCGCTGCCGTGGTAGGCGCCCATCCACGGGCGGGGAGAGGTGTTGTTAAAGACAGCCTCGTGGAAGTAACGGTAAGTGGTTCTGCCCGCGGCCAGGCGCTCACTGAGCGTTTGTTAGTCAACGGGGGTGGTAGAGCGTGATGGAGGCCGTGTGGGGTGCTTACTTGGTAGTCTTCGTCGTAGAGCACCAGAAGTAGTTGTAAGACAAACTTTCAGAAATGGCGGGGTCGGGGCCGTTCACGTTGTAAGGCGCGAGGAAGAGGCCCTCTGCAGCGTTGAAGCCAATGATGGCAGGCTTGATATTGTCAGCAATGTCACCCATCGGCCAAACGGGTCTATGATCTGGAAATAACCCACCAGGTCAGACATCTCGCCACGGGCAGCCTTCTCCGTGTAGTTGGCAAAGACGATTTTGTTGTCGATCTGGGGAGAGAAGCCGATCGTGGGCACGACCTGCGAGTCCTTGTAGACGGCGTAAAAGTTTTCAAGCTTCTCAGCAGGAAGCTTGCGCATGCACGTCAGCTCGGCGCGGGCGTCCGTCAGGTTGCCGCAGCCGAGCTGCTGGGCGACGAAGGTGAAGTTGGAGTGGCTGGTGTCGTGGTTCATCAGCTGATCCAGGTGCGCCGTGCCCGAGTCCATGATGAAGGCCTTGACGATGGGGTCCTCGGTGTACGCGAAGTTCCAGTAGTCGACGGCGATGGCGCCGGCCGACTGGCCCCAGATGGTCATGCGCTCAGGGTCGCCGCCGAACTTGGCGACGTTGTCGCGTATCCACTCGACGGCCAAGCGCTGGTCCATCAGGCCCAAGTTTTGCTCCTCGAGCGCGGCCGAGTTGGGGAAGCCAAAGAGCGCCATGCGGTAGTTGAAGGTGACGAAGATGTGCGACTGTGAGTGCTGGACCCATTTCTGGGGCATCTGGTAAGGCACGTCGGTGCCGCCCGTCTCGAAGCCGCCACCGTAGAACCAGATGACGACGGGCAGGCCTCCTTTTCCTTCTCCCTCGGTCTGATTGCCGGCAGGGACAGCGTCGGAGGGAACCCAGAAGCTGGCGGTGAGGCAGTCCTCGTCCATACCGGCGTCGCCGATCATGAACTCGGGGACATCGACACGCTGAATGGCCGGTATGACGGAGATGTACTGCCAGCACGAAGGGGGCAGAGCGGTAGCGTTGAGCACGGCGCCGTTGGCGAAGGACTGCGGTGCGACGTAGGGCTGCGGCGGCTCCCAACGCAGGTCGTCCAAAGGCGGCGCGGCGTACGGGATGCCCAGGAACTCGGCGACCTGTGGTGCATCGGGGGCGATCCGGCCCTGGACCGTGACGCCGTTGTCAAGCTGCACGCTGGGGCCGGCGCTCGCCAAAGCGAGGAGGCTGGCGAAGGTCGCCATGAGCTTGGCGTTGCACATCATGAAGGGTGACTCTTGATGATCGCCGGAGTTGACCGTGTGTGGCTTGAGCGAAGCCAATCCCATGGGCCTCAGGCGTAGAGGTATTGTATATATAACATTTTGCACGAGAGGCTCCCGGAACTCGAAAGTGATGGCTAACTCGCAATTCTCCTTGCCCCTGAATAACACCAATACATTGGTACTGACGACATGTGCCTTATGGGGAAAGAGGAGGTTGCATTGCTCCTCTCATCGGAAATTGCTGAGGAGTTCCCCATGCTCATCATTGCTACTATCGCGATCCTTCAGTCGAAACGTTACGTGTAATTGGCGGGCAGGAGGGTAGCCATGGTTCAGTTGTGGGGTACACGAGTCAAGTTCCTGGCTGGATCCTCCTGTTAAGCAGTAAGGTGCTAATATAAAATATCTGAAATTTTAGGGCGGGTAAACTGAATCGACGGAACGAGAAGGGCTCCCGTCGGTTCGGAGATCCTGATTGTAGATCCCCGGCAGCTTTTCACTACTACGTAGTTCCGCTCCAATGCTGCGATTCCATCCGCGTTCAATGCCGAATCCGAATGGCATCGGTACCTCACTCGGGCTGCATTGTCCAAGTTGATGCAAGTGCTATAGGCTTTGCACTCAACACCAGAACCAGGCTCGGTGTCGTTGCAAGTATTGCCAAGAACACTGCACAGCACTAGACACTGCCTACGTATTGGATCGCTTCCCTCGGCAGATGAATGTCAGCGCCTTAGAGATAGTACTGTGCTCTCAGAGCAGTTGAGACATCGTTGTCACGGACGCTATCATCAATAAGTGCCGCTACCATAAATCCGCATGTCGAGTCAAGTCAGAATATACGCTTCATATAGTTATATAGTTCAGGTCTTGGCTTCGCAAGTTCAGACCTGGTCGGAGCTGCGGGTGAGCATACATGTATGCATGAGCAAGCATCAGTACAATGACTCAAACATGCCTATTAACCTACACCGATAGCATCAAATCACACGCATCGCCACAAGACTCAGATTATCTTAGTAATAGAACTTACCATTACCAAGTTTCCCAATCGTCACTGATCAGTCAACTATACCAGCAACGCGGTTGGACCAGTGTGAGCTTATTGTGGGAACGACAGTTTCGTCGGTTATGCAGCATTTGATTATGTCGTTGGAATAAACGTTTCAACTCCGACTCGAATGCGTCTTTGAACTTTTTTCAGCATCCAGATGCGTCTGAGAGAACTCCATGCGCAGAACAATGGAGATATAGACAATGGAGATAAAGTACGTGGAAGTGCCCAAGACACTATGTCCGGCTCGGATTCCAGAAACAGCCCACACCATGTGATCGGTCCCGGACGATTGCCTCAAGTGAGTCTCAGACTAGGCTCATTTTCGTTTGTCGTGATATAAGCTGCCGATGTTACACCCTAACTTAGCCAAGCCAATCATGGACAAGCGGCATCAGACGATAACTTGGGTCGACTCATGCCTCCCAAACACATCACAGCCGCTATGCCCTTCGTATATTCTACCTATTTGGCCCCTTCTCAAGCTGTGGGACTAAGATCACAACTAAGTCTCGCGCGCCGATCGTGTATCGTAAGGATTGACCAGCCACCAGTGACTCCATACGTTTGGCAATACTCTAGATTAACTGAATAGGATCAAATCGACAGAGATGGAGCACGGGTCGTGGATATTCACGAGGCCCATGAGAGCTGTGTTACGTCAACTCTCCACGCCAAGTGCCACCATTAGGAGCCCCATCTGCAATTAGAAACATCGTGCTGAATATAGCAACTACGTCGACCTGACGGGTTCCGTGAGCCTACATGTATCCTTCGAAACTCTGTTCAATCTGCGCATTGACCGGAAAGCCGTTTTGGTGACGTGTATTTCATGTCATAGCTGTCGACAACATCCCTTGACATCTGCAGCAGCAGGGTTAAATTGAGGTCAGGCCAGATGCCAGCAAGGCACACTGTGAAGAGCCGGGATGCTTACAAGAATGTTGGGTTCTATACTTGGGCGTCCAGGTTCAGAAGAAGCGTCCGATTGACCCGCTGAAATGAAGCCGGTCGATCCAACCTGCCTAGCTATAAGACCTGTGGGGGTTTGATTGTTGGCTGCACTTGAAATATTCCTGACATGACGGTATGGCTACCTTGGGAGGCTCATCTGAGATCATCGCCGCAGTTTAGGGCAATTAATGGCTTTGGATTGTTGGATAGGCGAGGCTTTCGGGCCGGTTCCGAAGCCAGCTGTCCATGGCCTGCGTGTTTAACCCCTACCTTTTCTCGAGATCTGCAGCTACCAGTACACATAGCATTGAGGTGATCGACCCACATGGCCATACTGAGGTACCTCGCGGACGTTCGTAAGAGACAGAGTCACCGGTAGGTCCGCATCGTAACGCTGAAAACAAGGACGCACTGGTCACGGCCACCGGGAAAGGCATGTAATCGAGATGAGCTAGTATGATTCAATGGACCGGCGCTAATGGCGGTTTTCTGGAGATGCCGGAAAACATGCTTCAGAAGTAAAACAACCACTTGAGTACGAAGATGAGGAAACAAGGCCACTTGGATACGAAGATGAAGAAACGAGGCCAAAGCACAGTAGGAAAGCCATCTATGTATTAAGGTACGTAGCCAAGGCAGGTTCCTCACAGGGTCGCGCCGGCACACAATAAGAACCGCAGTAGGAAAACATAGTGTAAGCGGTATGCCTGATACTCGGGCGCAATAGCAGAGCAGATTGATCTAAAGTACGTCTACCACTTGGTTTAATTGCATTTTGTTACGTACACGGGTCCTTGGCAGTGGATGTCCTTGACTGGGTACCTACTAGGATCAGCGTGCTTTCTAAAACCCTTTGACACTATCACCGTCACCAGGAGTGAGCCAAATATTGTAAATTCAGGTTTGCCGATGTGGGCTCGTAATTATGCGCAGTTGGTGCCATCGTAAAGCGGCGAGAAGGGAGGAGGGTTCCATATCACAGCCAGGGAAATAGGGAGTCAAATGAATTGACAGCGGATGCAGATGATGACAAGCCACATAAGTGATGAGGTAGGATGCCTAGCTCAGATATAGCTGGGACTAGAGAAAAACGTGTTACATTGGTACGGCGTCTCTGACCGGGTACCTCTGGAGATGCGGCTACAGCCCTTCAATGACGTGGCATACATAGTGTCTGGCCCTTGTGGGGTCATTAAAGGGCAGAAGAACGCCATGAAGGACAACATGTTGTTTTTTGAGGCGGAAGACGAGGTTGAAACGTGCTGTTTGCAAAGTTCGGCATCTCTTCATTATCACCAAACTGCGAATGTTGTCTTGGCGTAGGGCAGAGACAACCCTCTCACTACGTTGGAAATCGGCATCTTGCATGACTACTGAAGTAAGAGATCCAATAGGTTGTTCTCTACAGCTTTGTGGAAGCCAATGTTTGATTTTCCGGTGACCATCAGAGTACTATCAGCTATGTGGACCGTGGTTAATTCTAGACTTGGCTTTTTTCCTTTTCTTTTTCTTCCTTCTCAGTCATCATTACAAGCTCTTTCGAAGATGACTTTTCAGGCAAGTCTCAGAGCCAGAGAACACCCGACCGGCGAGTCTTGGTGGTTGGCGGCAGTTGCGCGTAGTCGAGGCGATAACAGGGGGATCGTCTTTTCGGTTGTGCTAGCCTAAAGACTGGGTCACGGTCCTTGGTTCAGTGGCTATGCTCTGCCCGTTAGACGGCTCAAACCTGTTTTTCCCGCATTTGATAGTTGTCTTGGCCTATGATGATGCCTGACCTCTGGATACCGTGAGCAGTATATCTACCTAGTGTACCGGGGCTTCGGAGAAGGGAAAGATACTGATCCGAGCAAATTAGCAGCTTAGCAGCTATGCGGATGTTATTCTAAATTACGAACGGGCAGGTCCATTCACACTCCCCGTCTTGGCGAGAATCAACATAATGAATTCCATTGCAAGACCCCGAGACCCCCAAGAACAACTACCCAATACCCTCCGAGGCACGCCTCCATTGTAGGAACCCTCTCCCCTTTTCACAAGTACAGCAAGCAGTTACAATTATCGAAACAAAGAGACAGTAACCCGGGTTGCCAAATTGCTAGCAAGCGTTCCGCGTTATCACTCGGTGAAATCAAGTTGCAGACGGCGTTTCGTGTACGGCACCTATTGCCCTGCACCACAATGACGTAGAGTTCGCTGCCGTCTAAACTACCTACCGTCGCAGCCGCCGCAGGCCCCTGGTGGAAGCCCGATCAAAGACTAGGCACCCTCGGCAGAGAAAAGGGGTTCAAGAAGCTACCTAGCAGCAGACCAGCAGACCGGCAGAAAGGAGAAACAGGGGAGGGGGGACAAAACCTGATGAGTGAGAAAACAACTCCAACTCACCAGCAAGACGCGCGCCCTGGACCTTGTCGCCCATCTCAATCTATCTTGGACGGATCTTTTTCCAATACCTCGCGCAGGGGGGTCGATCGATGCATACTCGATCCGCTGGTGTCCGTTCCCTTAGTCGCATCTCGATGCCTGTCCGCCGCGATATCCACAATGTTGCTGGATGTTGGCACCGGCGAGGACGGGTGAGGTATGTTCTTACGGAGCGGGTGCTCCGCGCCTGTCTGGACCGGTCCCATGCTGGACGGTTTGTGGGCGTCTTGCAGCGCGTAGTCGCCAGAGTCGAAATACTTCCGCTGCAGGAAGATGATGGGTGTACTGGTTAGCGCAGCTTGGGCCCCCTTAGCTCGCGGTTGGAGGAAACAGGGGTCGGTCGGCATACCTGCATCTGTTTGTGCAGAAGATCTGATCTAGCCGGGGCCTTTCCATACAAGCGTCGGATACGGTCTTCCTTCGCGGCGGCGGCAGCAGGCTTCACGGGGCACAAAGACGCACGTCAGCTCAGCCAGCTCGATGAATTGGACGCCTACCACCACATGCATGTTGCTCGCGACGGACGGACTTCCGGGCGAGTCCGTTGAGGTCTGTTGAGAACCCATGTTGAATAAGGGATGTACGGATATGTATGCACTTGAGAGCAAGGTGCTACGGTATGGTACTGAACATGCCCGATGACTCGAGTTATATAGAGATTAGGTGACGTGACGATGACGATGATATAGTTTGCCATATAGGCCTTAGCAACCCAATGCCTACTAGGGATCCCCGCCTGCTGTTGCTCGGGATTTCCAGGTGGCACTAGTGGTGATGATGCTCAACTCCGTGATGACTGACCACAAGCAACCGGGGCAGGGGAGTGTATCCGATTTGCAGGCTTCGGGGCTGGCCATTGAGCTGCTGACTGGACGAACCCGGCCGTGAAAGAAGGTAATCCTTCAGCGGCCCAACGGGGCCTGCATTGGACCCTGACAACCATTGCCGGTCGTCCTAAACGAAACGGCAGAAGAGAGACGAGTCAGTGGGAACAGCAACGACAAAACCCGGGAAAGGGGGGGGGGGGTTGTGCTGACCCCGAAAGCCACCCGCGCGTGACACTACACTAGACAGGGAACATGCATGGGGTCGCTGCGGCGCTGCACACGCTCCTCCAGCGTCGGATCAGGTTTTTTTTTATCCCGCTGGCGTTCCTGGCCAGGGAAAGTTGGTCAAGGTTTCAACCCGGGAATGGGGTGATTGTTGGTCGTGGCCCTTGCTAGGAGCCTGGAGCATGCAGGGCTGGCGGGAAAGGGGATCGAGGATCGGCAATATAAATACCTATAAGGGTCGATGTGATGCCCGTCGATTCGGGACGCTTCGAAACCCATAGGAATACCTACTCTGCCTCACCCAACGATCAACGACGGAAAGGAAAACAGAAAGAAAAACAAGCAAGCATCATGATGTCTACGCAACTCCCCAGACCGACTTCCAACACCACCAGTTCGTCCAACTCGACCAACTCGACCACTTCTTTCGCCGGCAACATGGACACATACACGCTCTCCATGTACGAGCACACCAAGCGCCTCATGGCCGCCGCCCAGATCCCTTACGGCAGCCCTGCCAGCCTCCTCACTCCGTCCAGCAGCGAGTCGCCGGCGGCCGGAACCAGCTCCGACAGTGTGGAGAATACCCTCGCATCACCCAAGTCCGACAGCCTCCCTCAACTAAGATCGAATTAACTTCTCCCGACTGAGGAGGACGGAGGCTCAGAACGAGGGCTGTACGCCACAGCTCGTCTTGTTTTATCCAGGCGTAGGACAACCCCATCTTCTTCTCGAGATGCGCCGTGCATCGTCTCATCCCGCAGTCGGCTAACCTCGGTTATAGATGCCCGACGATACCTGTTCGTGGATAGACTCTTGAGTGAGTAAGACTGTCGGATATACATGCCGACTTTGCGCCTCCGCGCATCTGTCGCTCTATGGTCCGCCCCAATGTCAAATCGAGGTCGTCGATGAACCCCGCGACCAACTCTCGAGCACTTTCTCGACACCATATCCTCCCCTTCGAAACATCAGTTGCAGCCTGATTTCCATAATACCCTAACTGCGACGTTTTATCATTTGGTCATCTTCCAGTCGGTCACGAATTGCCCATCGATGCGACCCAACACACCCCAACTCAAATCGTACGATTCTTCCAGTGGCGGCCCCCCCCCCCCCCCCCCCTCCTCGACCGCATGTGTCCTCGGCGTCGTCATGCGGGGGCCTGGGAGTTTACGCGCATGGGTAGACGGCCTCGACTGCCACGTAGACCATCACGCCGGGGGTATCCCTGTGAGACAGAGAGAGCTGAACCGCAACCAAGCCGCGTTCCTGATCGTGGGTTGCCCCCCATATTACTGGCAGTCTTTACGCGAGGCCCTCGCCTTGCCACATGCCAACGTTGCGGGATTTAGCAAGACATGCGAGTCCGGAAGCCCGGCTTACTGTTGCGTGCACCGACGTCTGATGCTGGCTTACGAGTCTCTTTATCCTCACATGCTTGTTTCTTTTCTCTCTCTCTCTCTCTCTCTCTCTCTATCCTTTCTGATCATTTTTAATTATTATTATTTTTTATACTTTTTTCTTCCCCTCCCTTTTTTTGACGGGAAATGCGACGGAGTTTTGGACTGCACACTAGTGGAAGAATGAAAGCAATCTAAGGTAAAAGTAACCAGATAGGGCTTCGACCTAGTCGTTAAAAGATACCCCCCCCCCCCCCCCCCCCCCCTTTTCAGTTCGATATTTGGTTATAGCAACTTCACTCGTCTCAGTCCGCCACTATGCCTCGTTCGCCGTGACTCGTACTTGTGCTCCTCGGGTGGTGGGAATGGGCAAGTTTCAGACGACACCCCGTGACCTCGGCCAGGCCGCTTTGCGTGACTCGCCGTCGTAGTTGGCCTAGACCGGTCCTGAAGCAGCATCGCGGCCTCCCCCGCATTCTCTGGAGGCTCCGTCACCGGGTCTAGCCCAGGATGCGGCGGCACTCTTTCCCAGACTTGAGCGACGTTATTCTCAACGTCGCGCTCGTGCGCCCCGGGAAAGGCCCCCCCCCCCCCCCCTGTCGAGGGTTATGCAAGACATCGTGAACGGGTCCAGCCGCAACTTAAGCACTGGCGTCCGACTCAAGGGGGAAGTTAATGTTGACATGTTCTCTCCAAGGCTGAGCTAATCCGTAGCCCAACGCCACTGGGTCTTGCTGTCACAGGTCTGGACAGAGAGCAATGAGGATTTCAAGAGCACAGCTTTGGTTCATCGTTGGAAAGCAGGATACTTTCAATCGAGGCTAACTATAATCAGCACTTTGGGTCCACGATCCAACCATCGTGCCACGGTGTGCGGTGAAGAGGACTTGTTGCGGTGCGCGCAGACGTACAGCCTAATACGGTAGACCATGGAGAATTCAGATGAAGGTGTCACCTCGTCTGCCCGAGTAACCATAATCATTGGGGCGAAGCAGCGCATGTTCAAGATTTAGCCACTTGGTAAGAGAAGACCTTGGCCATTCTAGATCCATCGACTAGGCGTCGAGTTTTGGAGTCCCGACGTAGGCCATTTTTCGCCAGGTACCATCGTTATGGAACTTGGTTTCTTCGTGCTTACTACCAGGCTCCCCTCATCGACGTCTAAGAAAACTGGCATTACGACTTGAATCTCTCTCAGGCAGTGACCTCGATATCCCTATGAAAGCCTGATAGTATTAGCTTTAGTAGAAAGTGATGCAATAGAATCTGGGAGTTATTCAGAAGCCCACGAGATATCTGGCACTTGATTCAGGGAATGTTCTGGGCCGAGATAGAAGTTAAGGTTTCCATCTCTAGGATGAAGTGAGGCCTAGGTTGCAGGCGATGTATTGCATTCTTGACTCTACGCCAGAGAAATACCAAAGTGACACACATATAAAGTAACTCATGTGTAGCTCAAAAACGAAAACCAGCCACACCTGGAAAGGCAATAGTTGGGAATGAGACCAAGTAGAAAGTTATAGAAATATCATATCTATACTATTGACGAGGTAACATAAACACCATGGTCTGCGCTGCCTATGACGCCGTGCGTTCCCATGTTCATCAGGATATCAAACATAACGTTCTCCCGTTCGCCAAGTCCACGCCTCTTGACACAAAACGGATACAGATTTACAGATTTCAAGTTACGTGGCTGGGGGGACGATGCACAAGCGGACCAGCAAGGCGCAAGGGCAAAGAGGACTGAAGCCCTTGCGTATATGGTCTAGCTGGCGGGTGAAGAATTAGAAACCCAAGGTGAGGCCACAAATCTTGCTTGGTTCTCTTGTTCTTTTCTTCAGCCTCGACAAAGCTCTTTTCTTCAGCCTTGACAAAGCAAAGAAGTGCTGAATCTTCCTGGAATTTGCTATTCCTTTCCTCTTCTTTCCCCTCGCATCGACATAGCAACAACAGAACAAGCAACGGCAAAGCAAAGAACGGCATCATCTTCCTGAAATCTCCTACTCCTTTCCCCTTTCTTTCCTTGCACCGACCGAGAAAGCAGCGACATAGTTCTCTTTTATTCTCCAGCTCCTTTTCTCTCGCCGAGAAAGCAAGCAACAGCAAATGTAGGCCTCGAGGTTCCCCCGCTCCCCAAGTACACATGATGATGGCCAAAGACTGAAACTATATAGATGGACGCGGGCTATTCCTATCCAGCGCCTGCTGGCTCCGAAGCCGAGTTCGCCCCAGGAACGGCCCCAGATCATCCAAACTCGGCGCCCTACCTCCTCCCGTACTTGAACGGAGGCCAAGATGGGGAAGAAGAGGGCGGAGGCCAATATGGCGAGGCGGTCTCGTGAGTTACAGCAATAGGACGCGAGGAGCATGTGACTGACACAGAGGTAGACACACGAGCGATGATGTAGTCCCTGTCTTCTCGGAAGACGAGTTTCGAGAGATACTCGAGACTGAGTGGGGCTACGCCGCCTTCAACGGTCTTCTTCCCGAGCCTGCTGCTGGCTCGAGTGCGCTCCCAACTGCTGGCCCGGCCCCCATGGCTGAGATGGATCTGCTCGGCCCCGACGTGCCTCTCGGCTCTAGCCAGCATCCCGGCTTCATGCCTGCCGTTGGTCCGCCTCCTGTTGTTTACCAGCCTTCTGCCTTCGGACCGGCCGCCGCCGCCCCAGATATACCTGGCTTTCTTGCTGCCGCTGCCCCCGGCAATGCCGCTGGCCCTATTGCTCCCCAAGCTCATGCTACCTCCGTGCCTCCCGCTGGCATCGTTGTTCAGCAGCCGCTGTACCCCCCCGGCTTCCGCATCCAGGACAACCTCGTCCTGCGCCACGACTGGCCGCAGGGCCTTCTGCAGCCGTCGCCGAGACACTTCACGTACGAGCGAAGCGGGAACCCCAAGCCGGCGCAAGATAACGCAGTTTGGTGCAATAGCTGCGAATACTGGCTGTGGGAACCCTGCTACGAACGCGCTCCGCTGAGCGCGCGGGACAGAGCTCGCTGCTGCAACCGCTGCCACTGGCGCAAGAAGAGTGCTCGCGGCATGGGCTTGCACGAGTGGATGCTTGCTGCTCAGCCGAGAATGATGCACCTCCTCAAGAAAGACGCGGGCTATGTCGCCTAAGGGAAAGAGGCGGCCAGGGTCTGGCGAGAAGCGTGAGCCAACAAAGCGAGAGACAACGACGCAAGAGGGGCAGATGGAGAGAGAGAGAGAGAAGAGGGGAAGAAGAAAATGAAGTGAGTTGGTGAGTTCATTTCATCTTGTTCGTGCAGTCAGTCGGCGGATCTACCATCTCGTACCCCGGCCCTTGTTCTTGGGGGTATATGGCGGGGCACACAACATTGAGGTGCCTGATACAGAGTCGACGATGGATGCAGATGCTGCCAACATCCATGCGTTGGAGAGCCGGCCCGTCCCTGTCTTCTCTGGACCCAGTGGACGGAACGACTCTCGGAGGGGACCCCGCTTCCCCGGGCTTTGGGATCGTCCTCGGGGGGGGGGGGGTACACTGCCTCCAGGGTTTCTGATGGAGTTTGGAAGTTTCGAGACAAGCATTGATGATGACGCCGAATCCTATAAGATCAAGGTGCTGACCAGTTAGTGTACTCTATTGAAACAGACCGAAGCTTCCCTCACGATAGCGGCGACGATCAAGAGCAAGGTGTGCGCAAGGCCGAGCGTACGAAGCACAAAAAAAAGCAGTAAACCAACAAGTCCACCGGAGAAAAAAGAAAAGAGAAGAAAAAAAGGAGGGGGGGAGAAGATGGTGTCAGTGCACACAGGAGAGATGAAGCAAGGCGGATGAGTGAGTTGATGCTCGTTTCGTTGAGACACGGGCGCGGCGTTACACCCGAAGGTCCCATCTCGGCGATCCCATCCTGGCGTTGAGAAACAGCAGCAACAACAGCAGCAGCAAAACGCTATCGTGAAACAAATAGACTCTCTGGTTGCATCCTGGGTGGCCTTCCGCGTGGAGAGGATGGACATCAAAGGTGGCATTGCTAAAGTAGGTAGATTAGTGTAGAGAATTCGCACCTCGTATATCCCCACGTTGATTTGGGTATGGAGCACGATGCATACTAGAGTACCTAGGTAGGGAAGTGCCTACGTATCCGTACCTACCTACATAATACAATGTACATAGGTAGGTACCCAGTAGAGTAGGTAGGGAAGTGCCTGTACGGCAGGGGGGGTACAGAAGCCGCCTTACCTGATTTGGTTAAGCGAGAGCTAGATAGTAGACATAGCTCCGCCCATTGGTTGAAGGGGATATGAGCCGTACAGTAGCCACGAAATATTGCTGACATAATCGAAGCAGCTCCACATACACCCGGACAGGGTTTCTTTTACTTGTGCCTGCCAACCGCAGTAATTAGCGCCTTGTTCCTTCTGGTTGGGAAATTGCGGGCGTGTGTTCCCTGTCTCCTGCCGTCTGTGTGCTGCAGACAGAGGACGGTGTATCCGTACCTACCACCTACATAGTTCATGTACATTGTACACCGTAGGTAGTCTCCAGCTTGGGTAGATTGTACCTCGCTCATGTATCTGTACCTCCGCCTCGGTAACCGGGAGGGTCCAACTAATATTTCCCAAATGTCGCTCCTTGATCGCTTATTGTACATCAAATCGTACGTGTACAATACAATGCAATAGACTAGTAGATACGAACAGATGGATCCCCTGGACTGCTTGCTTGCTTATTGGAAATCCGACAGCTCGGTAAGTTTTGCTGCTTTCTTTTTCTTCATCTCCCTCTGCTTCCTTCCTCTCCTTGTGTTTCTCTCCCTTTCTGGGCAAACGTTGGCCGAAAGCACGCTGACTCGACCCCCAGCTTCCGGGTCCCTGAGCTGCGTTCGATCTACGACTTCATCGGATGACGTCCACCATCCTCTCGCTCACAGTCAGTCCGTCATTCCATCGATCCGGTTCCGTGGACATCTCTTCCGTTTGCGACTCGAGAAAAAAACCGCTTAAAAAAAACGGCCCCCTACCAGCCTAGGCGGTTTAATAATACCTAGCCTTGCCCCCCTCCCCAACCATCCCATCTTGATTTGCCTCTCTTTCCCTTTCTTTCACTAGCTCCCGGCCTGCGGATGCCTCCCGTCCATCGCCACGCAAACGGTAAAACGCCGCTCCCAATCCGTGCCGATCTTGGTCATTAGTTTCTCCAAAAGAAAGGGAGGGGAAAGAAAAGAAGGAGAAGAGAGAGACCGCATTTCTCCCGGCTCCAAGCTCTCTCCTCGACTCCTACTCACCACCTCGACTTCCACTACCTCGAATTCTCCCGGAGCTCTGGATTGCTGCTCGTACTCGTCACCATGGATGGAAAACAGGCTTCCGCGAGGTCCAGCAGCGGTATCCCTCGCTTATCGCGTCTGCCTCTTCCCAAGCCCACACCCACGCCCACGCCTGCTACTGTCCGACCTTCTCCTTCGCGAGAGGGCTTGAACTCGGGTCTGAGGAATCCTCGACTTCGTCCAGCTGCCTCACGTGAGCAGTTGGGTCCAGTCGTCGCCCCCAAGCAGCCCGTATCATCCCGTATAGCTTCGAAACCGCCGACCCGAGAGATCCAGCCGCCCTCTTCGAGAAAGTCGGAATTGAGAGTCTCGCCAGCCGCCCTCAGAACCTCCCGCAGCGTAACCAGACTGAAGCAAAAGGAACCTTCATTCAACAAGCCTCCCACCCCGCCAGAAGAGCCCGAAACGACTGCTCTTTCACGCTCCACCAGCCTCTCGCGCCGATCGTCAGCACTTCACACCCTGACTCCCGAGTTCGAGCCAGCAGTGCCAGACTTGCCTCCTCTGCCCAGTGCAACGAGCCCACCGCCCGCCACCGATGATGCCGCATCCCACGACCTCCCGGGCTTCGACACCCCCAAGGCCAAGTCCTTGAAACCCCGACCCTCCCTCTCCGAGCGTACGATAGAAACCCTACAACAGCTACAGTCTTCGCCTACCCTGAGCAAGAAGACGTCGTCCTTTTTCGATCCCGAAGGCACCATGCGACCTCGTTCACGCGCCGGCAGTGGCCACTCGAGGCCCGGCTCGAGCTACGCCTCGGACGGCTCCGTCCGCCCGACCTCGCGTGATAGCAGGCCCGGCTCGTCTTCCGCCGCTGACGAGAACCCCTTTGCCAATATCCAACAGGCCGCTACTTCTCCCCGACTCCCGCCGGCCTCGGTTGAACGCACCCCTTCTCGTCGTGTTTCCAGCATCCGCTCTCTCCGCCCACCCGCCATAAAAGCTACACCCCAGCCATCACCATCGGGGCTCCCGTCTGCCACAGGCATCCCACTCGCCCAGACTCCTAGCCCGACAAGGACAACCGGCATCATGCCACCCCCCAAGACTGGCGCAACGGCGATCGCTTCCCCTTCTCTCAAAACTCGTGCCTCGGCCACCGGTCTCTACAAGAAGCCATCTCTGTCATCAATGAGCCGAGCATCCCCGGCGGCAGCAGTTCTTTCGCCTCCTCGCAAGCTGATGCCCGCCAAGTCGTACGGGTCCCTGAGGAAGCCCACCCCTTCAAAGATTGGCAGCCCGGCCCCTGCGGCCTCGACTGAAGCCGACGAAGAGTCTGTTGCCAGGAAGTCCTCCAACGCTCTGCGGGAACAAATCGCCAAGGCGAGGGCAGCCAAGCGCGCCGCAGACCGGCAAGCTGCCGAGGCAGCATCCGCCCCGGCCCCGGAGCCAACCTCAGAGGCTCCCTCGAATCAGACGGACCCTCCCATCGTCCCGGACGACAGTGGGTTCAACTTTGGTATTGCTGTTACGACCGATACTTTGGACGCAAATGACCCTTTCAACACCAGTGACCCCTTCAACACCAAGAGATCGGATGTCTCGCAACAAAAGGTCATTCAACAGAGACTCGCCGCCGCGCGAAACAGTGGACGGCTCAACATCGCAGCCATGGGCCTGAAGGAGATCCCCGCTGAAGTCCTCAAGATGTACGACATGGAGTCCATGGGTACTTACGACGGCTCATGGGCCGAGACGGTCGACTTGACTAGATTCGTGGCTGCCGACAACGAGTTGGAGACCATCGACGATGCCATCTTCCCAGACGTCACGGCAGAGGAAATGGCTCAGGACGAGGACTCGAATGGCAACATTTTTGGCGGCCTCGAGGCGATGGATTTGCATGGCAATGCCTTGATCTCGCTGCCAATGGGATTGAGACAGCTTCCTCTGCTTACATCCTTGAATCTGGTAAGGCCCCTTTCGTCGTGTCTTCTCACCCTACCTGCCTTTGACTAACCTCTGCAGTCCCAAAACCGCCTGGCCAATAATTGCCTCCAAGTCATCACTCAGGTCAAAGCCCTCCGCGATTTGAAGCTCGCCAACAACCTCCTTTACGGCCCTTTGGATCCCACCTTTGCAAACTTGGAGAACCTGGAAATTTTCGACCTCCACGGGAACAAGGTCTCTGCGCTCCCTCCCGTCATCGAGAACCTGTCGAGGCTGCGTATTCTCAACCTTGGCGAGAACAGCTTCGAGGCTCTGCCTTTCACAAGCCTTGCCAAACTTCCGCTGACGGAGCTCCTGATGAAGAAGAACAAGCTGACGGGCACCTTGATCCAAGATGGAGTCGAGACCCTGCCGAACCTTCAGATGCTGGATATCTCCTGCAATCAGTTGACTCGCTTGGTGCCTTCGGGGTCCACCATCAGCCTCCCCTCGGTTCACCAGCTCGTTCTGTCCATGAACCGCCTGCAAGAGCTGCCTGACGTCACCTCATGGACCAGTCTCATGACCTTGGCCGCTGACGGGAATGCCATTCCCGAGTTTCCCATTGGCTTTACCGGCCTTACGAAGCTCAGACACGCCGACTTCTCTGCTAATGATATTCGTGTCGTCCCACCGGAAATCAGTAGGATGGACAACCTGACCCTCATCCGGCTAGCGGGCAACCCCCTTCGCGACAAGAAGTTTGTCTCTGCCACCACGGAGGAGTTGAAGGACGTGTTGGCCGCCAGGCTCGAGCCACCCGAGCCGTTCCAGGAGGTCGACGCTGTTATTATCCCTGACGACGCACCAAGCAACACGCTTGCGGAACCCCACGAAATTCACCCGGCCGCGAAACCCGCCCCGGCCGAGACTACGGCCCGTGATATCGCCCAATCGGACGAGGACAGCTTTGCCACCCCGCCCTCCTCGTCGCCTACGAGCCCCGCAAGCACGCGATCGCGGACTTTGGCTAATGAAACCTGGCCCGTCAAACAGGGCCTTTTGGACCGTTCCAACACCAAGTCTTCGTCCTTGCACCCAGTCATCTGTTCCAAAGTGGCTGCCGAAAACAAGGTTATCGAGGTCCAGCTGCACCATAACCTCTTGACCTGTTTTCCGAACTCGCTGTCCTTCTTCGCCGATTCTCTTGCCGCTCTCTCGCTCGCCCATAACCAGCTGGTTGGTGAATCCTACCTGACGGAGGAACTCGACCTCCCTGTGCTGCGCGAGTTGAATCTCGTTAGCAATCACATCACCAGCCTCTCGCCCTTGACTACTCATCTGCATGCCCCCCAGCTTGAGAAGATGGACGTCTCGCTCAACCGCATCACGGCCTTGCCGCCCAACCTGCGCGCCGTTTTCCCCCGTCTTGTGGTTTTGCTGGCCGCAAACAACCATCTGATCGACCTTGACCCCGTCACCATCCAGGGCATGGAGGTTGTCGATGCCGGCAACAATGACATCGCGCACCTGAACCCCAAGCTGGGTCTGCTCGGCGGTAGCGGAGGACTGAAGCGCCTCGAGGTCTCCGGCAACCGGTTTAGAGTCCCGAGGTACAATGTGCTTGAGCGTGGCACCGAGGCAACTCTACGGTGGCTCAGGGGACGAGTCCCCGTCGCGGAGATGGCTTCATGGAAAGAGGGTCAGGGTGATCCCGACGATGCGTCAGACACCAGCCTGGCGGACGTCGATTAAGGGGGGAGGGTGTGAGGAAAAGGGCTGAGAAGGGACGTGTCGTTCGGTCTCTTCATGTTTTCTCTTTCTTCTGCTTTTTGGAAGGGAGGTTTGGCGTGAGGCACATTCTTCGATTCTTGCACATATCTTTTTCTTCGCCTGGGAACAGCGGTGTGAATACACCACCGTATGCTTTCGACTTACGGAGTTGAAGGGGAAAAGGATCTTTGCGACTATTATCGTCGCCTGAATATCCTGTACTAGTACTGTATAATACCTTAATTACGAAAGACCGTCCGGTTCGCCGAGGTTCTTGTCCGAAATCTCGTATCGCACTCCCAATCCTGCTTGGGGCGGGAGCTGGAAGACCTTGTCAACAATTTATTCCTCGACCAGCCGAGTTGTAACGTAACAGCAGAACAACAAGTTACCCAAGGTGAATTTGGGGAATTGGTCTTGGGTCAGCTAACCCCCCAATACACTTGTTGGTTCTGTCTTCCTGTGGAAGCACGAACCTTGTCAGGCGTTTGGCTCAAGAGGTACGCAGACGCGTGCCTCGAGCCGAAGAGTTTTCATCAAAACGGAGATACCATACACTCACTCACACACTGCTTCCTCTCCCCCCCCCCGCCCTTGTGCCTTGTTCTCAAAAGTCAGACGACATCATCTCCATCCGCAATACTCCAGCTCTGCCTGCGACTCTACGCTGCCGAACGACTTACCTGTCTCTCACGTAAATAGGTGCTTCCGTGTAGCCTACCACCGACAAAAGACAAAGCAAGCCACGGGCAAGCGAGAGCCAACCCATTTTTTTCTTCTCTCTTTCCTACGCAACACCTTCCGACGGCCCATTTACAAGGAGAGGATGGCTATCATCGACAACGCCGTCTTCGGTGGCCTGCTTTACGGCGGTTGTGGCTACGCCTTCCTAGGCCTCGTCACCTACACGGTCGTCAACATGGGAGGCCTCTTGGCCCTACCGGCGTGGTACACCGGCTCGGCGCGCGGGCCCAAGGAGAGGGTCCTGCTCGCGTTGTGGTTCCCCGCCATTGTCGCGCTGTGGCCTCTCGTCCTGCCGCCCTGGCTGGCGGCCCGGTTCGGCCGTCGGGCCTGCGAGTGGCTCCGGGTGATGGGCAGGAGGGCCCGGAGTAGGGGAAGGAGACTGTGCTGCGGCGGCGGCGACGGAAGCGTCGACCTGGAGAGCGGGGGCGAGATCTCTCTCGACGAGGGGAGGCGTTGGGCGAGGCTCGGCTTCTTCGTCAACCCGTTCGAGGACAGGGGCCGGTCCAGGTCCCGTGCCCGCGACGGCCGCCCGGAGGTTTCAGAGAACCGCAGTCCGATGGACCGCGGCGCCGACGGCTCGGCCGCGGGGTCTGAACAGCAGCAGAAGCAGCAGCAGCGGCCGTTGCCGCTGCCGCCGACCACGTGGTACACCAAGCTGCCCTCGCCCGAGGAGATGCAGCGCGCGAGGGCCCAGGCGTCTTCTGGCGGCTCGTCGGCGCCGCCGGCCAGCCTCCCGCAGGTGGCCGACAATGTCGTCTACCCCGATCCGGCCGGAAGGTCCGAGGTCCTGCGGCGGTTGCAGACTATCCACGAGGACAAGGGGGGCGAGCTCGGTGGAGGTTGGGAGGATGTGCGTTTGCGGTGAGAACGCCGTACGCCGTCGAGCGTCCTGATGGAAGTGTCAAATCGTGTGTTACGATAAGTTTGAATCAGGAACGGCCGGTGTGACCTGTTGGGGTAGGCTTTAACGGCTATCAGCAGGCGGGTTCGCGTGCTTCAGTTCCCACCCGACGCGACTCTTATGCAACAAACGCGGTGTTTTCTAGTTTACAGATTAATAAGTGCAATGGAACGCGATCGTCAGAATGGGAGAAGGCATGTTTTTCATATCACGAAACGTCTCAAAGCAAAACAGAGATATCATGGAAGAAGGGAGTTGCTTGCGATCAAGTCCATAAGCAAAAAGTGTGCGCTGCGCCGAGGGGGAATCGAACCCCCGGCTCCCCGACGCTGCTTGATGGCAACGGAGAATTTTACCACTAAACCATCGGCGCTAGTAGATGACATTGCTCTAACTCTTGCTTCCTATGACCTGCTTCGCTGGTTTGGTGTTGCAGAGTCTAGATCAGCATGACTGACGGGAACGCGATGACTTGATTGGAGTGACTCCGTAAACACCCATTTGATCAAAGGTCTAGCTAGCCATAAGGGGGCGGGGCTAGAAACGGCTTTAATTAATCTAAATAATATTTTATCTCTCTCTTATTATATATGTACAAAAACGAAGTGGCCATCAACCAAAGTTGAAGAAGTTGGGAAAGTCTAACCCGTCCACCTGGAACTCATTCATCAACGTGCTCCAGTCTGGGAGATCTTGCATCGCGGTGGTCCAGTCTATCCCATCCGTGACCTCGTCAGGTTTCCCAGCCTCCACCGTCTCTTCGGTGGCCCCGGGCGTCAGAGAACGATCTCTTACCGCGGAGCCGTCCACTTCCACGCTGCCGCTACCACCGCCGCCTTCTTGTTCACCTTCACTACCGCCGCCGCTCTGCTGAGCAAGGCCCTGGCGTATCGCCAGTGCCTTGACGCGCAAAGCATCGAGAATCGTCGTCTTCGCCGCCTGACTGATCCCCGCGCCCACGCTCCTGATAATTCCCAAGCTCATGTTGATCGCCCTCCACGCCCTCTCGACGCTGGGCCCCTCCGGCTTCACGCACATGTGCCACAGCAGGTACAGCAGCATGTGGTACTGAGGAAACGCCGCCAATGACCACCGGTAGGACTGCAGGAGCTCGTCCGAGGCGATGCTCATCCACAACTCGATGATTTCCAGCGCCTCCACCAGGTTCTCCTCCGTCGCGAACGACTCGCGCGCCTCCGGGTGCTCGAGGTGGAGCCACTGCTGCCTCGTGACGAGGTCGAGCTTGCGGATGATGAGGCGGGCGACGAGGATCGTCTGGCGCTGCTGAGGCATCACCGGGTTGCACTGTTGGAGGAACCCCTCGGCGTATTCGTGCAGCTCCCGGAGCGTCTGCGCGCGCACGGACTCGGGGGTCGGCCTCTCGTCCCACGACGCCGCCAGTGCCGCGAGGTGGTGCCATGCCCGCGAGCATTGGATGTGGATCAGAGCCGAAGTGACCAGAGTCCACCCGCGCCTCGGCGGCGGGAGCTCCTTCATCTCAGGGTACAGGTCGCCATCTTCCAGGTTCAACGGGTGGTTCACGCCGGCGTACATGCTGAAGCTGCTCGGGTTCTGGATGCCGTAATCCTCGCCTCCTCTGCCGTCCCGTCCGAGGAGATGCCACCATAGCCGCCTCCGAATCTCGGACTCGAACGGGCCGAGGCCGAGCCTGGTGCCGTCTCGGTGCAGGCCGATGGACTGCGCAGCTCGGATCGCCAGCCCGTTCAAGGTCCACAACCCCCGGCCGGGGTTGTGTAACCTCAAGCCAGCCTAAGAAGAAGAAGAGTCAATGCGGGTCACACGCCGGAAAGGAATGAGCCGAGCAGAGTGTTCGGTTGCCGGACTTACCATGTAGACGGCAAGAGCTTGAAGAAGGTTCACTGACGGATGCTCGAGGAAGTCGGCCTTGGCGAAGGCTTGCTCGAGCCCTGTCTTGAAGCGATGAAGACAGGTCATCTTGTCCTCCCCCGTGAGTCTCTGGACCGTGCTCGGCTCGAGAATGACGGCGGACATGAAGAAGACGGCAAATATGACGGCCATCGAGTCCAGAGGTGCGCTGTACGCGTCATCGATGGCCGTGTAGATGAGAACCTCCGCAGTCGGCCGGTGCAGGACCTTGTTGCAGTGGTCGACGTTATCAACATAGTTTCGCCACAGCTCGATGGAGCCGGACTTGGGGGGCAGGAGCTCTACAAGGTCCAGTTTGAGGTCCGGGGCTGAGAGGATGCCCATCGGGTTGAAAGGCGAGGGGGCCGCCTTGGAGGCCGGCTCACTCACGGGTGTGGTCAGAACGGACTGTATATCATGTTCCTATACTACCATGATGAGCACACACGATTGCATACCGGAAAGGCCGGGGCGAGGGGTTGTATCATGGCGACACTCACCGCTTCTATAACCCGAGAAATGAGGAACTCGTCAAAATACTGGCTCGAAGTCCCTTTCCGCACCAGAATCTCATCACCCACAACCTTCACGGGAGGCCCCGAAGGCAGCGTTGTCGATGGCTCGGGGCTTCTGGCCACGGGGTGACTGGATATAAAATTCGAGGTGGACGCCGGCGTGATCTGTGGCGGCCGAAAGGTGGCCGAGGGTCGCTGGGCCGTTCCGGTTGCAAGCGTCTTCTCTAGGTCCGAGATCCGGCTCGCCACGTCGGCGATGGTGGTCTTGCGGACACGGCGCACCGGCTGTCCCACGGGCGGGTAATAACATTGAAACCCGCCGCGGGCGCACGATGCGCAGGGCTGCTTCTTGTCGCAACGGACCTTTCGCCGGTGACAGAGCTGACAGGACCGCTCAGTCCTGCGTCCGGCGCCGCCGTTCCCGGTTCCGGCATCGCTTTCGGCCCCGCCCCATATCTTGGACCGGACCCCCGAGAGGCTGGCTTGGCCTCTTGCGGCTGTCGGAGGCAGTGACGGGCCCGAGGGCGATGCGCCGACTGCTTGTGGGGTGGAGGATCGCCGGGTTACCGGGGGGGGAGCCAATGTCGCGCTCACGACGTCGGCGTCGACCACTTGGGGCGAAGATGCATCGGACATGGTGCAAGACTTCCAATTGCAAGCACTTCCCTGGCCGATGACAAACGCGGTTGATCCAAAGGCGGGAGCCAAAAGGGGGTGATGATGGCTAGGAGGACACTCGGCCTCGGCGCCATGATAATCCCCGAGCGAGCCCGCAGAGGGATCGCCCTAGCGCGTCCCCTCTGACTCGAGTACAAGGCATAATTAGTACATGACATGGTACCAATTCAGGGCTGACGCGCGTGTTGGAAACACGGGAGATGCCTTCGTGCTGATTGCCTTCGTTTCTTCCCGTCGTCCGGCGGGCGAGCGGGCGGGCGGGCGAGTTATCAACTCATGAAAACCCGAGTCCGCCAAACGTCACCTCCCCGCGGTCCCTACACATCTGATGTTCGGTGAGGCCCAGATCTTGCCGGATACCGGAATATCCACTAGTGTTTATGATTCAAACCTGGCCCTGCGGCCTCTTGTCTTGTCACGCCATCCGAGTTTAATGGACATGACGCCATGCCGGAATACTTGTGCCGGCCATCCCCATGCGACGGGACTGTAAGTCATCTGTCCTTGGTACAACTTCAAGTCAGTGAAGCGTGCTTCGCGAGGTAGAGATGATTCTGCATCGGGAATACCAGGCGAACAGCCGCAAACAAACATGACCTGACGGCGCTCCGATGCCACGAATATTTCTTTCTGGAAGGGAACAGCCAAAGCGCCACGATGGAACGGGCTCGATTGACGGAAACGGCCGATAGTTTGTTGCTACATACAGACGCACTATGCAGTACCTACACACGTGTCCACACCGGTATAGTGATCGCGATGGGCCGCCCCAACTCCTGTGCTTCGATGATAGGGGTTTGCCAACGGGCCGCCCATCGTTCGACCGACTCGAGTGTGGCCCGAACTGCGTGTGTGCGTTACTCGAGTAAAGGCAACTCCAAGCTTCGGGGATCGGGGGCTAGACCAACGCCCGACGTTGCAGCCGACAAGCGCATCCTCACGATCTGCAGGACGAGAACCTGAGGTCTGGATCGTTCACTCGCAGAGGGCGCCTCGGCTTGCGTGAATGCATCTTGCCGTTCTACCAGCCTCTTCTCCCCGGAATCGGAAACTTTCCAGATACTCGGGGCACCATTCTTTCGGGCGGAGATACCCTCAAGGGACAGTAAGACGCAACCAGCAAACCTCCAATGACCAGCACGTGCCATACGGCGCCACCCAATGCGGGACGGGCCCTCACGGAACTCTGAAGTTTCCATTGTGCGTTCTGCTCGCGAGGCCAGCGAATGAAGGCGATCCCCGGTACGATTATAACAAGAGTCAATAAGCTTTTTGACGGCGCATCAGCCACGACTGGGCATGAGTCTGGGCAACTTCGGGGACCGACTGGCGTGAAACCCAATTGGCACTGCTGTGTACAATCAGCCTGGCGAAGCGGGAGCTAGACTCAGAAGCGGCCAGACGAAAATGCCAAATTATGCATCAAGGGAGGATGAAGTATTGCGTAGTCTTTGATAGAAGCAAAAAAGTATAATGGTATCACTCCTCGGATCAATATCGTGACCGTACAACTCCGGTACCTCCGGCTACCCTTTCGGAGGACCCCCAGCCCATTCTTTTCCGATCCCTTTTTCGTGAACAATGCTCCAAAATTCCTGTCATGCTATCCAGCTTTGAGTAGGCACCGTCTTCGTTTTTATATGTGAAATATTCCAGGGCCTTGTGATGGGGTGGCTCCATGTAAACGTACGCACAAGAGGACGAGACACCAAAGGACTGGTTGTTTGCTTTGTATCGCCAAAATGGGCCGAGGTTCCCATCACCCAGTGTGTGAAGAAGCAAGATATTTCCTTCCCGTACCGCGTTACCTGATTCGGACACGATAGTCCTGCTTGAGAATTCGCCAAGGCAGGAAAAAAAAAGGACAAAGAAAAGCACAACGCGCGAAAACTGAGAGGCGCCGCTCCGCCTAGACGCCCACCGAAATGGGGGGCAGGTGTGGCATCATGTCGAGCCAGGACATTCCGGGATTCGCATCTTTCATCTCCCAAAGCGCCTTGAGGAAAGTCGTCATGTTGTTCTTGTACCGGGCATTGAAAGAATCCATGACCGATGACATGGCTTCCAGCGCGGTTTCCCTCTCGGCTGCGTCCCTGGCCTCGACAGCGGCCAGCATGTAGGGGAAGCTGACGCAGCGCTGCGACTCTTTGGAGACGGTCAGCGTCATGGTGAGATCCGAGATGATGCTCTTGGACATGGCGGACGCCATTTCGTCATTTTCGCCAAACTTGTTGCGCAGCCTGTGGATGAAGAGCATCGCTGCCGTTTTGTAGATCCGACTCTGGGCCAGCATGTGAATCACCTCGCTGGTGGTGAAGCGCTTGGTGAAGTCTGGCGGGATGATGGGTTGCCATGCCTCGATCTTCTCTCCCAGCTTGGCCAGCGCCTGCGTCTGCTCCTCGACTTCCACTTCGTAGCGGAGGTGGTAGCTGATGTGACACAGATCGTAGAGGTGCTGTAGAAGCGGCATGCACACGCCCAGGTACGCGTCGACGTGGCCGTCTTCCGGGGGTGTGATGCCGCATACCGGCAGCTCGCGCAGCATCAGGCACTCGTTGATGTCGACGGCCGTCAGGAACACCAGGATGTAGTGCGTCCGCGTGCTGGAGATTTGCGCCGTCCCAAGAAGGTGCCGGATGTGACTCAGGACGTATCGGCGCACGGGGGCGGCGCTCGTCCCGAGGGCCATGTTGGAGAAGTATACGATTCCCAGCCCGAGCCCTGCCCAGGGCAGTAGCTCTTCGCGCTTCAACGTGGGCAGCCTACATGACCGCAGCTGCTCGACCGCCATCGCGCCGCGGTGGAGGTTCGCTTCCGGGTCATACTCGCCCGTCTCCAGGCCCATCGACGCCGCGAACGCGCTGTACATGGCGATGTAGGCGTCCTTGCCCTGGTCGAACATGGTGAACAGGTGGACCGTCATGTCGAGCTGCATGTTGTCGACAAACGTCGGACTGATGAAGTACTCCATAAAGTTTGACTTATGCAGCAGCCTGGACAGCGATCTGCGCTCAACCGTGTCCAGCCGGCCCAGTGTGCTTCCATAGGGACTAAGCGACTCCAGGATCATGGACGGCGGACTCGATGCCGACTCGGTCGATGAATCGGAGGAGGCGTCGTCGGGCGGGCTGCCAGCTCTCGTGGGGGGTGTTATGCTTGGCTTCCGTGATTCCGAGCTCGGCGCGGGACTCGCGGTCGCCGTTGTATTCGGGGCCACAACGTTGGCTTTACGAGGGGTCGGGTATGAACACTGCATGTTGCCGCTCATGATCTTGCTACGCACAGCCATCTTTGATCGTCCTTTGACGGCAGACCGAGGCACGGGGCGCACAAAGACGCAGTCCCGACCATTCATCATGCAGCGATCGCATTGCGGATTGCCTTCCGTGAAGGTGCATTTCGATTTCTGGTAGTAGCACGGCGCGCACGCCTTTGCGACAGGCTGGAGGACGGGGGCGGTCAGCGTGTGTCCAGGGCAAGGCACTTCATCGCGCCCAGAGGTAGAGCAAGTGTACTAGTAGTAGTCGCAGCACCAGCAGCAGTACAATGAAAGGGAAGAACAAACAAGATGGAGCAGAAAAGAGGGCGACGATGTCGACGAAGGTGACGTTAGAGTCGCAAGAAACTTCCCTAGCCCCCCCCCCCCTATACAGTATGCCGCAACGGGAGATAGGCGATGATGGGAAAGTCGCTGCACTCACCATTGTGAATCAGACTCAGGTGGGGTGGCCCATTCGACGTGTGCCAAACGGCCGAACTCCTGTAACACGACCGGGAATCGTACAAGAAATCTGGGCGAATAAAGCCGAAGGCAGACCGGTAGTACTTAATGGTTACGCCGCCGAGAGACGTGTATGAGATTCTCGTTCTCTGTTTTATTACTCTCGGAATGGCGGAAGACCGTTTCTGTTCGTGTGATGGCGCTGCTGCTGTTGCTGCTGCCAGCAATGTCACTACGTCTTGCACGGGGGTACTACGGAATGGCCAGTGGTGTGCGGTCCGAAAAAGTCCGCAGTAGAGAGCTTCGGAAGCGGATACGACAATAGTCCGTGGACAGCGTGTTGATCAGTATAGATGGATGGATGTAAATGCCGAAGGGGTTGAGGACGCAGAGGGGGTAGAAGTGATGTTATGTTATGGATGTTGGGCAGAAGATCAATAAGGGCCTGTAAGGACGGGTCTAGGCTGTGAAGATAAGCTTCAGGCAGTGCGTACGAGATTGGATCGAGCAAGAGGCAGCCAGGCCGAGGCAGCGGTATGATCCATGTAGCCCAAGAAGAGGTGATAACCGAATCGGTAAAGGTCCCCCCGATGACTGCGACATCATGTACCATCGAGTCGCCGCCTATATGGTTGGTTACATGCTATTTTATTTGTTAAGCAATGCCACCACAGTCATAAGCAGACTATTTCCTCACATGTGTATTGTATGGATGGCAGCACGAGCCCACCACCCCCTTCATCCACCAACTTCAACTCCTCCCACAGCTGTCTTGCAAACTTCTGCAGCGGGGGGGCTACCATGTCGAAAGCCGCAAACTACCTAGTGACCAAGCTAGCGTGTGCAGATGGATGTTCACTAATCGGCGGCTGTGACGCCAGCCTGTGCGTTCCAAAGGTAGAGCAGGATAAAAGAGGCTGACTAGGAGGGAGGGTGTGGGAAACGGGAAAGGACTCAAGACTCATTGGACGCGCAGAGACGGATCACCCTGACAAGTGTCGAGCTACCTAGTTTACTATGAGTCCTGAAGGTTGCGCGTGCGTACAACTACTACCTATGTACGGATACACCGATACACACACCAACTACGCTGGTACCGCCCTTCCCCGTGCTCCAGCCCAGCGGTATTCCTGGCTTGCAACACTGCTTTTCCCCTGAAACGTCGCAGACGGCGGTGCAGTCAATACCGATATGTGGGCACACGCATTAGCGGGAGCAGGGTAAAGGAGGCCTGTTTGAAAGTTTTCATATACCTTCGCACGGACGTCATGTCAAGCAAAGGGGGGGGGGGGTTAGGAGGAGAAGGCTGTCTTGAACTCCTGAGCTATAGCTATACCTAGTAGAGGAGGGGGATCGGATAGACTGGCTAGTGTTGGGCATCGAGCCAAATGTTTGTCTGCGAAATTTCCCTTCCAGCTTCGCCCTTGACCATCTTTGCCTGCGTGGTGCTGATTTCGCAACAACAGACGATCCTTGACAGGGTGCGAAATTGGTCTTTGAATAGCATATCACACACAAGTGAAATGTAGTCGCGTACAACTCTTGTCGAAGAAGAGTCGGATCCCGGGTGTCGCGGTGAGCGAGACGACTTGATGCCGTGTCGTCTCGATCCGCATGCATGGAGGGCACGAACCGCCTGTGCTTACCTTGTGTCTGCACTCTCTTGCCGCTTATGAGGTGCCTCTGATACTCGAACGCGATTCGTGTGTCTTCCCGAATTGCCCACCTTCGGACTTGGACTAGGTACCATGTGCAATGGCAGAATGGACGTGCGATGTAGCAAGCTGAGGATGGCGCTCGGTCAAGCCAGCACCAACCCCGCCCAGCCAGGCCAGTAAGCAAAAAACAAGTGGCATATATAGCACACTCACGGGGGGGTTGTGATCCCTTAATACCGTCCGCCGGGCTAATTCCCCGGAAGCCTCATCCGGTTTGGAAGTGACAGTAATGTGATAGACCAGGGCGCAGTTGAGGGGTGGAGGAGTGGGTGGGAGCAAAGCTCTGGACAAGCGTGGCGGGAGGAGACGCAGCCAGACTGACTTGTCGGTCTGTTTCTCAGTAGGAGAGCTCACCCAGGCTGTTGTGCTGCAGCTATAATCCTAGACGTGCGATCAGCGCAGCAGGCAGTCCAAAGTCTCTTGGGCGAGGTGTTGCTCGGGATCGGCTTGAGTCGAGTGTCTATTCTGCGGAGATCAGGGGAAACAAACATTCCTGCAGGCGCGGCTGCAATTGTCGCACTGGCATTACCTCGTTCGGAGACGCGGAGCAGTGTAAAGCCATATGCCGACAACCGGAAACTGATCTATCTGTCGTATGAAATCGCTCGAGATAATCAACCAGCCACCCTCCTCCACCAGTCACATTGATTAACCAGTCCCGAATTTCTTCCCCTAGCCGTTAAGCTTGTTCTGGTTCAATACATCCGACAAAGGGAGGGCCAGTCAGTTCGTTCACCTATCAAGTGTCCGATAAATATGCATACGTAGCACAATAGGTGACGGGGGTGGTGCTGACTCACTTATGGTTCAATCAAGGGCGCAAAAGAAAACCTACTCAGAGCAGGGCTAATAGACATAAACTTTCCTCAATGGCCTAGAGCTTTTTGGGATGGCTTTGGGATGTTGGTGAATCTGACGGAGAATTTAGCAGAGAGACAACATGAATAATACCAGTATTAACATGCAGCCAGTGTGGTATTCACACGCTTTTTTAGGTAAAGTCGTGCTCGCTATGCGGGAGACTGAGTCGTGTCTTGACCATCTCAGGAGCAATTCGTTTTTCAGAACGAACATACCAGAGAAGAGGTACGGAGTAGATATGACAGACCCCTCCCCTCCCCCCTCCCTCCCCGGGACCTCCTGGCCTTCACCGGTCTACAGTATACGGATATCTCGATCTGCATTGCATTCTGCGCATGCGTATTGACCATGGGGGCCGGGGGTATCACCCCAAAAATAGTCATCCCTGACCTGCCAGATGATTGGTGTAACGCTTGTATATGCTACCTGGCCCCCAAACCAGTCCCTCCCTGATCGCCGCGAGATTGACTGAAATTACCGACACTGGCAACAGTCGGAACAAGCTGCTCACAACCATACTCGCATGGGCACACGTTCAGGCCCTGGGGCCATCAAGAACGGAACATAGACGCTCTCTCCACCAACCCATTAGGATACACAAGTGTACGCAAATGTGCACACGCCACTAGTCGCATTTGGGCTAAGAGAAATTACGGGCATTCCCCGGAAAGCTTCAGGGTTACATTACCGGAGTCGCGGCAAGGTCCTTAGCTGTTCCAGCCTTGGCCAGTACGCGCGCGGTAGCCATGCCGGGGAAAGAGAGGTATGGCAGCCTCATATCATTGACCAACCTCTCCGTGTTGGCTTGGCATCTTTACCCAATGCATGAATGGCGGCAGTTCTTGTGTGCTTGTCGCAAACTCGTGATCCCACATACGTTTCCTGTTGAGCCACCGTCACCGTACCACTTTGCCACTCGAAGCAACCCTGCGACTAAGTTTGCACACCCTGCCATGCCGCGTTTCGCATGCCCGTCGTTATATCACTCGCTCTCTCGGCGAGCAGATGGCCTCACTTGCGATAATGCCAAGCTAATATTCCAATGAGCCAGGCCATATCCTGTCATCACGAGCGGACGACATCCGCGGCTTGGCGTGCTTCGTCTTTCGATTGCCAACTCGTCAACGGAATCCAACCATGAAACGGGCTCGGAAATCCGGGAACGGACACCTTGAGTCTTACTGCTGGCCCATATCACACAAATAGGAGATGAGAGGCACTTCTTTCCAGAACAAGCTTTTGGAATCTCATACCCATTGAGCACCTCACACTGCTGGGATGTCTCTCTGACGTTGCCCGCCTTGCTCATTCTTCGTAACCTCTATCCTACGGGCGGATAAGGATGGGTGGCCAATATCGACTCACGTGCATCTTAGAGCTGTTCCCAAGAGAGTCTAGTAAATATATCCGTACCGATGGACCAAACACCATGTGTGAAAGAAACGCAGGGACCCTATTATCCCCAACGGCAAGCCAGACACACCTCCTTCGACCCCGGATTTTAGGGCGCTTCCTTCAAAACAGCCTATGCAGGGAATTTAGAGAAAGAGACTAACCAGGCTCCAAGTATCAGTATCATCTGTGCATGTGACTCACGCCAAACGCGGTTGCACTTGGCTTTGGCTTTACCATCCAAGCCCCTAGTCTGGCGGACCGTTTCTAAGATAAAGTTGGCAAGCCCGCGAGACTCGACTCGCATTATTGGCATATCACAATAAGATCCTACGACATGGAAGGATTCATGTTCAAAATAAGGTTCAGCTAGTTGCTTTCTGGCCGCTGATCACGTATATATATCCACTTACTTTCTAGGAGCCCATGGCTGGAGCGCCCCTGCGATAGTGAGCAGAGAGTGCTTTAGCAGCCTAACCCTACTTTTCGCCTCTGCCCCCTCTACTACGTCTTGTTCTGATGTTTACAGCCCCCAACCGGCTCAACTGCGAAATACAGGACGACAACATAGCAACATGGATCTCTTGGGCTCTCCTTGATGTGACCTGAACTTCGGTAGCTTCCATGTGTAGCTCCATGTAAAGCAAAGGCTTAGTAGTTTTATATCTAGTTGCTCCGTTTTGGCCAACAAAAAACTGCGACGTCGAGTCGCCAGCGATGGTGCACTGATAACCGTCTCACCGTGATGGTTGTTTAACATGATTAGTGACAAGAGCGTATCACCAGCATTCAGCTACATTCTGGCCCTGCGAAGTTCCACGGAAATCTTGGTATCACCAGCGCAACCAGGGCACCAAGCTATTCCCTTGCTGTCAACCTGTGGATAAGGGGATCGAGATCACAAGAAGGGTTCATGACTCGTTTCCCGGGGCCGCTGGAGACGTCAATCGAGGACCGGAGATGGCCCGTTCTTCCCGTGTCTAATCGGCTCGTGCTTCCCGGGTTTGCGGGACCTCTCCTGAGCGGCTGTTTGGTTCCGGTCACGAACTGATATATGATATATGATATATGAAGCGTTGATTGCTGCCCGAAATCGACGGGGTCGTATTTTGCGGAAGTTCTTTGACCCCGTGCCCGATGCTTAATTATCTCCCGCTCATTTGTCGTCATTCTTTTATATTTAGATTCGGAGGTTTCCCTGGGGCTATGGTACCTTCTTCAGTACGCCGGCTATTCAGCATTTTCTTTTCGATGGAACTCGACTTAGCTAGAGGAATCATGCCGACCGTGACGACGATGTAAACGTCCCTGGTAGATGCACTTGATTGCTCTTGGCCTTTTCAATTTTCAGAAGTACGGCAACTCCTGGAAACAGATAGTTTCACGTCTTTAAGCGGAGTCTATCAACTCAGAACACTCGCTTCGGCCTCCGAATACTAATGTGCGCCCGTTATTCATCTGTGTGACGAGAGAAATCACACGTTCTTCTGTTTGGCTGCACGAGATACCAACTGAGCTTGGTAATGAATGTAGCAAACTTACCGATGGCGGGATGTGCGTGCCATTTGGACACAAGGAGATGGTAGGAACTCGAGTCCGAGTGGCATGCTTTGCTGAAAACAATAGCCAGCTATAACTATATACTGTCTATAGTACCCCTGAAATCATTTGTAGGCAAAAGTTCTCATATAAATAACTGACAATCCACATATCACTTGCCTTTCTAAGACCGCCTGGTGACAGCACTTCCATATTCCCAGTCTCTCCATAATCAAGCCCCGGACTCACTATGTTAATGAATACATTGAGTAGTTATTTCATCCCTAGGTTTCAGATGTCGGCTGCGTCGACGATGAAGAATGGTCATACAAATACATATATATATATATATATATGAGAGTTGATCGACGTATTGGCTTAAGGCCGAGAAAATACAAATGTTAATACTATCAGCGTCAACTTTGTCCAAGCATAAGAGCTTAAGCTGGATGTCACGTTGAAAGCTCTCTCTAGCCTGGCCCTTTCCGACACATGTAGTGAAACCCACTTGAGCCACCAATGGTCCGGAACTGAGACATTTTGCACAATAGAACGCATGTTTTTAACATGAAGTGTAGCTTTTGGTTAACGTTACCCGCTCAAGCAAGCCAGATTTTCTGTCCGTTCTCAACGTTAAGTTCCCCGTCATTCAGTGCCTCCTCACCTTCTCCACAAGCCAGCCGGAATTGAAACCAGTCGTCCCAGTCCACCTGTCGAAACTTTACAGCACCAACCCTCCTCAGAATGTCGCACTCTGTCCGTTGCACTATGATCCCTACTCCAGAATATCTTATAGCCCTAATTTCATATCTCTCATCATCGTCGGGGTCGATATACTCTTGTCCACAGTTGTGTGTAAGAACCCTAGAGACTGCGAGGACAAGGAACTCGCACGGCGCCTCGTCCTTCAAGGGTTTAATATCCGGGTAAGCTTCGATGACCGCTTCCTCCCGAACCCCTTCAATATCAATCACCCAGCGCTTTTCCTCAGGTACGGCTCGAATGGTGCCTTTGCAAATATGTCCACGGACCTCTATCTCGTCAGAAAGCAGCCTCGAGGGTACGTCCGGGTTCCGTCCACTGCCCGCTAAGATAGTACCGGGGATTTTTGCCGGCTTCTTCCAAGCCTTTTCATGGTTTCTATCAACATCACTAAGCCTCTTCGTCATGTACTCAGGCACGTCTCTCCACGAGGAGACGCCCTGTCTTACCATACTCCCCCGAAGCACCTTCTCAAATCGAAAGGCGACTGGCCCACCGTTGTGATCTGTCGCCGCGTAAAACCGGCGTACGCCCGCGGCCCTTGGAGCGATCTGAATCGGCACATCCAAGCAGGTCCACGACCAGGCCGGGAATGACGGCCAATCCATCTTGGGGTATTCGGCCGCGGGGCGCCCAACTACATGCCACGCAAGCTGCTCCTCTAGGCATGTCGACCACAGCCCGTGGGCGTATTCCTCGCCCTCCATGTCGCGCACGAGCTTCGCGATGCCCCACATGGCATCGCCTTTGTCGCGATGGTGGGTGAGCTTGCAGTTGGTATAGGCGCTGACAGCGCTCTCCCAGAACTTCGTGACGGAGCCCTCGGTCGTCTTGACCAGCGACGGCACCGTTATGGCAGCGTCTTGCAGTCGCTGGCGCCAATGTCGGTCCACGGCGGCTTTTATGTCGATGCAAGGCGGGAGGCCGGCGGGAAGTGTTTCGCAGGCGGATATGGTGGCGCAATCCCAGAAAATTTGGCCTTGCCCGAACTGCAGGAGGCGCGGGGAGAGCATTCGCTCTAGTATTGGCTGTTAGCAGGCTGACGGGAGCGATAGTTCAGGACGTGACAACCTTGGAAAACCCAGCCGCGGGTGTACAGGTGGCTGCCGAGCAGATCATTATCCCAGAGGTCGGAGGGAAGGATTCGCCATTTGCGGCGACTAAACATGTGAGAGGAAACATCAGGGCCATATTTGACAGGGAGGACGTCGGAATTCCGTGCCCGAAAAAGCCCGCTTGATGAGTCCTCCGAAACCGCGGCTGCGAGGTTACAGAAGGAGTTGCGGTACACTTTGTGCATGAGTTTTGCCTCGGCCTCCCAATCCTCGTGGCTTGGTTGATCTTGGATGATACAGACGGAGTCGATCCAGATGTATCGTACTCCCAGCTTTCGCGTGACTTCAATCGCTTCCACGAAGTTCTTGTTGCTGCAGATATCGTTCCCATGAGAGAAGTTCTTCCACGGGATGCCGCGGGTAGTGAAGTCGTTGAAATTGCTGTCTGTGAGCCGCACGAACTTCTTATCGCCCCAGCAGTGGCTCAGCGTCATGTATTGTTCCTTTATGTTATCTTCCCGGGTATGGACGACGCGGATGTGCTTTGGCGGCCAGGGGTCACCTTGGACACCGACGTCTAAGACACGGGTTGGCATAAAGTCACGGCTGAAGTGGCGGGGCTTGCATCTAGGGTGGTTCTCTCTGCAATTATTGAGCCACTTCTTCATCTGCGTGAACGATGCCTCGGAGTTTGTCCCTGAACCCAATGTTGTCTCATTAGGAATAGAGCCAAGGTCTAAGATATATGTCAGTACCTTATTACAAGAGCCGTGTTGGGAATTTCACTACCATCTTCTGGGATCAGGTAAAATTGGTGTTCCGGGAGGTCTTCGCTATACTTCTCACCGTGCTGTCGACCGGGAAGCGGGCGGAAGGTGATTGCAACATGGCTCTTGAAATCCGTAGCTTGGAGGGTTTCGCGCATGTTCCATCGATAGAGAGCAGCGGAACTGTCAACAAACCACGGTTGAATATTCTCAACAGACGCAGACAGTCTTTTGCAGATGACGCAGCCTGAATCTGCCGCATCCTTGAACGCGACAGCGCTGACATGATGATAGTCCCAGACCTTCCTTGATTCCAAAACATTTTGTCGGCAAAAGTCGCAGATATTCATGGTGCTACTATCCATGCTATCAAAGAGGATCGTTCTTGGTGAAGTTCAAGACCTTGAACCATGACAATTCTGGGGGATTTAAACGTTCAAATGAGCTTGTGGATAGCCGCGCGGCAAACATCATGCATCGCTACCCTAGGTATAATACCAGGTCCAACGGAAGCGCCGGTGGCTACGGCCAATGACCGGTCAAGTTAGGAATCCACCCCGTCACGATGCTTACTCTGCGAGGGGACAGTCAACTCTCCTTACATTTGCAGCAGGGCTGTGCCTTCAAAGCCTCCATCCAGCCTAGTTAAGTACGGTTTGTTATGTTGTTTGATTGGTAGTAGTGATCCCACCCTGAGAGAATCTCAAACCACTGACTTCCTGGGCGTGGTCCTCATTCTCATGTTTATGTTCGTAACGTAGGCGGTTTTCATGCAGGTAGTTAGTTCGATACTTTCGAAGTATCATTAAGAAATGCCATATTTGGATTGAGGCTGGCAGTCAGGTGCATTATCATACCATGGTCCAAATATCAGTTATGTCAGCTGAATTCTCTTGCTTTTTCTTTTCGCGTAATATAGCCGCTTGATATTCCGGCTTATTCGTTAATGTGCCAAATACTCGTTGTTTCCTTCTTGTCTGAAATTTAATTGCCACGTGCGATCCGAATGCGATAACCTTGGCACTTCAGCTTGGGGAACATAGGGGTACTCGCTAATGTGGTCGGGAAACACATTGCGCCTAAAGTGTGTGCAAATTCACAGCAACCTGAAACTTTGACGGTAATTTTGACTACTGAATTGCTATGAGGGAAAGCACCCGATGGACATGAATATTGACACAGAGACCGGCGTTGGTGGACCAAAGGAGAGACCAGAATATACTCCAGTTACATATCCCGTCTACGATAGTCATCTAGCTGGTGTTCTAGTCCTTCGATCATCTCGCCTTGTACCACTATCTGAGTTCCAGTGTCTTCGATGATGAGCAAGGTTGCAAGGTTAGCACATATCGCCGCGACGGCTCCGAGTGGAATACTAGACTGCGGGTGGTAGGGGTAGATGGGGGAGCTCGCCAAAAGAGTGAGGAAGGCTGTACCGACCAAACAGTTAAACGTTATGGGCCACTTCGTCTTTATGCCTTTGGGAGGGTCTCTCCCGTAGTCGGATCGCTTCAAGACAGCGAGCCACTGCTCCAGCTGAGGTTTTACGATGGCATAGAGACCGCCAAACCCCAAGAGCTGCTGGCTCAATGTCGAGTGAAAGTTGCTGTCGTACATGGGGACCCCTTCTGCGGCCTCGCATAAGAACGTCGCAAGCACTGTGAAAGGAAGAGATAATACCACAAGCCACGTGACCAGCGAAAGACCGAGAATACGCCAAAGTCTGGGTTCTTTATCAGCGGCCATTCGTCTCGCTCGGCTTCTTCCATATTGGAATGGGGGGCTCGGGGGGCTCTTGCGGAGCTTTCGGGGGCGGAGAGGGCGTGTTTGGTTCACTCGGGACCGGCCAGCCGAACTGAACGGCACAGGCTCAACAGCTGATGACATGGAACGGGTTCTTGGAATGCCCATCTCGGGTATGACCAGCTTCTTTGCTACGGATCACATCAGCACAACTTACGCATAGGCATTGGTGTCTCGTCAGAGGCATTTAATGCTTACCTTCTTCCATTTCTAACCGTGACAATGTGTCTCGGCACTCCCGAATCTCTGCGTGGAAGAAATCGAATGTCGATTGCAGGCTGCGTGATAGCCTGTCCATGTACTGAAGATGGACTTCACTTTCGAGTGCGCCGAGCATACTTTTTAAAGATTCCCATCTTCCTTCCGCCTTTTCAAGACGAGCTTGGAACTCTGTTACCTTGCACTGAAGCTGCGCAAGATCCATATCCTGATTCCAAGAACGAAATACACTTTTCCAGCTGTGATTCCTCGGGTATCTGAGGATTGCCATCCTCTCAAGCAGCACTGTCGCGTAATGTGGGGTGTAACCCCAAGAATGTGAGTCGTATCGAGGAAAGCCTTCATCAACACCGGCCAGTTGCATTAGATTTCTTAGGAGGGCGTAAGACCCTACGACAAGTTCGGGCCGGTAAGCAGCTAAGAGGAGGATGGGAGAATCGAGACCCGGGGATGACCAGACATCGCTCCAGTTGTTGACAAGTTTGAGGGCGTAGATTGGGCTGAAATCAAGGTTCCATTGATAATATTGTCGGATGGCCTCCAAGGCCTTGACTCGAAGACCTTCTGTTATAGTTTCCAAGGCTACCTGGTGATCTATGTCCGCGTAAAGAAGGGGGAAATCTAGCTGATTGGCATTGCTATCGATACCGTTGGTGGTCGTGCTAAAGCTTGAGCTAGACTCGTCCCAGCCTCGCAAAATAGGCAGCGGATTTGATATTGACGATACCAATTTTGAACTGCCCAATGCAGCGGCCAGTTACGCAAGACTGGAATGTCATCTTGGCGCTCAATCATATTATATATCTATTTCGTTTTTCCTTCACAAGGCGAACTGGTGCGCCCTTGATGACTGATTGGTTCTACAATGATTTGGTGGCTATTTTGCATGCAGCTAGTGGGAGTAGCTGCGACAGATAAGACTTTCTCTCCAGTGAAAGGCAACGTTTTTCTTTAGTGCCGGCATTCGGCCAGGGTGTGTAGTCTTAGAGTGCATGCCAAAAGCCGATGGTGGAATATGATTCGAAAAGATTGCAAAGCGCCTACAGCCGGCCATCAACTGAGTCTGCCTTACGAGTCCCAGAGGCGCCTCGCAATGGGCGCCTTGCTGCCTGATAGCACGGATTACCGTCTCGAAGACGTGTGGAATGATAAGGCTCCGAGGGACAGCATAGGTATTTGTTGATATACGGTAGGTATGCTTTAGGGGAGGTGGTCACGTGATATTTACGTGACACACCGCCTCCTACAGCAGTATCTACCTCACTACTAGTATACCACCTAAAAGTCTGGATTCACTTTGTAACTAACTAATATAATAAGTAACTATATTCTGTATTACAATTTGTTACGTAATCTATAGGATATCCCTCTTATGTAATTTAACTAATACTAATTAGTGTGTAATTAATTACTAAATTACTACTATAATAAATTAGTAAGGTTTTTTATATAGAGCAGAGAGGATTAGTAGCCTATTAGTATAAATCCTTTATAACTTAACTATTATTATTATTATTATAACTTTCTTTACTTTCTTACTTTATTTTAACTAAATCTATATTAATAATAAGTAAAAAGAAAAAAAGTAAAGAACTACTACTAGTAATAGTAAGGCTGTTAAGTTAATAAATAATAAATATTTATTCCCCTTTATATCTTTTACTATTACTATCCTACTTCCTATAACCTCTCCTTCTTCTACCTGCCTTTATCTACTATATTAATCTAATAACATAAGGTAACTATATTAACTTTAATCTTAATAAGTTAGACCTTTAAAAAGTTAGATTATATATAATATATATAATTACTATATAGTTAGACGCTAACCTTTATAGCTACTGCCTCCTTACTGCCTTCTAGTTAGATTTTATAGATTAGACTACTACTACCTTTAACGCTATAAGTACTAAGGCACTATTAATATTCTATAATTACCTTATTAATAATAAAGTCTTTATTAATCTAGTAAAAAGAAAGATTACACTTAAATTAGTAGACCTTCTTAATACTAATTTCTATATATAGACTAGAGAAGATATTACTTTTACTTACTATAAACAGCCTATCTTTAACTTATAGATAAAGAACCTTAAATTTATTAATAATATTACTAGCTAGTATATTTTACCTAAGGAAAAGTTAATAATTAAATAGGCCTTATCTACTGCTTTTTTAATATTATTATAAATAGTAGCTAATATTACTTTATAGAGATAACTAACTTTATTTACCTTAACTTATTTATTAGTAGTAGATTATTACTAGCTAAAGTAGGAGTAAAAAGGCCTAACTTTACTTTTATAATAAGATAAAATCTACTAAGCACTTACTAACTTAAACCTAGTACTTAAAGGTAATATAGGCACTTTATTTATTAATACCTTATTACGTAACCTAAGAATACCTTACCTTACTTCTTACCTTACTTATTACCTTACTTATTAATCTTATTATAGCTAGTATAGTAAGTAATTAGGTAGTTAGCTTATTATAATAAATAGAATAAATCCTTAGTAGGATATACTATTTAACCTATTAAGTAACTATAAGCCTACTACTAACCTACTACCTTAAAGCACTATATAGAGATTTTAGTTATAAGGCTATAATAAATTATAATAACGTTAGCTACTATATAAGCCTAACTTTATCTCTATTTTTTCCTTATAACCTTACTTATATTAGCTAACTAACCTTATAAAGCTACTAACTAATAAAATAAAATATAGTAGTAAGCTATATAACGTTCTTAATCTAAAGTTAAGTATCTTTTAGGATAATTATAGTAAGGTTAGGATTAAGTAGTACTAGCTTAGCCCTATCTTCTTAATTATACTAAAAAGTAAGGTATCTTAGTTTTATATTAATTATATTTATAGTAATAGTATTTATAATTTTAATAAAATAGTTAACTAAATTTATAACTACTTTAAGATATAAGAATAAATATAGACTTACTTATCTAAATAGTAAGAAATAACACTTCCTTAAGTTATATATAATAATCCTATAATAACTAAGATCTAAGCCCTTAAGGAGCTTATCTTAAAGCTAGCCCTTATCTAATAGGCTTTCCCCTTATTATACTAAAATAATAAGGTGTTAAGAAGTTAGTTACTAAATACCTACTCTAGGGTTCCTAAGTATAACCTTTACTTATACGCTCTAGCTATAATATTAGAAGGAGTATATAGCTAGTTATAGTTATTTATTAGTACTACTATAAGGCGCTCTTACTATAGCTAGTACCTTACTAAATCCTTACCCTTATTACTTAATAATTAATATTAAGTAGACTATACTTACTAAGGCTAAGGCTATTATTAATAGTTTAGTAATAACTATAGTAGTAGTAATTTTTATAATAGTAATAATAATAATAGTAGCTATAATACTAAAAAGTGCTATATTTACTATAAGCCTAGCTACTAGTTAATAAAGTATACTACTAATAAAAAATATAAAGTGTATTAGTAATTTAAAAGTAACTATTATATTAAAGATACCTTACTAACTATATATAACACCTTCCTTACTAGCTATAAAAGCACCTATCTATAAGAAGAAGAAAATAAAAATAATAAGGATCTTTAGTAGTATCTCTAAGGGGGCTACTTTATTATTAGTAATAATAAAAAATAAGATAATAGTGTATTTTACACCTTAACTACGTTCTTTAGAAACACTAAGGTAGATAGTAAGGCACTTACTACTAACCTTACTAACTAGGCTATTTATTACTAATTAATAAAAATTAACCCTAATAGCACCTCTACTAAGTTACTTAGTACCTTTATACTAAATTATTACTTATTAGCTACCTTTTAGGGTATTTTACTAAATATAGGTATAGTAAGTTATTTAACTATAAGCTACTTATAAGCTATTATACTATAGTAAATTTAACTATTTATAACTATTAACACTATAGCTATAGGTAAAGTAAAGATTAGATTTAGTAATAGTAATATTATTACTTTATAAGGCACTATTATAGTAAAGACTTCCTTTAGGTATATTACCTTTTATATAATACCTACTAATACACCTTTCTTACTTTACTTAGCTAATATAGATTAGCTATTAATTTAATTTAATAACCTTATAAATACTCTTTAATAAGGTAAACTTATAGTGCTAGTTATATAAAAATAAGGCTACCTATAGATACTACTTAGCCTACCTAAGTAAAGCCTTATAAGTTATTACCTAACTAACGTTAAGCTATACTGCCTTTATTAATAGTTTAGCTATTTATTAATTTACTAGCTATATAAGATTTTTTATAAGGCTAGCTATAAGGTTAAAATAAAGGTAATTAAACACTTAATAAAGTACTACTATTACTACTAAATCTATAGTAAGACACTTTCTTATTTTTAATTTACTTTATATAATAACTACTTTTTTAATTATAAAATTATTATTAATATAATATACTTTAATAGTAACCTTATACTTTATATAGTTAATACTACTACTACCTTTAATATAGCCTACTTCCTTTATAATATTTTAGTAAAAACTATATAAGAGGTATTACGTTACTACTAGATTAATATCTACTAAGGACCTCTAGATTAAATTATTACTAATATAAAGTAGAACTTTATTTTAACTAAATTTTTATATAAAGCCTATATAATAGGCGTTAAAGTTAAGATTATCTTTATTAAAGTGTATTATAGCGTTAGGAAGGTTAAGAGATACTATACTATACTCTAATAGGTATATAAGATAACCTAAAAGGAATACTTATTTATTAACTATAAAGTAGCACTTTAAAGCGCTACTAAAGTAGTTAATAATACTACTAGCCTAAATAACCTTATACTTACTTTATTAGTATTTAACGCTTACCCCTATATAACTACTAACTTTACCCCTTTACTTAAGATAATCTAATATATAATAGCTATTTATAAGGTAACTAAAGATCTTTATAAATATAATATAATATAGTAAATTAATAAGGCTCTTACTACCTATAATAGCCTAGATACCTCTATAATAAAGGATCTACCTTTAGGTAGTAACGTCTATATCTAATATAAAAAAAGAGGTTAGTCTAGGCTATATAAGTTACTTACTACTTAAGGTAAAGACTTTACTATTAATATTAATAGCCTTTACGTTTTCTAATTTATATTAGTTAAGTTATACTATATAGTAAATAATAAAGAAAAAGGCTTAGCTAAGTAATATTCCCTATTTATTTTAAATAATAATAGTAGTTATAGTAATAAGCCTACTAAAAATACTATTATTATTATAACTAGTTTAAGGTAGTAGCTACATACTAATAATCTTACTATTATATAACCTTAATAAGCTAGAAAAATCCCTATAAGATATACTTTACTATAAGAGACTAATATACTTTATACTACCTTTCTTTTAGTAAAAAAAGAAGCCTATTAAACCCTTATAATCCAACTATATAAAAAAGGCGTTATTATAGCGCCTAGTAAGCTATTTAAGTAATTAGTAACTACTAAGATTAACAGCCTTATTATATAAGGCGTCTTTAAATTTACTATAATTAACTAACTTTAACCTTATAAGTAAATTTTTAAATTATAAATTATAAATAAAGTAAAAGGCACTAATAAGAAGCCTTATAAGAAATTATAACTAGTTATTTAAGGCTATACTAATAATAGTAAAAAGGCTATTCTTACCTAGTTACTTACTATCTAGTAAGCTAGCTAGTAGCTTATCTTTATACTAGCCTTTTTCCTTCTTATTAATAGTAAAATTATTTAGCTATATAATATTATATAGGCCTATATTTAATTTACTTCCTACCTTAACTATATTATTTATACTAAACTTCTAGCCTAAATCTATTATAAGTACCCTAATAATACTATTATAAAGGTTATTAAGCCTCTATATAGGATTACTAAGGTAAGTATATACTAGTAAGCTACTTATAACTATTACTATAAGGAGAATCTCTAGATAGTCTTTACTATATATAACCCCTACCTTCTTTTATTATTTAGTAAAAATTTACACTTTATACTTATTAGTATATAAATAGATAATACTATTAGCCTAATAGACTTTTTATTTTCTAACTAAGAAAATAAAGAACTAACTAAAGTAAAATTTACTATAAAAGATAAGTTATTTCTTACTATTAACTAACTACTTACTTTTAATAGTAGGATTATTATAGTTATATTTACTATAAACACTTTTATTATACTTTACTAAAAAAAGTAAGAAGTAAAGCTATAATTAATTAATATAAAGTTACTTATAGCCTACTAAGATTTTATTTAGTAATAGGCATAAGGAGTATATATTACCTCTATTTACTAGCCTAAAGCATACTATAATCTTTTTATTACAGCCTAATATAAGGAGCTAAATAATAAGGTAATTAAAGACCTTAACTATTAACTATAATAGTAGATAAGCTTACTTAACTATAGTCTATAATTTATTCCCTTAGATCTTATATTAGCTAAGCTATTTATATTTATAAATAGATTATTTACTAATAATTATAATATAACTTTATAGTTAGAATTTATTATCCTTCTTATAAATAAAAAAATTAATAATAACTAAGCTAAGTTTTCTTTTTATAGTAACGTCTTTTATTTCTTATTTATAAAGTCTAAATAAGTTACTTAAAGCGTTTTTATATCTAAAGTATATAAGATAGTTATAAGTATTAATATAGCTTATACCCTCTTTATAACTATTATAATAATTATAAAGAAGCTTAATATCTTATTAATCCTAACTATTATATATATAGACTTATATTTACTTTATAAATATTTAGTTAAGCTAAGAACTATAAAAAAGAAGCGTCTTATAATTAATATTATATTACTAAGATAGTCTTATAAGTAATATAAGCTTTATAAAGTCTAATAAATTACTAGATCTAATAATCTAGCTAATAAATTTATAAAGGTATCTCTAAAGTAAGTACTTAAGGGCTTAGTTATAAATAATAAAGCTAAAATATATATAAAGGGTTAGGTTATATAGGCGTAATAAATTATAATAAGTATATAGTAAAAAATAAATTATAAGTTATATAACTAACTAGACTATAATAGTAGTAGTTAAATCTAACTAATATAAAAATACGCTTTTAATAGCTATAGCTAAAAAAAAACACTCCTAAATAAGTTAGTATAAGCCTATACTATCTATAAGAAAAATAGAGGATATAGGAATATATAGTATATAACTATAAAAAGTATAATACTTTTAAAGTTTTAATTTTTATTACGTTTTTAGGCCTTTTAAAGGTAATTTAGATAGCTAGGGTACTAGTAACTTTTACTATAAAAAAAAGTTACTAGTGTTAGTATACAGTAGGTATACTTTAGGGGAGGTAGTTACGTAATATTTATATAACATACTACCTCTTATAGTAGTATCTACCTTACTACTAGTATACTACCTAAAAGTCTAGATTTACTTTATAACTAACTAATATAATAAGTAACTACATTCTATATTACAATTTATTACGTGATCTATAGGATATCCCTCTTACGTGATTTGACCAACAGTATTTAATGAGAAAAGTTTAGATGAGTGAAGAATGTTTGACGTGGTGGAGGCAACATGTCACGAGATATGTAAGCGTTAGTTACTGCCCCGTAACTAACAGCGTCGTTTTTGGTTACGTGACACGACATGCGTCAGCTTGCTGGTCGAAGTGAACACGTGCAATTACTTAGACTAGCAGAGGGGGGGGGGAACACTGGATGCCCAAGTCGAGCCCTTCGGATATATGTCAAAGTTGACTGAAAGCAAATATGGCTTGTTGTTCGGGGTCTGGGCCGGCAAACCTTTTAGGAACCAAAGTTTTTGTCCACCGGGACTGGCCGATACAGCCAGAAACACGGTCTACGGAACCGGCATAATCTCGCAGTGATGAGTTTCATGCGGCAGCTGGTGAGTTAGGAAATGACAGCAAACTCGAGCGCGCCCGTTCAGAATGTGATTGGTAATGTGCGGTAATGGACTACGCGACCAACGAATTTACGAGTTTCCGACTTCCGGCATAATACAGTGGACGCCGGGCTTAGCCCCCCCGCCTTACAGTCGGAAGTCGCCCGACAAAGTGACGGAGAAAGGAAGAAAACGTGCCACTTGATTGTGGGCTTGGATGGCGTGAGACGGGAACAGAGGGCCAGATTGGCTGCGGGGGAAAGCCTGTTCCTGCAAGCCCTTTATCGGAACCCCGTTCCCAGGCGTGATGCGGGGGTATCGAGCGCGGTATCACCATCTCAGGGCGATATGGCGTCACGCCGGGTTCGGCTCCGATCCTCACACGTCAGCGCAGCGTTATCTATCTTCAAGTCGGGAGGAGGGAACCGCAAGTGGCCAACGCCGGAGGGCAGGCCTTTTCATAAATGCGTGGGGGGGTGCGCCGTCCATGCAGACGTGTTCTGCAGACGCCAGGCCCTGTATTAATGCTCTGCAAAGACGACAAGCCTCGAGATTGACATTCAGCAAGCCGGAATAATGGGGAAGAGCCCGCAGCAACAGCTCCAAGTCGCCATCATCGGCGCCGGCATTGCAGGCCTCACGGCGGCGATCGCGCTGAAGGACCACCCGGGCATCAATGTCCGGATTTACGACAAGGCAAAGGAGCTACGAGAAGTCGGCGCGTCGATTGCGCTCGGACCGAACGGTCTCCGGACGTTGGAGAAACTGGGAATTCACAATGCGCTCGACGATTCCATCGCGTTCCGCAACAAGTCGGGGTATCCCATGATCTATCGGTAAGGGTGTTTCCCGGGGCCGCGGCGGGGCATGGCAGTTCCGGTCGCTGATGTCGTGAAACAGGCATGCCGTCACAGGCGAGATGGTCTCGGTTGACGAGCATCGTGGCGACGTGGACGCGCGCCACAAGACGGCGCGCTTCTATCGGCCGCATCTGCAGCAGGCCCTCCTCGAGCACGTCGACGCCAGCCAGATCCACCTCGGCAAGGCCTTTGAGACCATCAGCAACGACGAAACGACGGGAAGGCTGAAGATCGGCTTCACGGACGGCACCGGCATCACGGCGGACTTGCTCCTCGGCGCGGACGGCATCCACTCGGGGGTACGGAGCTTCTACGTGCCGTCGTCCCGGTCCAAGTGGACGGGCTGGACGGCGTTCCGGGCGGTGTACCCCGTCTCGCACGTGGCGCACATCCCCGACCTGCCGGAGGAAGCGGAGCACTGGTGGGGGACGGATCGGACGTGGTTCATGTCGAAGCTGGGCAAGGGCCTCTTCTGCATCGTCGCCTCGCACCAGAGCGACCCGGACGCGGCGGACGCGCCGTACAAGGAGACGGTGTGGAACACGGACGGCGACGTCGGGCTGATCAAGGAGCACTACAAGGGCTGGCACCGGCTGGTGCGCGACATCATCGACGCGACGCCGGCGGACTCTGTGAAGGTGTACCCGAACGCGTCAGCGCACGGGCTGGAGAGCTGGGTGATGGGCGGAGGGCGGGTAACATTCGCGGGCGACGCGGCGCATGCGCACGGCGGAGCGTTCGCGGCGGGCGGCAGCCTGGCCATCGACGACGCGTGGGCGTTTGCCTCGGCGGTCCGGCACGTCTACCCGGCGTCGGCGACGGAGGTGCCGGCGGCGGGGGAGATTGCGAGGGCGCTTAGGCTGTACCAGAAGACGAGGAAGGCGCACACGGACCGGGTGCTGGAGACGGTGCACTCGACCAACAGGAGCAAGGTGGCGAGGCTGGGCGTGGACGAGACGGACGAGGGCCTGCGGGCGAGGATGAAGAACCGCGTCGAGCCGGTCTGGATCCACGAGCACGACGTCGAGGCGGTCTTCAGGCAGGTCCTGGCAGACGAGGCCGACGCGAACGAGGGGTCCAGAAAGGTGGCGGCGGCAGCACAGGTGGCGGAGGTGCAGATAGAGAGCCGTCTTTGAAGGGCCGTCACGGACTGCGATGCCTCGCACCGGGAAGGAAATATAATGCTGATGTGCTTACAAGATACCTATACCCTCGGCTCTCTCTCTCTCTGTCAGGACATGCCGAGTTGTAAGGCGTCGGTCAACACACACCCGTATATGTCTGTGTCCGTAAGGGGATTTGCTACTTGGGCTATATGCCACCAGATGAGAACAAAACGCCGCCTTCTGCCTTTCAGCTTAGCTTCGGGAATAGTGATAGTAGCTCGCTCCTCTTATTAGAGACACTGCATGCCCAACTTACTTCTCCTTGTTCATCCATTTATCTTATGTCATCGATACTTGTATTATGTCATCCATACCTGTATTATGTAATTCACTGAGCATTCCTGACCGTTGCTGCACGCACTTCGGAGTACTCCGCACTATTGAGGGAGGCGCGCCTTGTCCCGTACCTGTCGCGGGTGGTTCCACATCTAGGCCCATGATTGGCCAATGGACCCACCGTCCCCTCTCGCTTAACGATGCGGGCTATCTGCGGCTGCCCTGGCATCTTTGCTCTCTGGCCAATGAATGAGCTTGCCAAGGACCCGCTTGCTCCCTGGCAGGCTGTTCCTTCCCTTCAGCTATGTGACGGCTACCCCCCTTTACCTTAGGTGGGTGAAGGGTAGGTACGGCAAGTCACTCTGTATCTACCCCTCCGCGATTTTGCGCTGCGTTGCGATAGATGACAATCTCCTCCTCCCAACGGCCGCAGCCACAGCCTCGCCTCGCCTCTCCTTTCCCCTACAAGGGCTAATGCGCAAACAACTCGAATGAGAAGACAATGCTCCGTCTCTCTATTTATTCTCCCTCGTCCTGAAACGGCTGCATGTTCATCTTTGCCCCTCCTGTTGCGCCAACCCACGAAGCAGCTTATTCGACCTCTCTGTTTCCGACGTCCAACATCAATATGGCATGACCTTTGCCTCAACTTTTGACTTGGTGCCTCGATAATTGGCATTCAACACGGCCAGGCTTGGCAAAAGAGCTCGCTGTATCGCATACTGGCTCCGCCTCGAGTTGCGAGTGCTCCCTCGACCTAATGCATGTGCCTTTTGACTCTCATCGAATCCGGAGCCCTTAGCTACTCGGCCCAGCCATGGCAACGCAAACAAGGACTGCCCAGTCAGCCCCCAAAACGCCAAAGAAATCCACCCAGAGCGACCCGGTGCACCACATCATTGACAAGCTCAACCGCGACTATAATCTCTCTGTCGAATTGCCGGATGTTACACTTACTCCCTCATCAACCCGGGCACGCGCCCAGCAGGATGCTGCATTCGCCCGCAGCGAGGAAATAGTCCGCCAAATCCGTTATCATTGCTTTCAGACCTCTCTCATAGACAGGATCTTGCAAAACTTTCACATGGAAGCTCGTGCCGCTAGCCAACAATGGATCCGCCCATCTGACGACTACGAGTCTCTCTCGGATCCCGGAGCATCCCCCAAAGCCGAGTCTCCAGGACAAGTTCTCGGGCTCCAAGAGATACTAATCAGTATCCTGAGAAAGGCTCGGCCCAAACAGCTGGAATCCACCACTTCCACTCGCTCCCACACGAGTCCGGCGGCCTTTCCAGCCGTTGAAGTTCCCAAGTCTAAGAGAAGATCCGAAGCGGACAACAAGGCAATTTCGCCAAAGAAGGCCAAGTCCAGTCTGTCAGGAGGCGAGAAAGAGGCCGAAGGAGTGATCAACACCCTCGACAATGTTCCCAGCCGCTCTCGATCGCCCAATCCCGACTTCTCCTCGGCAGCAAGGTTCAGCAAGCGCGTTCAATGGTCTTCCAGGCCCAGCAATGCGTCTTTTTCACGTGATAGCGTCTACGCAAACACTTCCTTCTCGACATCTGCAAATACCAGCCGGACCTCTATTTTCTCCGCGGCGAACGATAGCTTTCCGGGTACTCAAGAGACAACACCCACCCCGGTCGGACCGTCCTCGTCGGACTCGCAAGATCTATTCCCGGCAAGTTCCGGCCATCTTGATGCGCTTAACGTCTCATTCTCCGAGCACGATCCGGGAGCCTCATCGAATGTTGCTACGAAACCTACCGAAGCTGAACCTGCTCCGTTGGTCAAGTCGCGTAACGCGGCAGTCCGCTCGAACATCTCAGGTTTTGGCCATCCCACTCTCCGTGAGGCTCTGTCTGCCCCTCCCAAGAGATCTGAACCAGTGGATCTCTTGTCTAGACTTGAAGCTTCCTGGCGTAAGTCTTTGTCACGTCAATGCTCTGGGTTCAACCTCTATTGCCAAGGGCGGTGCTCAATGATTCCAAAGCTGACTGGATAACAGCCAGGTTCCCCTGCTGGCTGAATCGTGCCCCTTTCGCGGTTGCCTGGGAAGTCACCCGTATCGCAGTTCATTGCAACGTCGACTTGGGGGACGTCCACATGACATATGACGAATCATGGACCGACCAAAAACAGCTCCGGAAGTCTCTCTTCGCCCACCCCCTTTTCGCTGGCAAGACATTCCCAGAACAAGCTTGCGCGGATGCCTGGAAGGCAGCAATGTCCGGCTTCAAAACCGTCCGCGGACAGCATGTGCTATTCTCGGCGACCCTTGTTCAAGCTCCGAAAGAAAAGAAAGGCCAGGTATTCACATTATCCATGATGCCAATCTCGCTCGATCAAGGTTGCCGCCTTCATCGTCGTTTTGGCTCAGACCGCTTTCTAGAACTCCTGGTTCCAGCTTCCAATTCCTGGATCGCACCCCTCAACAACCCTCAGGCCTCACAGGAGGTTACCCGCTGGCTGTCTGCAAAGCCCCATTACTTTGCGGGTAGACATTGGCGGGCGTTCTTCTCGAGAGATGGTGGCTATAAAAAGCCACAGAAGAATCTTTACCTTGGACCGGAGCCTCGACCCGTTTTCCGAGAGCGGATCAGTCTCTTTGCTGAGAATGGAAACAACTTTCACACCGTCCATATCCCCCCTGGCGGGACATCGCTCAAGGACGACACGCCCGAATTGAGAATGAAGCTATCTATCTATCGCATGCTTGATTGGCTCCTACAGTTCGACAGGAATCAAGAACAGCCGTACCTGAAGCTCTTCTCCCGTATACAGCTTGGTAAGAAACCGGTAAACCAAGAAACTGGTAAACACCGAAACTTGTTTCACAATGCTGATGCCACCTCTAGGCCTGAGCAAAACAACACCAATAATCGTTCTTGGTCGCGATCAGATACGAATCCAAGACCAGGACATGTGCTCCCCAATTGGAAAGGTCATGAATGACGGTATTGGGCGTATGTCGCGTTCCTTGGCACGCAAGACGCGAGACGTTCTTGGTCTCAGTGATATTCCCTCTGCCATACAAGGTCGTATCGGTCCTGCAAAGGGCATGTGGCTCATCGATATCGCCGACGACAAAGGCGACCTCTGGTTGGAACTTTGGCCATCTCAGCGGAAGTGGAACTGTGACTTTGGTGACCCAGAGCACCGCACCCTTGAAGTACGTGCCCATGCCAAGGATCCCGGGTCTGCCTGTCTCAACATCCAGTTTCTCCCGGTCCTTGAAGATCGTGCCATCAACAAAGAAGCGATGCGTGAGGTCATTGGCAAAAGCCTTGTCGACGAGCTCAACCGCCAGCTCGAGGAACAGAAGGATGCCATGAAATACCCTCTGCAGTTTCGGCAATGGATCAGCCAAACATCCTCTACGCGGACGCAGCGACTTGCACACGGCCATGTGCCTTATATGGGTGGTCTTCCCGAATCGAACGAGGAGATCATGAACAGTCTCATAGATGCCGGGTTTGACCCTCGGAGGCAGAGGTATCTTCAAGAACTGGCCTGGAATCTCAGGTACAGCCTGTGCGAGAGCCTGAAGAAGAAAATGAGCATCAAGGTATCCAACTCGGCATATCTTTTCATGGTCGTTGACTTCTGGAATGTGCTCGAGGAGGGCGAAGTCCATCTATGCTTTTCTTCCAAATTCCAGACCGACACCTTTTCGGACTCGATCCTCCACGGCTGCGACGTTCTCGTAGCTCGCTCACCTGCACACTTTGTGAGCGATATCCAAAGAGTGAAGGCCGTCTTCAAGCCAGAACTGCATACAATCAAAGATGTCATCGTCTTTTCCGCCAAGGGAAATGTGCCTCTTGCCGACAAACTTTCGGGCGGCGACTACGACGGAGACAAGGCTTGGGTTTGCTGGGAGCCGGCCATCGTGTCAAACTTTAAAAACGCAGACGTGCCGCCGATCCCAGACCTATCAAGCTATCTCAAGAAGGACACAACGGCATTTGCCGACCTTGGACGTGGAGCCAACTCGGATGCAGTCTTGGATATGATCAGCCGCGGCATTGCCTTCAGCATGCGTCCCACCTACTTGGGAAGGGCGACCAAGTTCAAGGAAAGGCTGTGCTATCGCATCAACAGCGTCAACAACGATTACGCGCTTTGGCTGAGTGCTCTCCTCGGAAATCTCGTGGACCAAGCCAAGCAAGGTTTCGAGTTTAGCGAGGATGATTGGTATAGGTTTCGCGACGACCGGCTCGGTGGCCGCAAGTTCAGCCGCCTCGAGGATCCGGCATATTTTTTGGATAGTTGGTCGAGTGGCGGGAAACCCACACACATTATCGACTACCTCAAGTTCTCCGTGGCCAAGCCGACAATCGATGCTGAGCTGGAGAAGTTCCACAAGGCAATGACCTCGAGCTCGGGTCGACGTGAACTGAGATCTTTTACCATGAGGAAGGATAAAGGGGAAGAAGAGACGGCGGAGTTATGGGATCCGGATCTGGCCAAACCACATGAAGTCTTTGAGAAGCTCGCAGTAAAACACCCCGGCCTAAAAAGGGTACTGAAGAACTTGACGGATGATCTGAAGGACGTCAAGGAAAAATGGACCACAGCCGTTGCCTCAACCACGGATAAAGACGACCTTCCGCGTCGTATCGCAGAAGTTTATGAGTCGTGGCGTGCCATTCAGCCGAGACCAGATGGAGTGCTCGATCTGACGATCGAGGCTCTTTTGCTGCAAGACTATCTGTGCGAGGAATTGTCGCAATGGGCTCTGCTACGTGCGAGCATGGCCTTCAAGAAATACTACCAACACAAGCCGAAATTTGTATGGCGTATGGCGGGTATACAGCTCATGTACATCAAGTCGATGAAAACAGCGGGCCACGGCAGTATTCCCGTCGCCGTGACGCCAAGTCTTTATGCTGCCTTGAAGCCAGATAACAAGTACATCACCCAGATAGTCTCGAAGATGAGGGGCGAAGGGTCTGACTATCAGGGGCTTCACGATGATGACGAGAAAAACTGGCAAGATTCGGAGGGCGAAGAGTAACGTCGCCAACATCCTTCACGACGGCGGTCATAAGAAGCACACGGGCTGCCGTGGCCGGTGCTGGTCCGTGTAGACTATCATCATGGCTCTGAGTTCCAGAAACGAAGAGGGGTTTAGAGATACCTAGACGAGGAGGTGGTGATGTTGAATGGGAAAAAGATCGGGTCTGATTTGGAAGCGGATTAGCGGATACCCTCTGTCTCTTGGTTCATTCAGTAATGTTTTAGCAAAGCTACGTCTTTATCCTCCGGAATATGGTCAAAGGGTGAGGTGTCTCTCGCCTTCCTGGTTCTCAACTGACAGGTATACTTTTCCGACTTTTGGTTTGCCTCGACAAGGTGGTTACGGCCCACATATAGATGGTCACGGGACCGAAGTCGTCTACCTTTATGGAAGATTTCCAGCGTCTTGGATCGAGGCAGCCAGGGCCAAACACACCAATAATACCGTCATCTTTCCAAGCTTTGACTCTGCCGTACCGTCGACGGATGTGTGTGACATTGAGGTCCATGTATAAAGACCCGTGGCGGAGCCTTCACCGCATGAACTCCTTTCTCCCCAGACACTCCCTAAGCAAGCCGTAAAAGAAGAGGGGGAAAGAGTGCTGAAAAGAAAGCAAAATGAAGAGCCAGTTGAGAAGCTCCCAGCCAGCCACCCCTCGGCGCCAACATCAACCCCTCGAGTCAACCGCAGGTCCATCCCAGCGCCCCGATCTCCCGTTCCAGAGGACCATTACGATCCGGCGACTGTGTCAAAACCCCTTGCGATGCGACAAGGGGCCGGGGCTGCACTCACACCTGGCCCAGATCCCTCGGTCGGTCGCAGCCGGTCTCGGCGTGACGAAGCAGAAGAGGACGCGGCTCGAGCAGGGCGAGTCGAGGACCCCAAACGACAAAAGGACGAGGGCGGAGCCTGAGCGGCAGCAGCAGGCTCCAGACCTGCCTTTGGAAGAGGGATCCTCTGGCGCTTGTGCCTCCAGAACCGAAGACAGGGACCGCAGGCCCGGAGACAGATTGAGCGTTAGAACCGTGGAAAGAGAAGAGCAGCGTTCTGCGTTAGGAACGAGCTCGGCGAGGCCCGCCGACCGACGGCGCTCAGGATCTGAGCGGCAGCAGGTTCCAGACCAGGCTCTCTATGACTGCCAAATCGAAGAGGCGTTCCGCGGGCTACTTGAAAAGCTCGTTCACTGGGAGATCTCGACACCTGAGGACGTACAGGCCATGAAGGACGAGCTCGACAAGATGGCCATCACGCCCGCTCCCGCTCCTCCGGCCGCCGAGGCCGAAGAAGAGAGATCCTTGGGGCCGGACGCCGTGGGCAACGAGATGCTTCCAGGCACGGAGGGGCTCGAGGAGTCAGATGATCAGGAACAGGAAGCCAATAAGGAGGCCGAGAGCCTGGCTTTCGACGTCGTTTACACGTTGGACGCGGGAGACCCTGGCGACGAGTACGTGGTCTATGAGGTTGAGGGGTGTCTGGGCAAGGCAGGGGAGGATGGCGCGGGCATGTGCCACGTTTCTTACAAGGAGGTCCCGGCGGATATGGATGGCGAGTATGTTCTTCTCTAGAGGCTCTCCCCCGATGGAAGATATAGGCAGGCATACGCGTTAGAGCGGTCGCCCCTGACGAGATCGAAACACCCATGCCCGTGCAGGACGGCTGCTACAAAGGTGTTGCACGGTCTACTATTGCTAGTCAACCATCAGTAGGGTGTAGGCCACCCGCTCCACCACGAGATGGCGGAGCTGGTTTGCTTCATAACCATCTGGCCGAGCTGCTTTTCTGAGAGGTTTTTTGTTCGCGATCGATGGCGGCATCACCACGACCGGATTCCTCAGGGTATCACGATAACCAGGAAGATGCCGCGAGGAGTTCATTCGGGATTTCCCATCTGTTATTTAAATGCTGATTCGAAAGTCATAAAAAGACAAAACCCTATTGTAACCGGATAACTCATGAACTTTAGTACAGGATCCCCAAGGTGTATAGAGACAACCCTGGAGCACCCGGCTTGGCCGTCTCACCGTGGTCGTGATTGGTTTGCTGAATATGACGAGAGCGCGGCAAGAAACCCCGCCCAGTATATCTTATCGGCCAAACAAGCCAGTCAGGCCGATGAAGCTTCAAATACGAATCCTTAGACCAGCATCACAATGTCTAGAGAAGGCCCCCCTTGATCCAGAAGAAACCACAACGCCGCCTTTCCTACTGACGCAAATCCCAAAAATTGAAGGACCCCCGGATCAGTTCGCCTTGCTCGGGTCCTGGAAAAAGATGACCTGGACCGTCACGTCGTCCCTGACGTTCCTGGACAAGGGGGCATACGCGAGCGCGGCGCCGATGAAGAGGGTCCTGCGCTTGCCGCCGAGGGCGTTCTTGATCAAATGCACGGCGGCGTTGTCGAGGTCCTCCACCACGAAGTGCTCGGGCGTGGCGGACCAGTTGGGCCAGCCGTCGGACGTTTCGAAGGCGCTGGGGGTGGCGGGCGTGCGCGCCAGCTTGTCGGCGGGCGTCTTCTCTCCGGCCTTCTTGGCCGAGAGCCACTGCGAGACGCACTCGACGGCGTGCTCGGACGAGATGTGGTCCCACAGGCCGTCCGACGCAAGGATGACAAAGTCCGGGCCTTGGATCTTGGTCGTGGTCACGACGGGCGCGGCCGTCATGTACGGCGGGGTCGCGTACTTGGGACGCGGGGCGGTGCCGAAGAAGTTCAGGTGGGTGTGCTTGATGAGGTCCTCGGACCACTTCCATCGGTGGTCGCCAAAGGCGCGGGTCACGGCGATGCCGAGCAGGCGGCCGCTCTTCTTGTCGAGGATGCCGTCCTCGCCCGGGTGCTCCTTGGTGATGCGGTCGAACTCGTCCTGGTTGCGGCCGGTCTGGTCCTTGGAGAGCTCGAGAGCGGAGTGGGACGAAGAGCCGGGCGCGGCGGAGCCCAGGACGGCGCGCGAGTCGCCGGTGCAGGCGACGCGGATGGTCGAGGTGGCCGGGTCGAAGATGGAGAGCAGGGCGCAGGAGCCGGCGATGGCGGGGGCGATGGCGGCCATCACCCTCGAGTCGGCGGGCTCGACGACGCCTGCTTTGAGGCCGTCGACGGCCTTGGCGGCGTTGGCCATGATGAGGTCGTCGAGGTCGGTGAAGGCCTTTGCGACGGCGGCCTCGACCGCGACGTCGTCGGCTCCGGGCTGCAGCTGGGCGATGGAGGACGACACGGCGGGGATGAGGGCGCTCTTGAGCAGCAGCGAGGTTGCCCACCCACTGGTTGGAGATTTTAGTTGTCTTGTCCCGTCTGCGAAGCGGATTCGAGGTGGAAGGGAGAGACTCACGCGTGGCCGTCGTAGACGCCGTTGAAGAGGGCCTGGGAGCTCCCCACCCCCGGGGCGAGAGAACACGCCATGTAGTCCTCGACCGGATGGTTGCTGGCCACCCTCGCTGCGTGGACGTGGGCATCTTTGCCGGGTCCGGCACTGAACGAACCCACAAATACGTCCTCGCGAAGCTTCGCATCGGCCTTGGCGAAGCTGCCCTCGTCAACCGGCGACTTGGCCAGCGCCTCGAGGTCGACGGGCCCGGGGCCGAGACTGGGAATGACGGCGCTGGATTTGCCCTTCTTCCCGTCGCGGAGCAGGGATGAGATGGCCCATCCGCCGGCGCCGGAGAGGAGGAACACGCCAATGAGCTGGGGTGCGCGGAGAGAGGAGCCGTCTACGCCGCCGCCGCCGCCGCCGCTCGTGTAGGGACGCGACCAGCGTGGGGTCGAGGGGCGGCCGGCGGTTCGCGCGGGGATGCGGAGGGCGGCCCCGGCGTTGGGGCGACATGCACGCTGCAGCAGCATCATGTTAATGGCTGTCCGTTTCTTACGCAGTAGTGTTTTCGACGACCAGGCGGCACGTGTCCTTTACCTCGGGGGATATGTCAGTCGATGCTGGGTTTGGGTTGAATGGCAGACAGACAGAACAAGATGAAAACACGGATGAATGAGGGGGGAAAGAGGCTTGCAAGAGGGTTCAAGAAGAGAGCGTAAGAAGATGAAGCTGACGCGAGAAGGATTCGTTGCCGTGGCAGACGCTCGCGTATCCATCATCCCCCTTGCTATCTCACTCTGACTCTCACTCTCACTCTCACTCTCACTCTAGAAACCTAGCGGAGCACGGACTGCGGATCTCACGGCGCCTGTCGGCATTTTCAAATAGCCTTGACATAATCTGACCGGTGAGATAAGTAAGCCTAGAGCTAGATAGAATCAGCCTCGATGACGACAGGGTTGGTGGGAGAGAGCAAGAGGGTCTATTCATCTTACAGTGAGGGCTTCGTCGATTGGCCAAGCGCTGGTGCATGTGCATGTGTCACGCGATCAGATGCCAAAACAGGTCGTTCACGCGTTGGTCCAACATTGTCATGAAACATTGTGAGTGCGACATTTAAACTCATGATTCTCGCGTCGTTTTTCTATAGTGGCTGTTGTATTTTCATACAGCTCACTGTGGTTATGCGGTCAATGTCGTGTCTTCAAGTTTGCGGTGCATGTGCCCCTCGCACGGAATGAAACCCCCCTCACTCACTGTCGAGCTTCATCTCACCATGATCGCATGCCCTTCAAAGAATAGAAGAGCTCAAAAGTCGCGTCAACGCCGTGTTTTGGATTCGATCGATTCACAGTATTCCTCTCAAGCACTCGAGAGGCGATTTGAAAGTTCATCCCTCCGTGTTTGCACCTGGCTGGGTGAAGGTACCCAAGGGATTGCATCAACACGTGGACAAGACGACGGATACCCAGGTAGCAACAGAGCTCGGTACTTGGTGGGGAACACTTCTCCGTTTATGGAAGAAGAACTTTATTGACAAACGGGAGTCGGTAGAAGCAGGTTGGTACCAAGGTCCTTGATACCTATCCAGGCCATGCTCTACGAGTAGTACGACCGGCCTAGTCAACCTGTGTGTAGCTATCTTTCACGACTGACCACGGAACTCAACTCACGATGCCAGTAGCACAGCCTCGAGAGCCCGAACCTCGCCGAGAACAAAATGAATATAATTCATGCGCGTTTCGCTCAAATCCCATTTACGTTGCCAACTCTCCATTTCATAGACCAGCCTCGTCAACCGGGATCGCCGACTTGTTGAAGCTCTTCATCGGCTTCAAGCCCCAGCGCCCAAACATGGCGTTATCCTCATCCCAGCTGTTGCAGTCCGTCGTCAGCATCTTCTCCCCCGTGAAGATGGCGTTGGCGCCAGCCATGAAGCACATGGCCTGCTGCTCCTCCGACATGGTCTTGCGCCCGGCCGCGATGCGGATGATGGTGGCAGGCATGATGATGCGGGCAGCCGCGATGGTCCGGAGCATGCTAGAGAACTGGATCGGTGTCCGGTCGCCCAGAGGGGTGCCCTTGATCGGCACGAGGGCGTTGACGGGGAAGCTTTCCGGGTGCGACGGCAGCGTCGAGACGGTGTGCAACAGGCCGACGCGGTCCTCGGACGACTCGCCCAGCCCGAGGATGCCGCCCGAGCAGACGTTGATGCCGGCGTCGCGGACGTGGCCCAGCGTCTTGAGGCGCTCGTCGTAGCTGCGGGTCGAGATGACGGACGGGTAGAACTCTCGGCTGGTGTCGACATTGTGGTTGTAGGCCGTCAGGCCGGCCTCCTTGAGCTCCCGCGCCTGCTGCTCGTCGATCATGCCGAGCGTGACGCAGACCTCCATGCCCATCCCGCGCACGCCGCTGACCATCTCCTTTATGTTCTTGAGGCTGTTCTTGCGGCCGCGCATGTCCCTCCACGCGGCGCCCATGCAGAACCGCGTGCTGCCGTTCTCCTTGGCCTTGCGCGCCGCCGCGAGGACGGACTCGACGCTCTCGACCTTCTTGGCCTTCAGGCCCGTGCCGTCCTGGTACCGGGTCGACTGGGCGCAGTAGGAGCAGTCCTCGGTGCAGCCGCCCGTCTTGATGTTCATGAGGGTGCAGAGCTGGACCTCGGCGGGGTTGTGGAATCGGCGATGGACGGAACCCTGGTCGGCGGGCTCGGGTCAGCCGTGCTCGAGATTATCCGCTTGGCGGCAGAGAGAGAACTCACAGCTTGGAAGGCCAGCTCCATCAGGGGCTGGTAGTAAATGGCGGAGATCTCATCCTTCGTCCAGTCGTGTCGAACGGTGGTCGCGCTGGCAGCCTTCTGCAGTATCTTCTTGGCTTCGATGGCTCGCTGCGCCGCGGCCAGTTCGGAGCCCTGCGCCGGCGGCGGAGGTGCAGGCGCGACGCCGACGGCTTCCGCGACCGAAGACATGCATGCTCGCGGCACCACCGGGAGCTGCCTGCGAGGGGTCTTTGAGCAAAGCGGGGATCGTTCGACCTCTACTCGACGAAGGCCGCGGAGAGCGGCGGCTCTGGCGATGACTACGGCGTTGGCCTTCATACTTGCTCGCAGCCCCGGCTATCACTAGGACCTTGATGATGGAGTGAAATTGACTTCTTCAACAGAACATCGACGCTCAAATCGTCTCGAAAAATCCGCTGTTGTTCGTCTATCTTTCGACGGACGACACTCAATGGTATAACTCCAGCCGTCAGCTTCGAGCTATCGAAAGTGAGGGGTCAAGGGTTTTGAAGCTTAGGGCTTCCGCCTCATCCCCACGGGATTCGTTCGATCGGGTTCCCCTACATGCTTCATGTACCTAATTCGGTCCGGTTGAAGCAGTACTTCGACTGAGACAAGCGCGCCGCACTGTTCCAACGGTACCGTCGGCTAGAGAGGCATCTTAGTTTGGGCTAGGAGACCTCCTGCAGCTTCGGTTAAGCTGACGTGACCCCAGGATTTCAGGGATTGGTGGAAACCATCGGTGGAGCGGTTGAGAGGGCAGGGAGAGGAGGGAGAGGCGGGAGGAGGTCAGCTTGAAAAGCAACATTACAATAGGGCCGCCAACCCACATCTACCATGTAAACTATGATGGTTGGTAGGTGCAGATGCGACAATATGGAGCTTAAGCTCTTCTCGCTTGGAAATCCTTGGCTTTCATTCTCAGCTCACGGAACCCCCCAACAAAACCCCGCCGAGTGTTGGGCGAGCTGCGAGCCTGACTGAACGATTCAGTTGACGCTCAAGGGTCAAGCTTCAGCAAAAGCGGAGACTATCACAATCTCGAAAACTCTCACACCACCGGCTAATACAGTAGCTTTGGAGATGGTTCTTCTCACAACTCGGAGACCAGGAATAATAATAGGAGCGTTTACGGACGTCGAGGTTGGGTTCGAATTGACATGAGCTATAGGGAACCCCGCGAGGCCTGTTTACCAACAACACTGAAGAACCACTAACAACATGACGAGAAATCGATCGATCTTAGAGGTGACATTTACGTACAAAAAGAATCTTGTCGATAAGGTTTTACCAGCTTTTTTTTACTTTTTTTACTTTTTTTATATTTGAGAGAAATCTTTAAAGATGAAATATACCTCCAGTAATTGACTGTATGTTCCAGGAAGGTTAGTCCCCTATCGCGTGGAGATTATAGTTCAATCTAGGATGATACTGTAATAACTCTTATCCAGTCCTACTCGTACAAGTTCCCGCTCACATATTTCAAGCCCGTATCGCACGCGACCGTAAGAACCACTCTTCCGGGACCAAGGTCGTTGAGTCCCGTCGAAGTGCCAGTCAAGATGCCCTTCTCTTTCGCGACTCTGCGACACATCTCGTACGCCTCCTCTTCGGGGTATGCGCGGATCACATCGTATAGTGTGCTGTCGAGCAGAGGCGGTATGAGCCCGGGTCCAATTCCTTCGATGCCATAAACGCCCTTTGTCCCTTGGCTCAAGGGCGGTGCCGACGACGGCTCGACAACCACGACTCGAGTACCAGGACGCGCAGCTTTGAGCACCTTCGAAGTGCCCATAGCCATTTAAGCTCCTCCGGCGGCACCACAAAGCGCGTCGATCCCCTGAGGCAGTCGCCGAGTTTCCCATAGCCCACGATGCAGTCCTTGTTGTTGAACTGGTCCGCGGCGTAATAAGCCTTGTTTTCCTCCACGATTGTTTTGGCCCGTTTCACAATGGTAGCAGAGAGGTGCGGCGTGATCTTGCCGTTGTGGCTGTGGACGTTCTCGACCTCGGCGCCAATCGCAGCCATGGTCCGCAGCTTTTCTGTCGCAAACGCGTCAGAGCAGACTGCAATGAACCGGTAACCCTTGAGGCTGCATACCAAAGCGAGGGACGACTCAGTGCTGCCGCCGGTAACCTCGAACCCGGTTGGATGTCGCCCCGGTATTCGGCTTCTTCGACGATCCCTTTAGCCAGACGGTCTTTATAAGACCCCATGGGGTTGAGGGCTTCGAGTTTGACGTACACGCTAGCGCATCCTTCTGGAACTACGCGTCGGAAGCGCACGCACGGCGCGTTGCAGATTGCGTCGAGGACCGTATCGACAAGGGCCGGGACGCGTTACTAAGGCATGGTCTAAAATTAGGGGTGACAGTACTTTAATATGTGGAAACGGAGGTAGTAGGAACATAGCTATCGCTTTCGAGTCTCAAAGGCATCGTGGTCTTTATGGAATTTCCTGGAAGAAGTAGGTTCATCTAGTTAGCTTAGTAGATACGATCAATAGCTAGCCTACGGCACAGTCCGGAACGATGCATCTTGAAAGAGGGCTATGGTCCCTTGGGCCAATGAGTGCCAATGAGCGTCCTCCGCGAGACACTGGTCATATCATGTTGATAAAATCAAACCAACAAGAAACGGATCACAGAAGCCGCAAGAACCAGGTTAGATTGTGGAGTGATCTGGACAAGCATGCTCATACTGCATGTGTACTCGATGTCAAGGTAAGCAGACTCTTGCTTATGGGACCGGAGGGTGCTCTGAACGCACCCGAGCTACAATTGTAAACAGCTCGTCTCAACTACGAGACTTGAATGCTTTGCGCTGAGAGTCACTTGATTAAATGCGCTCGGATCTGTTGGTCACCATAAAAAGCCAGCCATTGGTCTATTGCGTCATCCCAGAGCGATGAGGACCGATAATCAGCTACATGATAAGACGGCCGAAGATGAGAGGCAGCAAAAGGGTCCGTGAGCCTTGGCTGCCGGATCTCGTTCAAGTCGGCATCATAGCGTACAGTCAGACATGCGGGATGAGCGAAGAGTCTAGAAGGCAGCTGTCCAACGGTTCTGGAAACCGCTTCAAATACCTACCCGAGTGTAGTCGTTTCCGCCGTAGTCTTATATAACTGTCTTGTGCGCGCGTTTCTTTGGACCATGTATTTTAGTTTCCTGATCGCTCCGTCTTAGGTTCAACTCCGTACCGTCATCGAATTGTTGTGCAGTCTTACTAGTCCTTTCCCCAACATTCAACAAGAGCAACTGGAGATACCATGGGCTCTCATGGCGAATACTCGGTCCCGCAAGAGGCAGAAGCCGTTTTACAACACGGGATCCTGAGCAATCCGTTGATGAAAGATTTGCCAAGTGACCTCAAAGCTCTCAGTCAACATGTCAAATTCGAGGGCTCGCCCAAGCCAAGTGTCCCAATCAACTGGAAATTCGCAGAGAGCATATCGGCCCTGAAGGGCCTCGAGGCGACAATGCTCAATCGTCTTCTGCAGAATAAATACAAGGCCGAGCCGCTCGATGTCACTATCAACACGTAAGGACGCCTGCGCAGGGGCGTGGACCCATTACCCCATCGTTGAAACCCTTTCACATCAATCAAGTAAGAAGATGCTGACGTAGAAAGCGACCACGCGAGCTTGTTCTTCTTTTCACCTTTGCTAGCCCAACTCATCGGTAAAGATGGAAAATTCACGCCCATGGCGCTCATGAACTTCGTGCCAGAGGCAATGAAGATGTTCCCTGAAACAGACAAGCATAGAACCGCTGCGAGCCTCCACCGAGCCCTTGTCACCAACATGTACAAGACGAAAGACGGCAGATGCTACGAGGTCCACGGCGAGTCTTGGACACTAAGGCTGCTTGATATTCCGGGAATTGCTAACAGTGTTACGACGTAACAGGAGGCATAAATCCCGATCCCACCCTGAAGGCATTGGGCCTCCCCGAGGAAGGCCCGGAAGACGACAACTACGAGACTGTGTTCGAACGGATCCAGAATGTCGTTTCCCAAATGGACTCGAAAGACCTCGACGAGCTCTTGAACGAAAAGGCCAAGCAAGCCGGTACAGTTGCCTGGTCGTCGGACGAGTACTTTGCCAGCGAGCACGGCCAGGCGAACAGCAAGGTGGGGCTCTTCGAGATCAAAAGAGACGAACAGTCGGCGCAGCCTGCCGCCTGGTGGCCCGAGAACGACAGCCTCCCGTCTTCCACGAAACGACCCCTCGCCGGTCTCAAGATCGTCGACCTCACCCGTATCATCGCCGCCCCCGTCGTCTCCCGCGACCTCGCGGAGATGGGTGCGAGCGTCATGCGCGTCACATCGGCCAATATCACCGACATGTCTTCTTTGCACCCAGACCTCAACTGGGGCAAATGGAACTGCCACCTGGACCTGACTAAGGACGGGGATAAGGAGAAACTAAAGGCCCTGATTCGGGATGCCGATGTTGTAGTGGACGGATACAGACCTGGTGTCATGGAAAAGCATGGCTTCAGTCGACAGGACGTCTTCGACCTGGTCAAGGACCGCCAGCGCGGCATCATTCACCTCCGAGAAAATTGCTACGGCTGGCATGGACCTTGGCAGAAGCGAGGCGGATGGCAGCAGATCAGTGATGCTGTGAGCTCAAAAGTACTGTATAACTGTGGTGATTTTACTAACACATGGTGTGTTTAGTGTTGCGGTGTTTCACTGGCTTACGGAAAGGCAATGGGACTCGACGAGGCGGTCACTCCTGTCTTTCCAAACTCCGACTACTGGTAGGCCCCTTGAGACTAGTTCATCCGGAAAGTTGAACAAAAGCTAATCGGGGGACAAAGCGCCGGGGTATGTGGCAGCACAGCTGTTCTCGACGCTTTGATGAGACGGGCCGAACACGGTGGCAGCTACGGCGTTGACGTAAGTTTGCCGTTTGTTGAACCTTGACATTCTAAGCCCGATTGTATCCATCTTCCCGGACGCTTTTCGCTAACGGCGCAGATCTCGCTCAACTACTATTCCCAATGGCTCGTACGCTCATGCGGGACGTACCCCGAACCGGTGTGGAAGGAAGTCTGGGAACGCCACGGGTCTCCCGTCTTTCGCCATTTCCACACCATGGCCCACACCGTCCCCATCATGTCGAAGCTCCTCCACGAGCACGACTCCAAGACCCTGTTCCAACCGCACTTCTTCGAGATTCGTACGTCAAAGGCAGTGGGAGGCACGTTTTGGGTCGTGAAGCCTGTTTTGCAGTTCGACAATAATGCCGTCGAGATGGGTTACAATGTGGGCACGAGGGGCAACGGTGTCGATGAACCAATCTGGCCCACTGACCTAGCCGTAGAGGTAGTGAAGAGCTAGGCGGAGAGTATGTTCTGCTTAGAAGAGGGTGTTGGTACGGAATTTTTTATCTGAAGGAGATTGGACAGAAAATTCTTCAATGCTATTGTTTTCCAGGAGGCGTAATCAAACTATCTGATTACCATGCATAGAAAGATATCTCTCGTACTCTCCACCTAACGGTTTGTTGACGCCAATTACAACAAGCCTCAGTAGTACCTTTCGCCCGTTTGCAACACCTTTTAGACTGTGGCCAAGGAATTTCTACCAGTGTGTGTTTTCAGTTTGGCCATACAGGTCGATGGCGTGTTCCATAATCTCACCTAGTATAGCGAACCATTTCAGTTGATGTGGGATCTCTCAGTCCCATCCGTGTCTCCTCACTGATGCAGTAGTCTAGACAATTAGGTATTACTTAGCCTTTGGGCACCAGCCGGTCTTGGTCAAGCAGGATGTCGCAAGATGTCGCAAGGGAGAGGGCGATGGTCGATGAACCTTTCACTGACAGCTTGCAACAACATACGAGTAAGATCTTGACTGCAGTGGGTTAGGACGACGTCTGGGGCATTTAAATCCATGTCGCTGGTAGCTGAGGGTCCCGTTTTTGCGTTAATCAAGGTTCACTCGGAGTCCAAATAGACTAGGTGACACTTACAGCCCTTTACCGAACATCAAGAGTAACCCTGACCCTTTGTAGTTAAAGTTGCAGAAATCCGAAATTGGACCCGACAACGGCCGATCTGAACCATAGACTTAGATCGGTGCATGACTGGAAGTTGCGTTCGTCAGGAAACTAACTGCCTGGATGTTCGAGCCATCTTCGACCTTCGGGCCTCTGGAAAAGCCCGATGGCCGATGACCAATCTTCAGAGGCCGCATCATTTCGTCCGAGGACGGCCGCTGACGTCCTCAGTCTGCTTTCTGGGCGCGCCTCACTCTCTAACCCAATCATAAGGGCCTGTATAACAAAGGAAGACACCGCGACTACAACCGTTTCGCAGGGACGAGGGCTGAAGCTGGCAAGCGGAGCGAGTTCTGGGCTGATCACCAGCTCAGTCCGGCCCAGCAGCCAAACACCCATTCAAGTCGGCACAAGACACGTTCCGGTCGGGCTCCGTCAAACACACTTTTCTACAGCTCACGATGTCAGAAACACCCCCATCGTCTGCGCACGCGCTTTACGTTGACAAAGACTGCAATCTGAAAGCCATCCGCAATGTCCCAGTGCCCGAGCTCGTGGACGGCGAAGTTGTGGTGAAAGTGCTCTACTCAGGAGTCAACTCCGCCGACGTCAAACACGGTCCGATCTTGGGAGTGCGTCCCACCATCCTCGGCTACGACTTTTGCGGCCGCGTGGCGCAATCTGCGCCGACCTCCGGCTTCAGGGTCGGTGATCTCGTTGCCGTCTTCACGCCCACAGGCGTCGGCAAGCCCTCGAGGTACGGCGCCCACCAAGAGTACCTCAGCTGCCCAGAAAACTTCATGTACAAGGTGCCGGAGAACCTCCCCCCAACGCACGCCGCCAGCCTAACCACGGTCGCCCCGACGGCTGCCGATGGGCTGTACAACATTGGCTTGCCCAATAGCCAATATGTGAGACAGGCGGAAGAGTCTTTTGAGGACGTTGCCTATCTCTCTTCTGTTTTATCCCCGTGTGGTTTTCCGAAGGCGCTTATTTGTCTGCAAGGACCTGGATGAGTATCCATTCTGGACCGTTGTGTTGGTGCTGTGTTGAAAGAGGTATCCGGCTATATCGTTGAATACTTCATTGAACGACTGGCAACAGACCAAAACATGCACCATCACGTACAGCAAGACCAGCACGTTGTGTACATAGTATAGGCGAGTCCGGGATCGGGCCCTTCCGCGGTGGGGATGGCTATGCCATGTTACCGGGCGCCCGTCGGCGGACGCAGGCCGACGATAAGCACTTATTCCCGGTCAAGCTCCGGTCTAGCGCCGGTCTGGCAGCCGGCGACGTTATCTCGGGCCTATCACATGTTGGCATCCCCGCTTGGCCTCCACACCGCATACTCCGGGTCGGCAACACAAAGGCCGCGCTCGGCTCCTCGATCGGCTGGTGTGTCTGTCCCCCCCCCCACACCAACAGAATCCCGCAGGATTTCTGTCATTTTGCGTCTATCTCTGGTATCTCTCTCTCTGTCTCTCTGTTGGCTGCTCATTTACTCACTTACGAAGACTCTCATCCACTCATTTCCATCTACCAGCTTCCAGACACACCTACTTCCTCAGCCACCCACACACTCTCCCCCCATCGGTGTGTTAACCACTCACCATCTGCAGATATCGGTCAACGGTGGCGCTCCACCTGATCCCTTTTTTTCTTGCGGAGACCCAAAGACGGAAGGTCCATCATCTTTTCTGACCAAATAGCGGGGATTCTGCCCGTCTTCCGCAGCGGCCAACGATCAAGTTACCTTTCCCCACGGAATCCCAGCAATCCGGCCAACGATAGCGGAAACAGAACCGACTTTTCATCCTTTAACCGTCTTGTTTCCCTCCCCGCCTCCTCCTCTCCCCCGGTTTCCCATAGTCGCGCCGTCCGTCCCTCTTTCGTCTGGTTCCCGATCCTTTCTCTCCAGCAGCGACCTTCCCAGTTTTGTCAAAAGTTTACTTGAGCTTCCAAAAGAAACCAAGCTGCTCTGCTGGCCCACGTAATCGCGCGAATCAGAGAACCACTCTCGGCCGCCCCCTTGTGACTGAAGACTTAACCGTGCCATAAACAATCCCCCCAATATGGCCGTAGATGCAGACGAACGGACGCCCCTCCTCAAGGTCGGTGCCGGCGCCGTGAAGCGGGTCGGCCGCGGCCTGTGGTCTCCCGCGAACCGCATCCTCTTCGCCGGGTTCCTCGTGTCCCTAACTCTGGGCATCACCCAAGTCCCGTACGTGATACACCACCCCTAGCGCACCGGGACCACTGCAAAGAGAGAGAGAAAAAGAGACATTGTCAATCGAGGGGAGAGGTGCGAAACTGACAACGGCCGCAGCATCATCTACGTCTTCCGCGTCATGGCCTGCGAGACCTTCTACAACGGCCGCGCGCCCTTCGACGGCCCCGCCGCCGACATGTGCCACCGCCGCGAGATTGACGCCAACACGGCCCGCCAGGTGTCGATCCTCGGCATGACCACCTCCGTCTGCGGCATCCTTAACCTCTTCATCTGTGGCGACCTCATCAAGCGCTGGGGCACCCGCTGGGCCCTCATCAGCCAGACGGGCTTGCTCTGCATCCGCGTCTCGTGCCAGATCATCGCCGTCTCCACCGGCGGCCAGAGGGGCATCGACTTGATGCAGTACACGCAGCTGATCGGCATCGTCGGAGGACCGCGGGGATACATGTAAGTGGGAGCGAACCGGCACCCGTTATCCATCCCTCCTCCCCAAAAGCCGGTAGGCGGGCGCTAATGCGGCGGTGATCACCAGGCTTGTGCTAAACACCGCCGTGGCGGAGGTCGTCGAGAGAAGAAAACATACGGGCGTCTTTGGCCGGCTGCAGGGCGCTGTGATGATTGGTACCGCCATTGGCTACCTCCGTAGGTACCGCGCTGTCTCTCCTTCGACGCCCAACTAATCGTCCCTCTAGTCGGTGGTGTTCTGGGCGATGTGTTCGGCATCGTCAGTCCCTTTGTCACCGCCGTCGGCTGCTTCGCTGTTGCGACGACTTACGGCGCCATCTTCTGGCCGGCGCCGCCCGAGCAGAACGACGAATCAGCGACCAAGACCACCCCTGGGGCCTCCGGGTTCCTGGCCCCGATCAAGGTTCTCATGCCTCAGAAGTACCGCCTCGAGTCAGGCAAGGTTGTCAGAAACTACGGGCTTGTCTTCCTGGCTCTCGGCATCTTTTTCGGTGTGGTGAGTGCAGACATGAGACTACCGACTTTTGCCACACACCCTCTAGATGGGCTTGCTGACCCCGATGTGCACTACAGTTCGCCACGGGATATGCTCCGATTCTCATCCAGATGTACGCGACTTCCCGCTTCAACTTTGGCACCACGGAGAACGGCATCCTCATGTCAGGCAACTCGTGGATCCGCGGCATCTTCCTCATGTTCATCTTTCCGGAAATCATCGACGCCGGCCGGAGGTGGTTCGCCGCCTCGTCTCACTCCGGGGCTCTCCAGAAGACGCTCACCCAGGAAGAGCGCAACCTCATCCCGACCCATCCCGAGGACATGGACCCGGTGCCCGGCTTGATGAACGCCGCAGAGCCGACCAAGGCGCCGCCCGAAGAGGAGGACGAGGACAGCACCTTTGACTTGTTCTTCCTGCGGTGGAGTCTGGTGGTTGATGGAATCGTCACTTCCCTCGCCGCGTGGGCGACCAAGGGGTGGCACGTCTATGCTGGTGAGTTCTCTAGCATCACGTCGGCTAATAACCCACTCCGCAATACTAAGATTTGGTCACAGCTGCCTTTCTGCTACCATTCGCGTCCGGATCAGCCCCGGCCGCCAAGGGTGTCATCACAGAGATGTGCCCGCCACACATGCGTCAAGACGCTTTGAGCGCCATCACCCTCGTCGAGAGTGCAGCCACTCTGACGACGCAGGGTATATTTGGCTTGGTGTTTGCCACGTTATCGGAAATGGGCAAGCCCAACCTGACATTCTTCGTCAACGCGGTGAGTTTCCTGACCCACATGTTCTCGGTCAGTCCTGGTGCTGATGATGGTCGTACAGGCCCTCGCCGTCGTCGCCGTTGGCGTTCTGCTCCTGGCGCATTACCCCCCTCCCAATGCCAAGAGGCTTGAGGACGAAGAGGCTGAAGACAACAGTGTCCAGGGCTAGGTACATCGACGATTTGTAAGACATATTCGAAAGGCGTTGACGCCCGACTTCGGCTATCGAGACAAAACAGGCGGGTCTCGGAGCTGCCTCTATATACGAAGGCACAAGCGAAAGGGCGTTCCCCTAATAAAAGTTTCGGTATCTTTTGTTTTTGTTTTTCACTCACACACAGCGGCATACTATCTAGATTTCTTCGGACTGTTCAGCAGGTAATTGTCTTGAAGAACTCGGGGGAGCGTCGCTCCGTCGGTGAGTTGGCTATGTGTATTTTAGAGCACTAACATTAGGACCTCTGGGTTGGGTTTGTGCACATAGAGATTCAGAGGAAAATCAAGTCATGTTTACTGAAGAACCCGGCATATTAGAGAGTTACTAACGCCTTGATATATGCATTGATACCGTGGCTTCTCTTCTCAGTTCGAGAGAGCCTAATGCAGTCACTGGATGAATACAGGTATGAAAGTCAATGGGGGACATGAGAAATAGAAGTCTATGTCCACGTTGTTTGTTCTGAATAAAATGAACTACTTGCCAGGCCTGCCTACCACGATTTTTGACGATTATCCACTTGAGGAATTCCATGTAAGCTAATATGTATCTTCCGCCTTGGTGTTGCCTAAACAGGAGGCTGTGCTGACAATGTGTCGCCTCCCATGTCGCCTTGTGATTCGCCCACCCGCTGGCATGCAGCCTTAGTGTATGCCTCGTGAGTGACTTATATCGGCATAGCCTGGCGGGGCTTCAAGTTTATGAAATGGAGGGTTTCCGAAATTGGGCGTAGAAGTGGATGTTGCATATCCCCCGGTCACATAAAACTTGCAGCCAGACTACTTCAAACAACATAATTAGCCAAACTTACCTTGCAACTTAGGAAGGACGACAGGTCAGCAGCCATCTTGACATAAACGCCAGTTTCAAGTCTATTCCGAGAAAACTGCCTCAGAGCCCTCAAATAATGCAAATCAATTCAGCGTCACTGTTGCGCTCTCTCCGCGGTGTTGCACAAGCCGCCAAACTCCCAGAGGCGGACATTGAGCCTATCGCCCAACGTCTGTCTTCCTCGGCTAGGTGTCTTACTGTCACAAACTGGCAAGTTTTGCTTCAAAATGAGACATCAAACAAAGACGAGAACTCGTTCCACGATGCTGTTCTCACACTTGCCCTGGCAGTCTCTTTTCTGCGCGAGACAGCGCGTCAGAATCGACCAGCATCGCCCGAAGACCTCGCACAATGCTGGGACATGATCTACCGAGCCATCAGTTGCGAAACCTCGCCAGCCTTCACAGCAGCACGAAGCGCTCAGGGTTTCCTCTCCGTCGCGTTGTGCAGCCTCGTCAAGGACGGCCGCATCGACGAGCTTTTCCGTCTGCACGTCTGGCTGCCGGATGGCAAGCGCGGCAACCCCGACTTCAAACTGCACTCGCATCAGCCTTTTGCGCAGAGCTGGATCCTCGCAGGCGAGGGCGAAGATCACACCTGGGAGGTTGAGCCAGTTGAGGACCCCACAGAAGCTACGCATGCCGGTTACGTCCTTGCGTGGGACGACGGGAAGGGGCAAAACAGCACGTACAAGACCCATCAGTCGTCCTCGACTGTCAGGAATACGGGGAGTCTCTTCAGGGCGATGGAGACCCAGTCGGAGGTTCATTGTCGGGACTCAACGTACACGGTCCCGGCTGCCGCTTTTCACACCTCCGAGGTTGCAGCCGACGCCCTTCACGCCACGCTGTTCTTTTTCGACTCACATCGCGGCTTCGTCAAAGACGCCGGTGTTCTCGGGCCTAAACACGGAGATGCCTTTACACAGCTGCGAGATCCCGCGGGTATCTCGCCCCGGGAGCTGGTAGAGGCAGTAGAAACTGCTCGCTTACGGGCGCAGTAATGGTGGTAGTCGTTGATTGTTTAAGCTGGGGTACTGTCTGAGGGTGTTGTGAGAGGCATATTCTCGCATGACATAGTACAAGAATTTATGAGGTGGAGTTAAAAGGCATTCATATTCCAGGTGAACGAAGCCATTCAAGTGGCAGGCGGGTGTACCGTTACGAGGATTTTAAGGTCTCCCTGAGGCTGAATAGTCAGTAACCATCAAAGTCAGTAAAGATTGCTCGGATGCCTTAATGACCCTTGAGACCTGTTGCTGGATCCTACCAATCAGTCCTAAAACTTTTAGGTGGTATTTGAACCACTTGTAGCAGCGTAAACCTCATCATAGTATAGAAGGGGGTTCATGAAGCCCGGAGGTAGTGTTGAGTCGTCATACATTTGCTGGTCCACGACCTTTGGGAGTAATGGGTCACTTTAGTAGGATATACGAAGAGCATGCTATGTTAAATATCGAGCTAGGACTCAGTGATGGTATGCAGTATTGTAGTCCTGTTACCATTAAAGGAGGAGAGAAGGCTGACGAGGTTTTCCCTGTTTCTCAGCTCGTTTCATTGAGGACGTAGAGGACCATGGCCAGATAGTCAATAAAGGCAATGACATTGGAGTATCAAGCATTTCAACGGATAGGATATTTCTCGGCGGATCATGACGACCCGATTGCACTACGATTCCAAATCCGGGACTAACAGCTACTTGCGGGGTCTTACAGCTCCGGCGCCTTGCTGTTTATTACTCTCGGCTTCGCTTTCACGTAGAAATCCACTGGCCTCAGGTTGAACCACCCATCCTGTTTCAACTCATAGGACGGATCCGCCATTGTGAAGTCCACCTCCTTGATGAGCTTTGCCACGACAACCATGTTCCAGAGCCACGCGTAGTGCTTGCCGATACACTCGCGCTTGCCGTTGCCGTAGTATCTCTTCGCGCCCATCGGGAGCTCGTCGTACTTCACGCCCACCATGCGCTCGGGCTTGAACTCCAAGGGGTCCTCAAACACCGAAGGGTCGCGGTTCACCCCCGCAAGAACAAGAATCATGGGCTGATTGTGCGCGATCTCGTATTGACCCCCGGCAAGCAGAATCGGGCTCTTGTCACCTTCCTTGGGGATGGGTTCGATGTTGAAGCCCGGCGCGGCGAAAGAAAGTCGCAGACCTTCGCGGACGATGCCCTCGATGTAATGGAGCTGCGAAAGGTGGGCGTGAGTCAGCTCGCCGTCGCCGACGACGCGGTCGAGCTCCGCCCGCGCGGTGGTGATGACGTGCGGGTTCTTCAGGAGAAGATAGATGATGGTGCTGACCAGGCCCGGCGCGGTGCTGCTGCCGATGGGCATGGAGACGATCTCATCGACGACCTGCGAGTTGGTCAGGGATTTTCCGGACTCGGGATCCGCTGCGTTGATGAGCGCGGCGAGGAGGTCCTTGCGGTCTGAAGGGTTGGTCCTGCGATGCTCCACCAAGTCCGACGCATAGTTTCTCATCGTCTTCGTGGCCTTTTTGAACTTGCCTCCGAACACAAACCAGTTCAAAAAGCCGGGCCTGTTAGGTCGCTGCATCGCCTCGGATGTCGAGTCCTCCATGCCCTTGAGCATCGGGTGCTCAGGACCGGTCAAGCAGTTGAGCTTCTTGCCAAAAAGCGCCAGCGTCGTCGCCTCCAAGTTCAGTCTATTCAGCTCGCCAATGGCGGACAGCTCATGATTGGGGCCAAGGCCTTTCCACTTCTCGAGCAATTCGTTGGTGGTGCTCACCATGTCGTCGAAGCGCTCCGCCACAGACTGGGGCGTCAGCTTGGGCGCGATGATGCGGTGGGCGACGCCCCAGCTCTCTTCGTGGTCGTAGGCTGTGAAGAGCGCATCGTGGACGGCGTATCTGATCTCAACGATTGGGCCCCCAACGTACTTGCGAAACCGCTTCTCGTCACAGAGCTCTTCGGCTAGGGCAGCCCCAGCAACGAAGACGATGGTGTGCCCAAAGACTTTGATCTGGAAGATCTCGCCGTACTTTTCCGAGAGGGTCTTCAAAGAAGACCAGGTGTTCTTAGGATCTACGTCGAAGATGTTTCCTAGTAGGGGGATACCCGGTGGCTGGGGGATCGGACTCGGCATGGAAATGATTGTATTGTGGCGAATGAAGCTATGTAGGCGGTATCCGCACGAAACGAGAATCGAGATGGTGGGTGTCCATGGGCTCCCAATTTATCAATGACGAGTTCCTTGCCCTGCCAAGTAATTCCAATTATCCCCAGGTCTGAATTGGAATCTCTGTTGTTACCCCTTCGTGTCATTGCCTTCGAACTGTCTCTCATGTGGTCTCACTGAGAACCACGGCAACTTGCTAGCGCGACGGCCCGTAGTCCAATACATGGCTATTATCATTGGATCGGCGGAAGTCGGCGTCAGTGCTTTCCTGCTTCTGGGAAAGCCATGTCTCACAGCCTCAGACTAAGCTGAATTATGCTGATAGTGCCCTCCTTCTGTTACACATGTACGGTTAGATTGACCATTCTCATCAATAGCATGCAGCTTCCGCTGTGTCTGCAACTACGTGTCCCAAGCTCTATGGAGCTGCCCCTCAACGGATGCCGTTACGGTTGCGCCTTTAACAGCTCGGGAAAACGTGTAGACTAAGCGATACACCCAGGCTAATTCCGGGCATATCTTGGGGGAAAGCCACCATCAAAGGGCGTTCGGATGTGTGCCAGATGGCTCTCCCTAGCCAGTCAACGAGTGAAACATGTGTTGGCAAGATCGCTTGGCGGGACCGGCGAGCTGCATGTGCTCTCGAGCTACACATCCTTACGAGGCAGCTCCAATAAGATATGACGCCAATGTTGATCTGTCCCGAATAAACTCGTAATAAGAAAAGGGGCATAATTAGTGGCGACGTCCTGGTGTACAAGCCCAACACCCGGCTTGCAAAGGATACAAAAATCGCACACTTCAGCATAATCTCTTTTGGCCAAATAGATCAGAAATAATCTGGTCATTAACGGGCAGAACCGGCTTTTTTATCATAAGCATTTATCTTGATCAAATATCATCGTGGTGTTTTGGTGTAGATACCCTAGTGATGCACCTGACAGTGGATATCCTACATTTCAGCAAAGCAGCCCGCGATGGCTTCTTTTCTTCCTTACGCACATTTGAGAACCAACAACGGTACCCCAAATCTTCGTCTCCCCATCCATCGAAATAGGACCCATCAATGTGATACCAACGAAGCGGAACTGTCTTGGGGCGACTCAAGCTTGGGCTTCCATTCCGCGGAATCGCCAAGGCGGTCAGCCGTCAGTCCAGCTCTTCCTGCGGGGCTCATGCCGGCTTCTAACTGTCTCTTGTAGGAGACGTTACGTAGTCGTTCAGCCTCTGCCGGTGTGAGTCTCAACTATAGCCGACCATGTTAGAGTTTCGTCCATATGTTGCGTGTTATATTCTTGTAGAATCATGAGCTTACATATATTTCGACACCAATGGCGTGAAGCGATACTGCTAGCCAGAAGGCCATTCCAAATGGAAGGCTAACAGCTGCTCCGGCCTCAGCAGCAGATGTTGCCGTCAGAAAATCCGCATGGACAATCGTATGCTGAGAGGGGTTGGCCCCGGAGAAATAAGCTGAGCAATCAGGGTACAATTCGAGTGTTCGGTTTAAGTCGTCGATCATATAAGCAACTTGACCACATGGGCGTGCGGCATAGTAGGTACCCCTTTTGCTGACGATAGCCGCACTGGTGGCCTGGATGAGACGAAGGGTAATGATGGAACCGGCCTGCGTGATTTGGTTAGCTGAAGAATCTTTGGTGAATCGGGTAGGCTTCACTCACGTAGAACCAAGCTCGCAGCATCCAGGCTCGGTGCTGCTCAATCTGAAGCCTCTTAATGTTGACATATGCCAACACGAGAGACACCACAAACATAATGCCCACGAGCCCAACGACAGCTTGAACGTCGAGACCACCGCCAAATGCATGGCGTGCAATCATGAAAGCACCGGCTGTCCCGACGAGAGACAACAACAGAATGATATAGCCGTTGAGGCGATGGAATAAGATGGCTTTGTGGCGGATCACGGGCACGAACTGGAAGCATGCCAGGAAGCCGGCCGGGAGGATCCCGGCAAGGTGGATGATGATGCCGGCCTTCTCATGGCCCTTTTGGTAGTAGAAGCATTCTCCGGGAGCCGCGCCTTTGCAAAACGCGTCGAAGCTGAGGTACTGCAAACGGGCGAGGGTGAATCCCATGAGGGCACCAGAGAAGATGAAGAAAAGAACAAAATTGTAACCCTTGGAGAACCCAAGGGGGTTGTAAAGCTTTCTCATTGAGGCGACAAAGCGATTTGCCGGTGGACGCGTTGGTACGACCATGTTGATGTACTTTGCAGTGTCGGGACAGTTTGCAACTCTATGGGTGATATGGTTATAAGCCCATGTGTCTAAGAAGATTGCCGCGTGAGTTGATTGCCTCTGAACATCTCAGTGAAGAGTTGCAAGGGCGAGTCAGGTCTCTTATACGCTCCACACTGCGACCCCGTCCATGATGGCGACCCCGGCGCTGTCAACACATGATAGAGCGCTAAGCATCTGCGGAACAACAGCCTGATGTGAGTTGCCTCGTACATCTGGGCAGAACCAAGAAGGCCGGGGTTTCAACACTTTGGGAAAGATAATGCGCGTGAATCACGTCGACGGTCGATACCACAGTTCGGAGATTCGGCCTTGAGCCTGAAGACCCCCCACTGCGCGCAGAATGGTTCCCGATGGGGTTTAGACTTGCGCCGCAGTTGCGACATTGATTGGACTGGCATGCACAGGCGGACTTGTCCTGGATCCGTTGCGCCCTGACGAGCGGCTCAGCCTTCCGCGTCCAAACAATGTCATCGTCATTGACGCTGTCAGCAAATCCTTCTTTCGCCGTTTCTTCGGCGTTATCTTTCGCGCATCTACTCAATGATATAGAGCCGGGGATGTTATCTATCTAACACATTCCACCAGTCCCAAATCAGAAGCATCGCGCGCACCCAATCCCCCCTTCTCCTAGTCCCACATAGCCATCATGGTTGGGGTTCCCGGACGCTCCAAGGGCTGCAATACGTGCCGCAAGCGAAAGAAGGGCGTGAGTCTGCCTCTGCTAACGGGACATGGCGTGTCTCAAAGCATCGCATAATACACGCCGCTAACAGAGACTATGTCCAGTGTGACTTGCAACGTCCTTCATGCGGGCAGTGCCAGAAGGCGGGGATCCAATGCGCTGGTTACGAGAGGAAGCGCATCTTTGTCAATGTCACCAACCTAAGCGCCTGCAACTATCCAAAAGCGATGGTCTCCGTTGCACGTACAATCTACCAACCACCGCCTCTATCTCAATCTGCCTATGAAGAAAAGATATTCGATCTGTTTTGGCACGGTTACATGCCCGAAACCCCACTATGCGTCCCCGGAAACACTATCGTGAGATACTCAAATGGCGACTGGGCGACAACGGTTCGTGACCTCTATCGCACCGATGCTGCGTTACGGCAGAGTCTACTGGCACTCAGCCTCGGGACAATTGGTCGACGAGAGAAGCAACAGTGGATGATCGATGATGGCCTCAAGTTCTATTGCGACGCCCTCAGTGAGCTGAATGTCGCGTTGCGAAACCCAAAGAGACGGAAGACAGATGCATTGATGTTGGCTTCGAGACTTCTTGGCTTCTATGAGGTAAGGTGCGCAGCTCTGAGTCATGTATCCCAGCTGACATGGAAAACCTGCAGCTACTGTACGGAGCCGACGACAGAGAGCGACATGGAATCTCTCAAGCTGAAAGCTGGGAAGGCCACGCTTTGGGTGAGATGGCCCTGGTCTTGCAGCGAAGACCGGAGGCCCACGTGCAGGGCCCGGCGCACGATTTGTTCTCGTCAGGACGAATTCACTTGGTAGGTTCTCCCCCGTTCGTTTCAGCTCGAATGATTTGCGGGTTGATGCATTAACGGCGACGGGATAACTAGATCATTACCTTCATCAAGCGCAGACGAAGATGCCCGCTCAGCCACCCTGTTTGGAAAACAGTCCCATGGCAAGACGTCCCGAAAACCCCAAAAGACGTCTTAGTCGACATCTTCGTTGACGTACCTGGCATTCTTGAAGACCTGGACTGCATGAGGAACTGCAAAGACGAGTTCGAGAAAGAATCAAGGCGCACCAGACTCGTCAGAGAATGTTGGCGCATTGACGAAGAGCTCACGTGGTGGCTGGAGAACTTGAGCCCCAAAAAGGAGCTCGAGGAACTCATGGCCAGGGGCCTCGACAACCCATCGGCCTGTGATGTTGCCATTGCTTCCATCATGGCTCTGTGTTGGGCGGTAGCACTCTTGTCATACAGCACTCTCCGCTTTGCCATCGGTAAGAATGCTGGCTTGGAGCTGCCCGAGCGGACAGACCCCTCCATTTATTGCACCAAGATAGCCAACATTGTCGAAGTCTTTTTCCATTCTTCGGCAGGCACTTTTGGGATACAATCCGCACCGTTTCCGATCGGCATGGCTTTGGTGTACCTCAACTCGTTCGACGAGGGGTTCAACTCTGAGACGAAATGGAAGTTGCTTAGCTTCTTCGGGCGCACAGCGAGCAACGGAATCGGCATTGGCAAGTTTCTCCTGAGCACCCAACGAGCTGGACTGGAGTCAGCCACTACCACGCCAGTCGCGCCCGAAGGTATCAGGACCAAGGCGAGGGGCTGGATTGGCACTGCAGCTTGAAACATCGTCGGCTCCTTGCTTCGAGAGGGGGGCGGAATGAGTAGCAACGACCGACAGCTGTCGAGGGAGTAATAAAACACTCGTTCCTATCTTTTTCTGGCGGCATTTTTATAAAACAACACTTTTTTCGACCGGGATGTAATTCTGGATCTAGTAGAGAGGTGACAAGGGTCCCCATCTGAACAGGCCATGCTGCAAACAAACTAGTCAAAATGAGGGCTTCGTGACTCCACAACCCGCAGGATCCATATCGCATAATTTTCGCACCAGCATCCATACCAGCGATACCTCATCTTCACAACTCTCACCAGCCCTGGTGGTCTAGCGGTATGATTCTTCCTTAGGGTTGTTGCCTATTCATCAACTTGGAAGAGGTCCCAGGTTCGATCCCTGGCCAGGGCCCAGATAACCTTTTGCCGGTTGCAGGAAGCTGTGAGCAAGAGAGAAGGAATCGACTAACATACACACTCCAAAGCTGGCGTTATTTTATGCAGTTGGATTTCCTAGTGATGTTTTGCTGTATATATCAATTACCCTTTCACTTAAACTTACCTCATGGCCCTGCATATGTATTAAGAATCTGCCAAGTGCGATTGCAGTTGCATTCAGCAATACTTTTTGCTTAAGTTTCTGCAACAATATCTGTAAAACTGCGTTCATATATTGCAACATCTGGAGACACTATCAACTTGAAATTGCTGATAGACACGTCAAGAGCTGATCGTAATACAAGAAATGGATGGTGCTAGATACCAGCAAGAAGCTATGTCTCTTCAGCTTCATCGTACTTATTTAAACAGACCAACCTTTAGAGCGGAGGCACGCGAGAAGAGAAGAGTAGAATTGAAAAAAAATCTTATTGTTTTATAACACCTAAGAAACTGGACGATACTGCCAAACATACGGGAGAGATAATTTCTAGTCGTGTGCCCTTTAGCTAACGAACTTATAATATTGAAGTGCACACTGCTCCTCCATAGATGGTAGCATCCACATCCGGGCCCAAGACAGGTCCCCAGAACCGAAAATATGATGCGCACAACACACTGTTCTAGAACGGTTTAATACGCGTCGAACTAGGGCCTTTGGTTTAAAGACTCTAGAGTCGACTAAGAAGAGAAATGATCTTGTCTGGCCATGCTCAACCTCAGAGCAGGAATCCCAGGCCAGCAATGGCACCCACAGTCAACGTGAAGAAGCCGCACGACGTGATGGACTTGCTCGAACCTGCGGTGACGATGGAAGGCGTCGCAGGCGGTACCGTGCTTGACTCCCCAGTACTAACGGCAGGCTGGACAGTACTCAGGGTAGACTGGCCGATACTGACGGCAGGCTGGATAGCACCAGGAGTGCTGACCGAGGCGGGCTGGTATTGAGGAGGGGCACCGGACGCCTCGAGAAGCTTGGATGGGTTCGGTGGCTGAGGCATGGGGCAGCCATCTCCTTTGCAGGGCTCAACCACGTTGCACTGCTCGCCGGAACACTCGTACTTGATGTTGACCTCCTTGAGCGGGCAGGATTGGTGGCTGCAGGTGCCGTCGGCGCAGACGTATTTCTTGTCGCACTCGTCTCCCTCGCACTCCTCGATCTTGCAGACGTTGCCGTAGCAGGTGATCTTCTCCTTGGTGCACTCGTCGCCCTGGCACTGGGAGTACCGGCAATGCCCGTTCTCGCAAATGATCTTGCGGCCGCAGTCGTCTCCGCTGCAGGTTTCGGGGTGGCAAACTCCATCTTCGCAGACGAGACGGCGGCGGTCAGCTGCGCAGGAGCACTGGGAGCTGTAGCTGACGTAGTCTCCGTAGCACGTAACCTTCTGGTTGCAGTCTTGGCCAAAGCATGGTAGGCGGTAGCACTCGCCGTTGGGGCACGGGAGGGAGGTCGGGAGAGCGGCGCAGGTCGTCGTGACGGTGCTAACAGCAGTGGTGAGAGATCCGATGGGACAGTTAAGCACATCAGGAGGACATTTGGTGATGGTTCCTATGACGGTAGTTATGAACGTGCTAGTCACAGCGGAGTCTGCAGCTGTGATGCTGTTGGTAAGAGCCAGACCGGAGGCGGAGGCGGAGGCTGCAGCCGTGATGCTGCTTGTAAGAGCCGGGCCGGAGGCGGAAGCGAAGGCGGAGCTTGCGCCCGAGATGACTTCCGTGTTGGCGTAAATTGACAGGCGGAAATCGTTCGGGATCTGGCGCTTCGCAAGACCTACGCGGCCACCACAGCGCTCAGCCTTGTTGCCGGGGCAGAGGATGTTGCACTGATCCTCGCTGACTTGAACAATGGAGGGGGACTCTACAGCATCACCGCAGTAGCATCTAGTGTCGAAGAGACCAGAGTACAACCGGTTCTGGCTCGTGCAGGTACTCACGCAGAGTTCGAGGGTCATCAGCTCATCGGCGAGAGAGAGGCCGAAGCTGGGGAACCCTGACGGGGAGTCGTAACATCCCAGCTGAGTAGCAACACCGACGTGAGAAGGGTTGGGGAGGATGGTCGCGGAGGCAGAGGCCGAGGCAGGGGCAGAAGACGTTGCAGTCAGAGATGCCGTCCCACTAGAAAGGGTCGACGAGACGTCAGAGGCGGCCGACGACGTCGTATTCCAATAACGAGGAAACTTGAAAGTGCTACCGCTGCACAACGGCGTGGTTGCCAGGAGAAGCATCAAAGCAGAGGTGGCCATTGAGGATGACATTGCGAAGTGAGTGTGATAACTGGAAACGAGTGACAGAGACCACGGAAAGTGAGGAAAGAGTGAAAGGTGGTCTAAAGACAGAAACGATTGAAGCACAACAGTTGTTGGATGGCTGCTGGTTGTCGGTGGTGTGACAAGGCAAAAAGGAAGTCGTCAACCCTCGCAGAAACGTCCTTCTTATATGCCAACATCCAGTGTTGACAATGTCCTTCATTACAACGGAATTTAGATGGTCCCACTCGTAAGTGTGGTTCCGCTTCTCCCGCCGAATTGAGGGAACCATGCTCAGCAAAGCCTTGGATATCTTGCGTGCCTGGTATCCTGGTAAGTGACCAAAGGGATGAATGACCTGTCTAAACCTAGTAGTAGGCCAAGCTCAGATGGCCGTAGTATGCAAGGCTTTACGAAAACTTTACAAACGAGTGAAGTAACAACAGTTGATTTCTTGAGAACCTTATTATCTAGATGACTATGTTCGAAATCGACATGGATAGGAAGACGTCATTCAAATATTCCGATGTCTTGTCCTTTTCTTCTCTTCTCTTCTCCTCGTCACTTCACAGCTGTAGACTTTGCGATGCGTGTTTGCCTTCTCTTTTCCGTCTGACATCGCACTTCACTTAGAGACTCGTCAAAATCGTATACTCGCTTGGTAAAGAGACAAGCTTGCCGGTCGTGACTCGAGCGCATTGTTCGATGCTAACGAATTCCTCCGCAACCGGGTACGAAGCTGCGCTTGTGGGCCAATGTCTTGAATCACCCGCGCTAGTCCTCAAATAGAAGCCGCACCGAATAAGGGAATCCTGAATCCTCATTTTTGAACAACTAAAAACCTTCGCCAGCATCTGGGGCTGTGATTTCGGTAGCCCTTACTCATGGAATGTTGAACGAGGTCCGGATATGGCGTAGTCTGCCTCTTTTGCCGAGCATTGCCGCACGTATCGATATATGTCGCAACGTTGCCGAAGAAAGAGTGCGGCGTTACCTCAAACGGCCTGCGGCTTTCCGGATTCTTTGCCATTCTTTCGGGCCGCCCCCAGAGCATGAACCGGTAAGTGGCATTATCATAATAAAAAGAACAATGAGCGAGACTGGAATCTTCTTCTCCAGGCAGGTGCATTTCAAGTAAGACTGCCCAAGACACGTTGGACGTGGCGCAGAGCCGTAGAAGCTTACCTCAACCTCGATGGACACGTCCTTCGGACCTTCGCCAATGCCCCCCACCTCTGATATGCTTCGTCTTCACGCCCGGTAAAATCATCTGCCTGCGGACGTCAATGAACGGAAACCCCAGCGGTATGGTTTATGGATATGTCTGAAGCGATGAAGCCGAGGGAACCACATCAGGTACGCCTCCCTTGCTCTGCCACAGGTATTGAGAGTTTGTTATTCCCCACCCGCACTGGCTCGAGTTGCAAGGATCCTTTGCCCTGCGTTAGCATCACCAATCCCTGAACCGACATTCCTCATGATTGTTGTTGTGCCCGGTCAAGGTTGCTATTTGAATGCGAAGTCCAGGATCAAGGCAGACGGTGCCAGCGGCCTCAGAGTGAGGAAGCATTTCTGACATAGAACGAGATATCTACTCGGTGCGTGTTTATTATGTACCGCATTCCTTGTAGATACACTAGACGATGGTTTGGAAGATCAGTGACTAGAACGAATGTCGCAAAGGAAATTCTGACAAATGGAAACCAGAAGCTTGTCATAAGTGGTCCGTTCCGTAATAGTAGCAAATGATGCCTCTCTTGCGAATACATATGCACACCAGGGTTGCCGCGCTCAGCAAAACCTATGCCACACGGGTTTTGGCTAGCTGGGGCCACGGTCAAGGTGTCCCAAAGTATACCAGCAGGCAGACCCCACGGACAGGGATGATGACATCGTGGTGCGCTTTACGGAAACAGAAATCCATTGCCATTTACGGGTCTATTCAGTACACTCTGAGAGAGGCGGACACGAGGCCGGGCTAGGCAGAGTCATGAAGAACAAAGACGGCTGGGTGGGTAGTAGAAGCCAAACCTATTCCGCAAACATGTGGTAAGAAGATTGTACCGCGGGCGATGAATTATTGTGACAGCGCGATTTAATACATCCCCCATCTTTCAAGTGGGCTAGTGTGATAGCTGGGCGCAGCAAGTGATAGAAGTAGGATAGTGCCCGCGATAGAAAGGCCGAAAGCCACTCACATTACTGCTTACGAGTTTACACTCTCTGTGGGAGGGGACTGGAGAAAGTCTTGAGACCCGTTAGATTCGATAGTGCAAACTACCATGTTCTCTGTGATGGTGATATCGACGTGTGCGTACTGTCACTCGGTCCTCGGACGGGGTAAGGCTCCTCCACAGAAGGTTTGGCCGCTGAATAAACACGAGCAATCGTTGTTATCTCCATGGGAAACTCGTCTTGTGTCTTGATCCTTAACGTTGCCAAAAGACTCGCTATTGAAGGTATCCCTGGAGCCGCAGATGGAACCCAAAACATAACGCCCGTGGGGGAAATACTAGACAGCAGAGCAGTTGACCTTGTTCTTCCTGCTCGAAAAAACAGACCGTTTTCCGTGCGCCCTGAAGCCGCGAACCAGACCAGTGCCCGGGTTCCTGACCACACCTCGGCCGACGACCACGCCGTTCCTCCCCACGCCTACTGCTCTCAGATCCCCGGCCACCTTCTTGTAGTCGCCAAAGAAGGCGTGCGCCCGCGCGTCCCGCCCGGAAACGAGCCCGTGGCCGAGCGTGACGCCCCAGACGCCGGCGACGCTCAGCGCGTGCGCGGCGGCGTCCCGGTCCGGCTGCAGCAGGACGGAGTAGACGCACCCCGTGTACCGCACCGAGCGGCGGTCCGCCACGCTCGCGGGGAACGCCCAGGTCTTGCCGCCGTCCAGCGAGAGCGGGTGCCAGGGCGTGACGACGAGGTCGCCAACGCGGCACATGACCTCCCTCCGCACCGGCGTCTTGAGCACGGCGACGACGCGGCGCGGGCCGCTCGGCGTGCGCACCGCTGCGCCCCGCCGGAGCGCCTTGATGGGAACCGTGCGGCCCGAGGCCAGCTGGACGGGGGTCGAGGAGGCGAAGCAGACGCCGGAGGAGCTGTTGTACGAGCTCATCTTGACGCGCCCGCGGTGGGTCGCCATGTGCTGGTTCGAGGGCGTCGGCGCGGGCAGGTTGTCGAAGGCCGCGTCCAGCCGGTTCCGGCACGCCACGAAGAGGGGGCTGTCGGCGCCGTAGCGGAGCGGGCCGGGGTCCTTGAACGTGTTGCAGACCTGGCGGGCGTGCGCGTTGAGGAGCGAGGGGAGGTAGTGGACGCCCCATTTGCTGTAGTACTCGGGGCTCGACAGGGCGAGGGTGACCTGCCCCTTTGGCTGCTCGCCAGCGAGGTCCTCGACGAGGGATCTGTTCTGGGGGTCGGAGGGGAAGCTGTTGGCGGGAAGGTTTGCGATGAGGTCTCGGAGCTGTTCCAGAAGCTGGGGAGAGACCTTGCTCACGGCCTCGCGTTCGCCGTCGTCGTGGATGGGGATGATGGAGGAGAGATAGGATCAGATCTGGGAGCGAGAAAGGTGGTAGGCCATCTCGGATTCCGGGAGAGTCGTGGGCGCCTGCAGAGATTGCTCGGCCGTTTGCCTGTACGTGTTGCTGGTCATCCGGGAGTACTCGAGCACTGCCCTGATGGTTGAGTTCTCCGGCACAAGGTCCTTGGAGGTTGTGACCTCGAGGAAGATGTCGCGTGATTGGCCGTACTGGACGTTGCCGAGAGATATCGAGAGCTGCTTCTGCTCACCGTCCTCCTCGGCCAGAGTGACCGCCTCTTGCCTAACAACGGAGTCGCCGCTGATCTCGTCCAGATGGACGGAGGCGGGGTAGCTGAAGCGCAAGGTGGCATTGACGGCATAGGTCGCTTGCAAGTTGGCCACCGCGTGGACGAAGACGGTTCCCTGGGATGAATGTCAGCGGTCGGGAGGGAGCCCTACGAGCGTCAACTAACTCACAATCATGCCGGCATCGGGTATGAAGGAATAGTTGCCGCCGCCGATCTCGGCAATGGACTTCAAAAGACCCGATCTGAGGGAATACCCAAAGCCGAACGTGTGAATCGATGCGGACAGCTGCTCCATTCCACGCAGCTTGGGCACGTAGCCCTGATTCGGGCACCTTGGATACCGTCAGTCTCCTCCTATAGCCCAACTATCAGGGCATCGAGGGCCAGGCCGCGACCTACATGTGGTTCGGCATTCCGTCCGTCAGGACCATCATGGCCGGGACCCGCCCCATGTTCATCTCGCCGCACGTGTTGAACAACTTTATGCCCTCAAGCAGGCCGTGCCACAGGTTCGTCGCGTCGTCGGGTCTCATGCCGTTGATGATCTTCTCGGCGAGCGCCTTGTTCTTCGCGTCCATGGGGGTCAGCTTCTGCAAGACCTTGGCCTTGGACGCGAATGTCACGATGCCGAGCCTGTCCCCGTCGTTGAGGGTCTCGAGGACGGTGCGCGCGGCGTGCTTGACGAGGTCGAGCACCGACAGGCCGTAGTTCTCCGCCTTCTCGCCCGGGTTTGCGGGCACTGGGGCGTTGCAGCCCATGCTGCCCGACACGTCGATGACCAGGACGATATCGCACGGCACGTGGTCGGTGGGCTCAGTGGGCTGCGTCGGCGGCGTGATCTTGGCGATGAGGCCGTCCTTGGAGGCGAGCGGATGAAGGGAGAGGGCGACGTCCTCGGAAGGGGCGTCTTCCTGGACTGTGCTGGTGGTGGTGGTGGTGGTGGTCATGGTCCATTTTGAATTGCTCGACTTTGTAGAGTCCACGCGGGAGATGGGAGGCGAGGCGCTCTTGACCGAGCTTCTAGGAAACCATTTTCTGACCTGGAAGTCCATGTCAGCAGATAGATAAGCTTGACGGTCAGTGACTTTCGAAAATCTACCAACCATTGTGACTGGAAGTTTGGGACGTATTAGCTATTGTACGTGGAGATTGTTCGAGACCACAAGAGATATAAGGCGGGTGGTGATGGTATTGAAGAGCTGGACACTGTCGCGGTTGCACAGATATATATCTGTAATACCAAACACAATTGGCCTCACTCTTGGTTCAGTCCTTGGACTCTGATGAAATTCGCTGACGAGGGGCTCAGGCGGTCAGATTGCCAAACCGGGCTGACGCCCATTGGGCCAGGTCCGGCGAGATCCAAGGAGGACGAGAAGGCCAGCTCACTCATTCAATCCACCGACCGGATGCTATCCAATTGGCAGCCGAGGCCGTTCATTCACTCATCTAGACTAATCCGAACTCGGGTGCGTCTGCCTAAAGGCAAACAATCCGAGCAAACTCTAGTCGATCAAAGCTTGAGCCCTGTCCAAGGCAGTGTTGACAGTAGCGTCTCCCCCATCCCCGATGTGTTGGTTTCTGGGAGTATCCGGTGGAGATGCAGGCTTGTTTCCCCGGCGCAGTCATGGCCGGGGGCCCGACTCTCATGGGCGCGTGGGCGATCCCCAAGGCATTCTGTCCCAGGAACCAAAGTCCCGGGAAATTGCTTGCCGGGCATGCTTTTTGGCGTTTTGAGCAACGCCTCGTATGAGAAGCCGATCCAGCAGCACAGCCTCAGTCGGACTTTGCTCGTTGGTCGGCATCAACTAATCCCACCCAATCCGACCCGCCTCAGCCACATTGGAAGGGGGGCGAGAGCGCTGGCGGTGAAACAGTCATACGGCGGACATAAAGAGCCGCCCAATCCTCATCTGGAACAAGAGCCAACGGAAACAGTCAAACAACATGGCTGGTGTTGGAATCCTGAACAGCATATCGAAAGAGTCGGTGCGTCCGTTTTGCCACTTTGAGGGAACTGTTCCATTCAGCCAGGATGAGGGGGAAACCATGCCTTGCAGAACTAGCAACACAAACGCCGCCAAGGGTCTCTTGCTTGGTCCAACGGGCGCCGCGAGGCGCAGCACGCACAGCGCTTTCTCCCCATATTCCCCATCCCGCAATGTGCAAGGTGTAATGTATGTGTGTGTGAGTGTGAGTGAGTGTGTGCCTGTTGCATTGAGAACCCCAATGCTGGACAGGGGTGTTGGCTGTCTCCCTCTCCCCCCAGAGCACGCAACTCTGTCCCCGCACAAGACCCTGCGTGCCAGTTTAAGCAGTCGCCGCAGAAACATCTGCGTCATAGTTGGACACCGGGCTGGGGTTGAGGGGGGGGGGGGTGAAGAGACAGCGAGGGAACAAGAGGGAGTGAGAAAGACCAGGCGAGAGCTAGGCCGGGACCCCGAGGACCTGGCACACCGGGCGTTGGTTGGTGTCAAGAGGTGGCTTCTATTCAGCGGACTGCCTGTTTGCTCCCTCGGGGATGTAGTGTTACATACATGTACATAGTACGTTACATACATGGTGCTACATACGATGTACACTTTTTACCTTTGCCAGCCCCCGTCGCCCCCTATTCGGCGAATGTCGGACAAATCAGCGCGCTCAAAGGCTACCCCAAACATCTGCTGGGAACGTTGCGACTGTTCGGCCTCTGGGAGGCTGCCATTCTCGCCCCAGGTTTTCCACTTTCACCCCTCCCCCCCCCCCTGGCCGAGTCGTTCCCCGGACGCGTCTGACCGTTTTGGCTTCTGGAGAGGGAAAGATGTCTCTGCTCAGCCGATGCTGCTCGAGTTGCGGGGTAGCAAGAGGCCGCGATCAAAAGTGGGAGCCACACCACTACACTGGTGAGGGCTGGTCCTATACCGGTAATGGCTTACATATTGTCATTACCATACGTGCTGAGGTCACGGCAAGATGGTAGTCGATCATCGGTCAATCCCTCCCTTGTGAGGAGCTTGTAAGATGGCATTGATAGACAGGCAGACGGGTAGTTGGGCCGTTAGACTGGCAATTTCAAGCCTCCGGTCGAGGGGGTCAGGAAGGGTCGAGGAAGTGTCCGTCCACAGATTCATCTCGTCTCCCCTCCTCTTCCATGCCCACCTCTCCACATGGTGCTGCAAGGTAATCGGGGGCCTTCCATTAGCTCGGTTTCCCATTCTGATTTCCCCAGCATTCACATAATAGCCCCTCGCCATCCAATGGAAGGGGGGCATTTGGACCGAGTATGTCTGAAAATGGCACACTCAACCACCAGCATCTACCACCCCCTTGTCCTGTCACGTCTGTCCTCCCCCCTCTCCCCGGCATCGTCCCCCGGCATCGTCCCCTCTAACCCCGGCCGCGTCTAGCTGCCTGCAGCTTTCGTGCAGAGGCGGAACTTGCAGTAGCCCGAGCGACGTGGGGGGAGGCAAGACCTTGCAGATGTCGAAAGCAGGAAACCAACCACACACACGTTGCCTGCTGTCAAAAGCTTGTGGGACGACATGCACAGAGACGCGAGGCCGAGATGGTCGGGGCGGAAGAGCTAGGGAGCTTGGGGGGAGGGGAGGGGGAGAGGGAAACGTGGGGAGCTACCGGTAGAGCTATCTCGAAGCTTCTGGGAGCCGTCCTCGCTGCCCGACTGCCTTTGGACGCTACGGTATTATCTCCATTCGGCTTGCGACTCGGAAGAGACGGTCACGTCCGGCATACACTAGGTAGTATTGTGGCTCGATTGAATGTCTCTCTTCCAGAGAGATGGGTGCCCGCTCTGCCGGCGAGTGAAGGGGAGATGGGGCCAGACAGCAGACAACCCGGGATGGTCCATGGAGGAATGAATCCACCCGGGTTTGTGTGTGTGCTAGGTATTCCACCAGGCGGCGGCGATGAGAAAGTAAAAATAAATTGAAAAAAAAAGAAAAGAAAAAAAAGCATGCCTCAACCCATCTGTGCATCTCCAAGCGTTGTGTTTCACCCGCCGAGCCCCGGAGCCTGCCGACGAAGGGGGGGAATGGTGTGGTTGAACGTGTTACTCGATGGCCAAGTGTAAGAGAATCAACCATTGGGCTTGTTTTCCCCCGCCCCCAGGTCTTGCACACAAGACACACTTTTTCTTCTTCTTCTTTTTTTTGTCAGTTTTCTTCTCACATTCCTCTCGTGCGCGCACTCCATTCGACACGTACGTCAGAGCCTCTCGGGGTCGCGGTATGTGTGTGTGTGTGTGTGTGTGTGTGTGTGTGTGTGTGTGTGTTCGGTCATGCTGGTCTGTCATTCGCCCGCAAGGGTGGGGGTGAGTGAGTGAGAGTGTGAGCGACAGTGAGAGTGAGAGTGAGGGTGAGAACGAGAACGAGGGGAGAGGCACTAGAGGTCCTATGTCGCAGTTTCTCTCAAGTTTCCGAGCTGGACGGAGTTCGGAGTGTACACTAATAAAGCCCTGTCAACGATTTCCAACTAAACCCCCGCATTGGATTCAATTCGATCGGCAGGCCGAGGTGCTCGTGGTGGTGCCCCCCCCGGCGGCGGCTATGCTGCGTCTGTCTCTTGTCTGTGTCCGGGCGGCCACTCACACGCACTCTCCGTTCATCTCAGGGTCCGTCCAACCAACCAACCATGAACCCGACATGGCACATCCCTTCCACTTCTGCCTTGGGTCGGGGTTGGAGAGCCTTGCCTTGCCTTGCCGTGCCTCGCCTCTCCTCTCTCGCACACACTCACCCCCCCCCCCGACACCAACACCACACCACTTGCACGTTTCTTTCGAACCACAACCGTTCCGGTCAGACCAGGGGTCCAAGGTTCCGAAAGGACATGGCCTGAATGGTCAGAGAACGAGTGTCGAGGGTCGGGAGGGTGGGCAGAGGGGAAATGTCTATAAGTGCGGCCTCTTTCCTCTCGTCTTCTTCCACATCTTCTCCCTCATCCATTACTCACGACTCACATCTCCCACTTACACTCTCACTCCTGCTTGACGACCAAGCCAGACTTATACATCGACAGCCTCAAGCCAACACACTCAACACCAACCAACGAACCGCCAACATGCCCGTCGCTCCCTCCTGCTGCAAGTGCGGAAGCATGATCGTCATCAGCACCTCGTGCCCTTCCTGCGGCCACCATGAGTGCCGAACCTGTCTCTAAGTCAACGAGAGCCGTCCATAACGAGCCGGGCCGTTGAGAAAGAAAAAGGAAAAAGAAAAAAAAGAAAAAATAGGCTTCCCAACCTGGGCTCCGTGGCACATTACACCGAGAGAGGCTCCGAACATCCATCAACATCAATAAAAAAAAAAACCCCATATTACACACGAAAACCACCCACAGACACGCCAAGCTGGCCGACAGGGCCCCTCTCACCCCAAATACCCACCGCTCAAGCCGATGCATTCCGAGCCTGTCATCCACCACCCTCTCTCGCTGAAACCCCAGCGAGGCCACGAGGCCATGAGGCTCTGACGAAAAGTTTTCCGTGTCGTGTCCCGCATGTAGTGTAGCCACACGACCGGCCAAACCAACCACCCCCCCCCGAGGGGTGCCTCTCCATTCTCAGCCTTTCTTCTGCGTACCGAAGTTTTTTTTTTGCCTGCTGGGACATCTTTGTATTTTTATTTCCGTTTTCCACTCTGTTTTGTTTACGACCGATACCCCTCTCCCCCATACCCACGGTTTTTTTTTTTTCTTTTCTTCGTTTGGAAATGAACTCTTTTCAGCACAGGCTTTGGTACGAAAAGGACCGACGACGGACGGGAGGAGCGGACTCGAGGCAGCGGGACGTTCGCAATGGTGGGAGAGCCATCACATCACCTCTTTTCATATTCTCAAGTCACTGGATTTGTACCAAAAGACTCGCTTCGCCGCTCAGTTTTGAAAAAGCAAACCAAAAAGCCATTGAACAAAAATCCAATAAACATTGTTACACATAAAAAAAATACTTTTCTTACCCTAGGTGTGAAACACAGAATGGGGGGGGGGGGGGGGGGTCGGATGACACTCGGAGAGCGCCGACATGCTCAGATTCTCCTCGTACCAAAATTTTGCCCAAAACCACCCCCGGCGCACAACAGCCAAACGTGGGGGGGCAAAAAAGCGACGCCGGGAAAAGTGGCTCTGGCGCAGCGGCGCTAACACAGCAATTTCGGATCGTGCTCGGAAGGCGGCTGACGGACCAAAGAAAGGAAAATGGGAGGGAGAGAGAGCATCGCATGTTTTACCACCGCAGGCAACCCACAAGTCGGCCCATTCATTGTAACTCTCTGGCCGTGTACCACATGGCCTGCTGCCTGTGGTGCCATGTCGTCTCCTTTATCGGTTGCCCCGGAACTTGAGGCGTGTGCGTCTGTGTGCGACGGTGCTGTTGCCCACGTCCGAGCAGCTCCACTCCCCCGAGGCATCTTGTGGAGGTCTCGAATGTTGCTATACGGGTGACTGGCACAACGGCTTGAGCCAGAGTATCTGGAGGAAAACAGTCTTGACCATGAGCCTAGTTCTGATCCACCAACAACTTACATCACTGCCATTTCTGCAATGCACGGATTCCAAATGCCACTAACTGACTGCCTTCTGTCTCGTCAAATCTGCGGGACTTGACCTTGTGATTTTGCCGACCGGTCTATACCATCGCCATCGTAGACGCTGATTCGCAAAGGCAGCGTAAAGTTGCCGTCTCGAAAGCTCCGCAGCTCTTTTTTTGATTGGGTCGACACTGGTATCGTCATCAAAGCGGTAACAATAAGGGTAGCGAGCACCAGGGTGACATTCGACTTGAGACCAGTTAGCTTGGTAGTCGAGGGGAAGAGGTGTCGTAAAGTAGTCTTGGTGGATTTACCTGTCTATATGGTGACGCCAGGAAAGGCAAGGAGAGGTTGAAAACGAGAGTTGTTGTTGTCGTTGTTGATGATGTTGTTAGGAGAAAGACGAGGAGAGGAAGAAGAGGAGGAAAAGGGAGGGAAATGGGAGAGAAAGAAGTGGAAAGCGCAGCAACGTGTCGAGGGAAGGTGCGGCACGACTCCCCGCGAACGAGGAAGGAACCACCACAGACGATAAGCCTCGTTGTTGCCCAAGGCAGCAGCCTCGACATACCCCCATAATGTTCCTTCATTCCGTCTTCTCTTGGTTGTATTGTCTCCGGAGCATACACACACACACACACACACACACATCATTGCACCTACGATGCCATCATCGTGTTCCTCCTCGGGGCTCTGACTACTCGAGATCCCTCACCATCCAGATCGACGACCCCTTGTCCCCCGTAGGTTGCACCCGGAACCCAAGCTTCTCGTAAAACGGCACGACCTTGTCGTTCTCGCCGCCGACGCCAATGTGCACGCCCTTGCCGTACAGCTTCTCCCCGCCGCCGCCGCCGCCGCCGCCCCTCGCCCGGTCCGCCTCCCTAACGCTCTCGACGAACCTGTCAATCAGCCTCCTCCCCCACCCCTTGCCCTGCCACGGCTCCAGCAGGTCGATGTGCATCGTCGCCCGCCACCCGCCCCAGAGGCCCGCCCTGTCCCCGTCGAGCACCAGCCACGCCGCGTTGAAGGCCTGCTGCAGCAGCGCCTCCTCGTCGACCTCGCCCGTCTCGGGCGAGTTCCAGGGCACCCTGGCCTCGAGACTCCGCGGCCGCCGCCCCGCGAGCTCGGCCGACGTCGAGAGCACCTCGGCGACGTAGCGCGGGTAGGCCGCCGCCAGCTCCTCGACGTTGGGGCACCCGATGCAGTAGCCCACGGCGTTGCCCTGCCCGTCGTCGAGCACGTGGCACGTCGACGGCGAGAGTAGCGTGTACTGGTGCGTCCAGAGGTAGGGCGCTGTCCTGGTCGCCGCCTCGGAGCGTTGGAGGGACGGCGGGAGCGTTGCGCGGCACTGGGGGAGTCAGTCAGTCAGTCAGTCAAATGCCGGACATGGATGGCGTGTGAAGGGCACATGTACGTACGATGTGTCCTGTCGCGTCGAAGTCGGACGGCTTGTAAGGGCGAATGAAAGCCATGTTCCCCGAGCAGCGACGAGCCGTGTCGGTGGGTGAGTGTAGGTGATGAAAGGTCAGTGGTATGTATGCGCGGCACGGCGATGGGAATGGCGGAGGGACGTTGCTGGCAGCGGGGTTTCTCGCGGGGTAGCGGGGGTAATGTCTCTCTCGATCTGGCTGCTTGAATCGAGGCGTACGTACGTGCGCTGGCTTCCAGCAGGCCGAAGACGGGCAAGTTGAAGAAGAGTTACGGACCAGGACAGACTGAGAATAAAGCGTATATGAGAGGAGCATCATGTTTCGTACAGGGCGGGTCCGTGGTTTTATCAGTTCGGCCGGCATTCCGGGCCGAAGAGGCCCTTTCCCCTTCTCCCCATTCCCCCCACATTCGCCGTACTTAGCCGCCGTTCCTGTCCCGCTGTCGGCGGCCAAGGTTGTTGTCGATGGTCAGTTCCACCGGACAGACAGACAGACATAAATATGGCAAAGTGTGTCGTGGCACGTTGTATAATTGAGCGAGACGAGAAAAGCAGCATTGGCGATCCCCCACCCAAGGTTCAGAACATCATCAGCATGACTTTGGTCTTGGAAGATTTTTGATTTCTCTCCACTACACTCCCTAGGTAGTAAGTAACATGGTATATCACGCCTCCGTTTGTTTCCCTTGACCACCCCAGCCTAAGCTGCCCGTGTCGAAATGTTGTGGTATTCTGCAAACCCGGACAGCCGCGCCCCGCACCCCGTCTTTCCAGCCAACGCTAAGATATCCCGTCCGCGGTAGACGCCAGGCCAACCACAAAATCAAAATAAAAACAACAACAGGGACGAAAGATGAAAAGTAAAGAAATAGAATAAAAACCACATTCGGTCCACCCGCAAAAGCCGACGAGCACCCACTCCGATTGAGACTCCCTCCAGGAGCTCAATGTCAAACAGGACTGTGAGCATAGAGTCGCCACGGCCCGAAGAGAAAGGGATAGAGTAAAGAATATGAAATATACAATAATACACCACGGGTTCCATACGACCGGGTGTGTAGGTGGATAAATGAATTAGAAAAAGCAAGAGCAAAGTACAAGAAAAGCATTCTCGTTACATTCGTCATGACCGACCCTGTTATCGCGCCTTTTGTCCCACCGTCCACTTCTTTTTTCTTTTCTTGATACCAAATATGAGAGATTAGAGATACGACGAGGAATGTCGTGCCGACAGACCGACAGAGAGAGAGATGGAGACTCAAGATTTAGATCATGCCGCCAGCCATGCTCGCAGACGAAGGCATGTTGGGAGGGCTATTGACACGCGGAAGGCGGGCTCGCATGTTCATGCCGTTGGCCTCGCTTGTTGCCTTCCGGAGGCGGTGTTGCGAGGATCCTTCGTCTTCGTCGCCAAGAAAGAAGGCGCCGTTTTCACCAGAAGCCCCAGGTGGCGGCGAAAGGGGAGAGCTAGCGTCCCCATCCTCTCCTCTGCGGCTCATCATGTTGCGCCGCTTCGGGTTGATGGGAGGGAGAGGAGGCGCGTTCGCGTGAGCAACCATGGTGGCATGCAGGTTGGGTGTCGAAGAAGCAGCACCCAGAATGCTGCCAGACCGCGCACGCGAGCCGCTTCTCGACCGCGAGTCCGATGTCTCGGGAAGAGACACGGTAGGAACCCGTGAGGTGGACGAGACAAACGTCGGCTCGGATATGTCCTGCTTCCTGACCACCCTCTTCATGGTCTCGTCGAGGCGGTTATTGCCATGGGCTTCGGAATTGGGCGACGGCATGGGGGGTGCTGAAGGACGCCGAGAGGGAACCAAGGATGGCGTGGATTGGCTTGCGGGGATCGAGGGCGAAGGTATCGGCGCCATGGGAGAGATTGGAGAAGGCTGTCCGGATTCGGGCCCTCGACGACGGGACTGGATGGCCAGGTTGCCCGAGGCAGATCGGTCAAGGGGCTTAGGGTACGGCTGAGGCGGCATGATGGGCGACCGACGGATGTTGGTGCCGGGGAGGCCAGGGGATTGCAACATCGGTGACCGACCAGAAGGGGAGATACCGGGGTTGAGGCCCATTCCGCGGTCCTCCTGTGGAAAAGTGCCCGTGCCAGTCCGGAGCCGCGCAGGACGGTGTTTGTCACCGTTGCCGGCTTCCGAACCACTGCGGTTACGCTCCGCGCGTCCCGAGCCGTCACCGGGCTGGGGCTCCTCGCTCGGGGCCCGCTGCTGGTAGGTGATGGGAGGCGGTCGTCGCTCACGGGAGGCGGACCGTTGCCTAGGAATGGGGGTGGTCCGCGAAGCTGGAGGGCCGACTATGGGGGCCGCCATGGAGCCGAGCATCTGGCCAGGGGCCGTTGGGACATTCGAGGGGGTCTTTTGGGCCTCCAACAACTGCATCCTGGCCTGTCTGAATGTCCTCAGTCCAGCGTGCATGGATTCGTCTTCCTGGGTCTTGCCCGTCTCTTGCGAAGGGAGTACCGGAGTCGTTTCGGACCTGGGGAAGCCGGGCTTGTGACGCTCGTCGTGGACGGGGGACGGGGGCTCCTTGTCCTCGAAGCTGGACTTGTTCGGGCTGGGGGCGCTGCTGATGGTCGACGAAGCAAGGCCAAGCATCTTGATGGCCTTGGAGTGCTGGCTGTCCTGACGGTTTTCCCGGTTGCGATCAATCAAAGAACCGCGGCTCGTCTTCTGTCTAAGGATGCCCAACGGATTGGGGCGAGGCAGGGACGGCTCTCTGACACGCTCCACGGGCTTGGGTGATAGAGATCGACTGTCGCGGTCCGACTCAACGTATGAAGTGAGTCTCTCGCGGACCCGACGCGCGCCGTCGGCAAGCTGGCTGGCGAACTCATCGTGCTCCCTTTCCTTCCCATTGCCCGAGACTGCGTTGCGCCCCGATGCATTTTGCGACGCGTTCTGGTTGTCCGACGGCAGACCCTGGCGGGGTTGGGGAGCGGGCTGCTCCTTTTGCTCTGCGGTCGTCAGGCCGTTGCCGGTGCCGCTGAAGGTCGAGTTTCTCCAGTCGGGCGACTGAGCCTCCCAGGGATTGGCCATAATGCTCAAGTCCGCCATAGACTTGTTATCGTACGGGTCTAGTGGAAACCGGGAAGCAAATTGCGAGCTTTGCGGTCCCGGACCATAGATGGAGGATGCCGTGCTGTCGGTCCGAAGGTGCTGGCGAACCATGCCGCTCAGGCCAGATGACGAAGGGAGGGTTGGGGAGTCCATAGGCGCTATTTGAGGGGGGGCTGACGCTTCGGCGGCGGCGGCGGCGGCAACGGGCCGGTCAGACACGGGGGAAGGCTCAGCGGAGGCTACGGAGATCCGGGTCGATGGAGTTGGCCCAGAGGATTCCCTCAGTGCGGGATGATCGCGATCGGCCGGTCGCCTTGACGCACCTTGGGCGGCCGTAGTCGGTTTTGTGTTCTCATCTGGAGATGAGACAGACTCATTGTAGAAGCTTACGCCAGCCTCCTCCTCCTTGACGGTCGGCTCAGTCTGGACGGCGGGCTCAGGCTTCTCGATCGGGAGTCTTTGGGCCGAAGATGAGCGCGACCGGTCAGTGGTGTGAGAGGCATTGGATTCGGCACGGAATCTGTTGGTCGGCGTCTCGCGGCCTTGCTGGAGTTGGAGCTGTCTTTGAGCATACCTCGACTCGTCATACGCGTGGGCAGGCTTTTGGAACAATCCCATGGCGGTGGCCTTGCCTCGGTCGTTGGGCAGGATGGAGTGCTCCTCGCCTTCACTGATCGGAGGGCTAAGCGGGGGGGTTCCGCCGAAAGAGGGCTTGGGATCCGGGTTGGTGATGCCCAGATCCGTCGCGGGGGTCGGGCTTCCGGTCGTTAGCGGGCTGGCGGACCGCAGGTTCGGCGCACTGCCCTTGGCGAGAATTCTCCGCTCACTGAACCGATCACTAAAGAGACTGCTCGTTGGGGACGGCGCGTTCTGCATGTCGGGGGTCCTGCTGCCGACGTTCCGCCGTGACAGCGTGTCGATGCGCGACAAAGCCGACGATTGGTGTTCTTGGAGGTCCTGGTTCAGCCCGGTCTCGTAGAGACGCCGCGTGCGAGTGGACGTCCTCTCGAGGTGTGACGCGCCTGCAGCGGAGCTGGGCCTGGTGGTGGTTGATTGCCAGTCCTTCGCCGAAGATGTGGGCTGGGACATGATTGACGTAGCTGCAGTGGAGTTGCGGCCGATCGAGGGCGTGGACGATGTCGTCGAGTTCGTCTCCCGCTTGCTGTTGTAGCCAGCTGGTGGGGGAGAGTCGGAACGAGTGAGATCGATGCTCGTCTGGTCCTGATCGTCATCAAACGCCAACTTGTTCTTCTCGGCTTGTCTCCATTTTTGGAAAGCAGACTGGGACACATCGTCGTCGTAGAGGACACGCCCACTCATGCCACCAACCCCGAGGGTTTTCGAGGACGAGGCCCCCGAGGCAAGCATGTAGACCTTCTGTCGACCGCCGAAGAGATTATTGCCTTCGCCGGGCTTGGGTCGATCCATGACGCTTCCCGATATGGAGCTGCCGTCGGCGGAGTGGTACGAGTCCATCCGAGCGAAGGGTATCTCCTTCCTGATGGACGCGACCTCGGCGATATCCGACAGTCCAGTGCTGCTGGCGCCGAGGCCGAAGTCCATCCTCGACTGCCTCCTTGGAAATAGTACGCTGTCATCGCTCGCTTTCCCAAGCTTGCTATGCGGGTCATCTTGTTCTCTAAGCATAGAAAACCGCGCAGACAGACCGGTCATGAGCAAACTCGTCCGGAAATCGTCACTCGGCGGCAAAGCATTTTCAAGGTCTAGTTCTGGCTTCGGCTCCTCCTCTTGGGATTTCTTCCCCTTACCGAACAAGCGAAAGGGAGTAGGGGAATCCGACTCGTGAGAAGCCCGCGGTGCGAAGACACTCTCTTCCTTCACCTTCTTCTTGGTGCGAAATCTGTTCATGGTGCTTGTCGTGTCGTGTTTCTTCCACACAGAGACAAGTGGGAGTGTCGATTCGTCGAAAAGGGCCTCTTATTTTCCCTTCAAAACGATTTATCGAGCTCAGGGATGGGTGCTCTGTATCAAGAGACTGCCATTAAGGGTCGTCGGAACGGTGCGTGGAGTAGTCGGAGCGAAATGTGACAAGGCTGTTTGGGACGTGTAATGTCGTCCGTTAATGGTTTGTCGAGGGGGCGGGCGCGTCTGAATTTCAGGATGGCTACACAAGCAAACAGCGACGAGTCAGCAGCGATTTTTGACAGGAACCTTTCAAAACTCGGGCACGTTCCCATCCGATCTCGGAAAAGATTTGGGCGTGGCGTGATCAATGAGCAACTGGGTTCAGCGAGGCGTCGGAGACGCGGCTGCTGCGGTGCGGCTCGTCGCAGTTGGAAAAGCTAGGACGAAATCACAGGCAAAGTTGTCTGAGGCGAAAGCAATAAATATCCCCCAGGGCAGAGGAACGCGGATGCTGGAAAGCGGAAGCAGGGGGTTCAATAGGAGGTAAGGAAGCCATGTACATACCTAGAGCAGAAATGATGCCGTGTCGGGGCTGTTTCAGCAACACAGAGTTGTGGTCGACTGTCAGCGTCGCATGGGGGGTTTTGGCAGGGGAAAAGTCGTGAGGTTTTGTTGGTGACTTGGCCGGTGTTGAGGATGGAAAGCGTTGGACAAAAGTCGGCGGTCTCAAGGATAGCAGCGCCGGAAAGGTGATCGGAAAGCGACCGGTTGCCTCGCAGATGCAGGATTCTTGAGAGTTCAGTGTCGTGGTCGTACACGAAATGCGATGGCCTCTTGTACAACAGGCTGGCAGCAAAATGCAGTGCGTCGGTTTTGCTCAAGATACAGGAACCAAGTCGGAGCCTTGTATGGAGGGGTATAGGTGTTCTCGGGGAAGAAACAAGGCGGAGAGATGTCGTATCGAGTCGTCGAGAACGAGAAAGGGAGAGGTCTCGTTGAGGGGGATTGTTTCGGCGATTGAATATGCGAAAGAGATATCGGACCTCAGAGCCGCAAGTATGTTGCCCTTCCGTCAGATAATGTCGGCCAGAACAGACACGGGCGCAGACGACGAGCGGTAGAGAGGGACGAACTGGCTGGGGTTCGAGTCGAAGGACGGCGGAGAAGACGAGATGCTGCGCAAAAGAAGGACTCGGGACGGCGGGAGGACGTTATCTCGTGGGTTTGGGCGTGTATCTCTGGTTTTTTGTTTTCCCCTTTCCTTTCCTTTTCTTCCTTCTCCTTATTCCCTTCAGCTTTCCCTGGCAGGCAAAGTAAACGAAACCCGGGGACGAGAAGGGGGGGGGGGGGGGGGGGGGGGAGGAAACGAATGGCCTGGGTTTCGTCGACTAGATGAATCAGAAATCAGACTCGGGCGGAACAGAGCAAGGAATGGCAAGCGAGTGAAGGAAAATGAGTGAAGCGATTGGAGAGGGGGCGGATTAGGAGTGACGGCGAGAAAGGAATGACCCAGGAGAGAAAAGAAGAATAGCGGATCGGTGGGCCCGGGCAGGGCAGGGACAGGGTGACAGGCACCAGAGATTAGAGAATCCGAGCGACGAACGGGGGGGTGTGAGAGGGGGGACATCAAGGAGGGAGATGAGAAAGCGCACAATGCACATATTATTTTGTAATTTACATATGTGTCCGTAGTTCTACATTGTATGTACGGAGTACAGTACTATGTATGTGCGGGCACGGGTATAATTACTCATCAACCAACTCACTC